TCCCTGCCTGCAGCTGCATCCAACAATCTAGGGGGGAGGCAGAAGAAGCAGAAGAAAGGAGGATGTGTGTGTGTGCGCGCATGTCTCACAATGGCTTGGACACTGGACAGGTCGCGCCGTGCCGGCGTTGTCCCGTGGGGCGAACCGGAATTGACTGGTCAGGGGGGTCACCTACTCCTCCGTACATATTTCCATATTTCGATAGGCACGAGATGCCGGTAGCAAACTTTATGGGCTTGAATGTGGATGCTGTCCACTGGTTGCAAAAACTGTCAACGATGCCCTTTCCCCCCCCTAACTTGAGCTGAGACGTAACCTCCACTGTGGTGGTGGTTGTCCTGCGCTAACTAAGGTCAGGACCAGGCCAGACCCTTGCAGGTGGGCGCCCCACCGAACGCCGTCACAATGTTGGGACATTCTGGGTTTGGAGGTATGGAGTACACATGTACCTTACTATCTTGGCTGTTTACTTTTATCTGGGGAATGTACGGAGGACTCTGGAGTATGTGGACTGCCATCTCCAGGTAGCTCCCTCCCGGTGGGGTCCAAAGTCTGGGGGTAAATTAATATACTGTATCTTCTCCATAGCCGTGAGCTACGTACATACAATATGTTCGAGGAGAGAATCCTGCTGATTTCGGGCAAATCCTTTCATAACAAATATAACATTCCTATCTCATGACACAAGTGACATTCCAACATCCTTACATATATAACCACCCATACCGTGAATAAATATAACCACGTCTCCTCCCCATCCCCGTCTAGATAACCCGTCCACGTAATCACAATCACCCCCAAGGACACCATGTACAACCACCCGAAACAAACAACAAGAAACAACAACCACCCTCGAACCCATCCAAAATGCAAGCTGCGCGCCCGCCATGACTAGGATGACGGACTGTGCGACACACCACCACCACCACCACGCTCGCATAATCAACACCTAGCTCCGCTCCGGCCTCCCTCGGCGACCCTCTGTCCGGGGCAGTCACAAGCACCACCACTACAACACGGATTGCCTTCCTGTCTGCTTTGCGCGCGCCTAGGTAGGTCGTACGGGGGGGGTAGTAGATACATTCTCAATATGACCGATATTCGAAACTCATGTGTGTGGGTTTTGTAAGGGGTGGGGGTGCTTGCTTGCTTTTGTGCGGGATGGATTGATGGATGGATGGGGTGTTTCCCCCCCTCCCCTTGCTATGGGTATCACGACAGTTACTATGGGCTGATTGACCCAGGGTAGGTGCTCGGCTGATTGTTCTCAAAAAAAAAAAGAGAGAAACGATCCTTGAGTATAGGGTTTCCGCTAAACCCGATTCGCGCTCATATGGCGTTCCAGTTGACCGTCTGTGCGTTTGTTTGTGTTGACTGTCTGCTTCACAAACATTGTAGATATTTATATGAATTCCCATGGGGAATGTAGTTGATACTATGCTAATATACGGTTCATATAGCAGATGTAAATCCAGAATCTTTCAACAACTCCATTGATTATTACTCCGTCTATGAATGTAAATAAATTTGGAATTTCTGCAGAGGATGCAACGCAGGAGGTTCTCGCGTTGACTCACGGGATGGTGCCCCAGATGAGCACAAGGCACAGAAGGAGCAGGAAGGGAAAGAAGAAGAGGAATAAACAATTTGGGGTTATCCAGCGCACAGCCTATATTCTGAAGAATGCTATATTGATAACATTATGTAGGTAGGCAACTCTTCCCACTGCGAGTAAGCTCTTCTTGACAATCCCATTGTGTGGGAGAACATGTGGACTTTGGATGATCGCTGTGATGCGGGGAATAGAAGAGCAGCATGATAAAAAACAACACAAAACAAAATCAATTATACATACACCACCTCACTATGTGCAAACAGCCTTACACATCTCCATCGTATATATATGGCCTTGGAATCATTCAACGAAGGGATACCAGCTAACCGAGAGAACACCGACAAGACCATTGTCAAGCACCACTTTCCCATCAAAACGCCCATGCAAGCCCACCCGATATCCCTAAGCTATGACTAGACACCCCACAGTGACGTGTTGTCCCTCAGGTTCTTGTTCCTGACTCCTGCGGCTGTTCTTTGCGTCGGCTGACGCTCCTCCGACGTTGACAGCTGGCCAAAATGTGCGAGACCGGAAGTACTACATACTATCACTCGTAGTTAGATCTTTGAGGTGGGGAAGGAAAGGATTGGCTGTATGCTGATATCAGCCTACTTCAGTGGTAGAGAGTTTGATTCATAGTGGTAAATGATTGCACAATGTTGAATTAATGATCGCCTTTTATATGGAGTCCTAAGGGTGTGTTCCACCCACAGCGCAGAGATGGCATATAGGGTAGAGTAAAAAATAAATAAGGTAGAATAAAAAGAAAAAGAAAGATTTTTTTTTTTTGATAGAGAATACCAAGCCTAGCAGATCAGGATACCTGGCCAATGCATGACGGTTGATCAGGAAGATCAAAAGACCAGTCAGTGGCGGTCCTGCAGATATATCATCCATCGTGGCTTTTTCATTCACGCACACACGGGCCACACCGCCATCTACTCCATATTCACCTATTATGTATCTTAATATCTACCTTAGATAGGTAGGTACATAAGTAGCCTGCTACAGGCTGATCATTGACTAGTTGGGTTGTGATCCGACAGTGCACTAGATATCCACCTTATGCACCCGACAGAAAGAGGTACGGCAGTAGACGAATTTAGACCCGTGTTGACAGTTCATCTGCCATTGTCACGGACCTTCATATTATACCTCCTTCATTTTATCTGGGCTAAACAGATATATGCTTGTATATACTCACGTATATATAGACAAAACCATAGATAATATTTAATTAGGATAGAGATAAATAGGTTCAATAGACCACCCGAGCCCACCGTCCGTACGGAGTGGCGCTATCCCATGACTACCGCCTAGCGACCGTGGCATCTCCAACCGGATATCCACAATGTCACAAAGGAGTCGATCGACGCAAGCACGTCACCCTAGTCCTGCCGCGCCATCCCTTGGACGAAGGAGCGTCGTGAACTTGTCCTAAACAGCACAGCAACCCGTCCTAGCCAAGAATGACGGATCTAAATCGAGGCCTATCCAAGACCTCGGCAGGACGCAGGCCGACACGGCCAAGCCAGACTGGATTGGCAGCGAATAGCGGGATATAAAATGAGCCAACGGCAAAGGACTGCCGAGACATGAGCTTTACGAAACGGCCAGAGTCCGTCCTGCTCGGTCGAGGTCAAGAATGCTGGGCCTGGTCTCGAATCTCCACGTCATGGAAACCACATGCCAGTCTGAGCGGGAAGGCAGTAGATGGGTCCCCCGAGTGAGGGGGGGGCATGTTTCATCCTCTTTGGAAGACGGGGGTGGGCCCCCCTGACCCTGACCAGTCGATCAATCTCGTCAGGGAGAGTTTTGGTGACGGTTCATCACCGATTCAGCCTTGCGGGTGGTTTTCTGGAACTGATGATATCGATAGAGGATCGGTCGTATCTCAGACTTGGGGGAGTGTTGAGGGTGGATGCATCAATCGTGATGATACAGACAGGAAAGATGCTGCATACCGTAAAGCCAAAAGCCACCCGGTGAATCCCTATTACCTAATTGATAGAGAATCCCTTTCTTGTCTCAGTGATTCGGAGACACGCAGCAGCCCCAAGCCCAGACGCGAGGACAACAGGCCGGATGGAGTGGTTGCCAATCTCTCGGCGGGCTGGGCGATTTCTCTGGGCGGGGTGTCGGAGAGGAGGGTAAATGACGGAGAGAACGTCTCTCCGGGGTCTCCATCAGTCTTTTTCAAGTCTCTTCCATACCGGCAAATCTCAACAATGTAGAGGATCTTCGCCCTTGGAATCCCTGGGGTCAGCACTAGACCCTCCGTCGGTCGTACCGTGACTAACAGGATAGCGATTGTAATACTGCCAAGGCGTCCATCCAGTGTCCGAATGCGGATCCCGGACGGATTTCCCTGGTCGGAATGGCCAATCGCATCGCCCACATTGCGAAGGGAAACCCCCGCAGACTCTTGGCATCTTGGCAGACGGTATGGTCAGGTCGGGTTGTGGTATTGGTATTACCAGGGAGACTGAGTGGATGTCGATACGGACAATGTAATGGGTGACAATACTGTACTGTATGGGACGATGGCTGCTTGCGGCTGGGGGGGAATCAGTGATTCATCATCGCGAATTGGATCCCGTTTCCTCTCTTCATCTTCATCAGGCTCTCCAGTCTCTACCTATTTCTTTCCAATATCTGCCATGATGAATCCATGTTGGTCAATCCAGACCATGGGTCTTCCTTACCGGTCTCTCCTCATTCTCTGGTTGAATCCTCCCACCCTGTCTTTTTGATTTGGTTTACGACGGGATCTCCCAAGATCACGGACGAGTGAGACGCCTTTGATGTCAACCATGCCAAGATCTCGGCATCTGGGCTTCTCTTGGCAGGCAAAAAAAGCGGCCTTCCGCTGCAGCTTTCGTTCTCCCCCAAGACAACCAACCCTTTTTTTTCTCTCTTGGGCTTTGGTGCCCTTTCTTGGGTCTCCGCTGCAACCTTTCTGGGCTTTTTTGTGTCTCATGGCTCTCTTATAAGTCTTCCTGGTCTCCTTCCCTCCGCTCCTCTCCCGCCTCCTCTCCTCCCCATTCCATTCCCTCCCATTCCGCTTTGACGACGACGACTACTACCCCCCTTTTTCTGCTTCGTCCCTCCGCCTTGCTGTGGCATTGTCGACTTGTCTATCTCCTCCCTTCCCCTCCTCCCCCCTCCCTCCCCTTGTTCCTCCCGGGCGTGTGTGCCCCTTGCATCAGAAGCCATGCAGTGAACTTCTCTCCGTGGGCTTCTGTGTTCGTCTCTGTACCACCGTGGGTGTCGTTCGCCGCTCTGGTTGAAGGGGGATATACACCCGGCCTGTCGCCGTGTGCCCTTGTTTTGGCCCGCCTTATCTCTCTGATTGCTCCTTTCTATTCCTGCTCCGCTGCCAACCATGGGCCCGCCCGAGATGTCATATTCTCCTGCCTATTACCAGGATCATGGCCGCCTGGTGACAGTCGATAACCGCCCCTCGAATCCTCCTACTCCCCCTGCGGCTCACTTGCCCTGCGAATCGTCGTCATCCCCGCCCAACCAGCGGCAACAGCAGCAGCAGCAGCACGGGGCAATCACCCCCCGTCCGTCGGATTCCGACCGGTTTCGAACCCCCCAGCCCCACGATTATACTTCCGACATGTGGGACCCTTCCTTCGCTAAGCATTCCGGTCGCGCTTCCCTCGACGGCCCTTACCCGGCTCGGGGTCCGGTAGAGACGGTGTACCCGGATTTCGCGCAGCCCGCGGCGGTTCCCGTGACGTTTGTAACCTCGCCCTGTTTGGAGAATGGTTCCATGTTGACTGGGGCTTCGTCTAGCAGCGGTGCCATGCGCAAGGAAGAGCGTCTTCGTGGAAGCATGACCGACCACTCCTCACACCTGTCGAGCGACAATCATCCCTCGACTGCGTCTCGCGCGCACAAGCGGGTAGTCCGTGATGAGGACTCTCTGGCGGATGACAACCAGGATGCCCTCCTGATGCTGGTAAGGCCCCCGCTGTCTGTCCTCGATGTTCGCTCGCTAACGGTAGTGTGTCAATCGTCCAGCTTCGACTGTCCGCCCCAATCCCGATCTTCTCGTTCGCGGCATGCATCTATACGCTCTTCGGCCTGTTCTTCGTCATCCTCGTCTCGCCGCTCCGTGTCTGTTCCTGCATCCCATACTTTCGCGCGACGACCTTTCGCGCCCAGCTCTGTGACCTGCTGGTGCCCCAGTTACATATCCACGAACGCTTGGTGCGTCTGCGAAAGTCGTCGCAACGGTCCTCCCCATCACAGTCCGTATACAACAACCTCGATCGGCAATCGAAAGCAGACTCGTGTGCGTCCTACTCCGTCGGCGGTCTGATTGCAGTCCTCCTGCTGTCGTCCCTCCTCTCCGTCGCCTTCCTCCTCCTCGCATGGACCGCCGCCTTTTTCTGGATCTTCGCGATGGTTCTCGGCAACCCGGACGGGACAGAACGGAAAGATGACGGACGCGCGGCGGTGCTAGGTGTCAGTCGATGGTGGCAAACATGGCTTCGCAGGGCCCGCAAACGGCGGCGTTGACCGGATGAACCTCGCGCTCCGTCCGCGTTTTGTACAGCTTCCCGTTCTCTCTCGTTCCTCATTTTTGACAGCGCGAGCCCTTGCATCCATACATATCTCCTTTCAATCTTAATGCCGACATGATACCACTATTTTTCGATACGCGGGACGATTTCCAGAGCGTGTTTCATCTGCTTCGATCGATCCGAATTTGCTCATCGCATCGGTCGGGTTTCTCAGTTCGTACAGGAGTTTTTATTAGGTGGCTGTAACGGCGTTGGTTTATTTCGTTTTCAGTTTCGTTTTCCTGCATTTCTTCTATTTCTTTCAGATCGTGTCCTCGAGCATGGTAGGAGGGAACAAAGCCACCCTCCTCATCCATCCATCAGTCACGGCTGTCGTCTCTGCCACGAATAGATGAAAGACAGTGTACTGTATTTCTAGCGCAAGAATTGATACCCGACGGATTCAGTCTTTCATATGAAAGAATAAATAGATAAAGCTGTAAATTCAGAGATAAATTGGAGTCACTTTCCTCCCTGAAAAGTGGAAAATTGAAACCGAAACCGAAACCAAATATTGCATGTCGCACGTAAGCAAGAAAGAAAAACAGTAACAAGTCAGAAGTAAAAAAAAGAAAAAAGATAAGAAGTAATAAAGTAAGAAACGAAGCAAGGACAAAAGTTAGACTCAAAGAAGAAGTAAAAAAAACGAAAGCAATCAAGCAAGCAGCAAACAAATGAAGCTAACTATTTTATTTATGGCTACGCTTCTGTTTGGTTTAATATCGGTAACCTTATTCTTAAATGTTTTTCCCTAGCAAAGAAAAAAAAAATGATAATAACAATAAGAAGAAGGAAAAAAACATCCATTTTTGTTTTATCTTAATTTGCAGTTCAGTGTACCGATTTGGCTTTCTGATGTGATCTATCTATCTATCTATCTATCTATCTATCTATCTACCTATCTCATTTTCATGTCGATGTAATAAGCACCCATCCTGGGAAATTATTTACTCTGCGTTCTCGCCTCACTGCCTACAGTACCTATCTACCTACCTACCTACCTATCTGTCTATTTACCTGGGTAATCGTATAGTACTTACAGTACGGTGTTGAATTGTTTGGAGGGACTCCGTATGTACTTACGTGATATGCTTGAATGAGCTACTTACCTACCTACCTACTCGGGTACCTGGTGCCTAGGTGTAGGTGTAGGTGTAGGTGTAGGTACAATAGGTACGGTTACGGAGTACGGAGTCGATGGGGAGCTAATGTGTGTATACATGTATGTATGCATGCCTGTATGCCCTTTAACTAAGCAGTAGGAACAGATAAAGTTGATTGAATTGAAAATAGAAAGCAAAGGATAGAAAAGAATAGACATGCATTTTATGATAACTGAGAAAAAGAGGGTATATAATACCGAATCAAAGCAGAAAAGAAACAAAAGTAAACTATGAACAAGACAGACAGACAGAAGATAGATATAGATATCATACTTCGTAGACTAACAGCTACTACCCGGAGAATTGAGGCAGAAAAGAAGAAAGGGAAAAGACATGGCCGTGTTGGTTTGTGCATATAGTCACCCTCATACTCATAGATATTTATAAGTCACTCTCCTCCACAATCGATAAGAAAGACGAAAGAAAGAAAGCAAGAACTTCACCCCCATAATGCGCAAGTCATGAAAATATGTGCTAGAGGTAAATCCCCAGTATTGATCATTCATTTCATTCCATTCCATTCAATACACTCATTCCAGTAAACTCTGATGGCAGTTTGATCCATTCTGATCATCACATGGAAATATAAACTCGAAACGAAGAAGACACGAATTTTTAGTCTTCAGATTTACCTCCTCCCCCTCTGCCCACGGAAACCCCCACCACGACCTCTGGGATTCCGTCGCTTCTGGATCCGGCTGTTGCTACTGCTCGCTCCGTGGACCTTGGGCACACCCAGGCCGCGGCGGCCACCATCGGAGGGCCGCTTCCTGGCATCGGCGTCATTGCCGCCATCGTCAATGTCCATGTCGTCGCCGCCGGCGTTCCTCTTCTGCTGGGACTGGCCCATCTTGTACTTTCCGCGCTGGCCGCGGCGCACGGCGTCGGGACCGCTAATAGCCGCGACGTAGGCGTTGATGCCGCTTTCGCCGCCGGCGCCCTCGCCGTCCAGGCCGGCTGCGCCAGCGTCTGTGTTGTCGTCGCCCAGGAGAAGACGGCCGTCGGGACCGTACTTGGCGGCGTGCTTGCGGCGCGAGCCGGGCCCCGTGTTGAGGAAGCGCACGCTGGGCTTCGTCGTGGAGATGTGCGCCAGGGCGTCGGGAGCCAGCAGATCGAGCGGGTTGTCCTCGGGCGACATCTCGCGGATGTACTGCTCGTTTCCGCTCTGCTGTCTGGATTTCTTGCCGGCCTTGCCGCGGCCTGCGGTGTTGGCGCCTTTGTTGGCGCGCATGGTGCCCTCGGCGTCGATCTCGATCTCGCTGGCGTCGTCGTCGGAGCCCAGGTCGGATCCCGAGAGGTCGGAGTCGTCGTAGACGGCTTTGTCGAAGGCGTTGGAGAAGGCCTTGCCGTCGCTGGGGGCGGCAGCGGTCTTGTTCTTGGCGTTGTCTTCGTCTTCGTCTTCGTCGTTCTCGCCGGCCTTCTTCTTCTTGCGGCGCTCGCGCAGCTTGCGGATGTTGGTGACCAGTTTGCGGTCCTCGTCGCCGACGACCTCTTCGATGGCGGCGGCGCCGAAGCGGCGCATCAGTCGGTCTAGGATACCCTTGACCTTGCTGCGCAAACGGCCCTTGTGCTCCTTGCTCCAGACCATGAGGTTGGGAACCATAGTGGCTAGGCGGGGGCGGAGGAGATCGTCCGGCAGGACGACGACGGCCACCTTGGCAAAGCCGAGAACAGAGCGGACAATTTCGCGGTTGTTGCTGGTAAGGAACAGCTCCACGGTCTGCACGAGGTCGGATTGCACATTGGGCTGGAGCTGCTTGTGGAAGTCGAAGAACAGTCGCGACAACGCCGTCACCGACGCGGCGACCATGTGCGGTGAGCTACCCGCCAGACCGGCTGAGACCATGGTGAAGAACTCGTCGATGGTGGCCGGGGCATCCGGGGCGTCATCAGGCATGTGGGGCACCAGTGAGTTGCGGATCTTGGTGCCGGCGGGGTTGCGCTCCTCATCGGCCGTTCTCTTCGCGAGGTGGACGAGAAGGTCGAAAGAGGCGGTCCGGGCCTTCTCGTTACTCTCCTTGCATCCGAGGACCACCTCGGAGAGGATGGACGGAATGAAATGCAAGTCAGAGGTGGGAAGGTATGTGACCAATTCGTCGATGGCGAGCATGCGGTCCCGGCGCGCAGATGCCGGGGTCTTGTCTGCAGTCGACAGAATAAGAGTCTGGAGCTCCGAGCTCCGTTCCACCAGGGCCTCGGCCCCAGTCTCCGTCGTAGCCAGGCGGGGGATTAGCTTGTAGGCTTTCTTGATTAGCTGCTGGTCGCCGGTGATGCCGTTCAGGATGTTCGCGGCCATAGCGAAGAGGCTCGCAAAGCTTGTCCGAGGAAGATAGATCGACATGGCAATAACCAAGTCAATGAGAGTGTGAGAAGTCGGCGGCATCTTGTTGCCGGAACCACCCTGCTGGTGGCCACCTTGCTTGTTTGCGGTCTCCTGCTCGGAGGCCACGGACGACTCGAGCATGGAAGTAACGCGGGTGAATGTTTCGTTCAGTTCCTAGACGCATGGTTAACAAGACATGTCATAGCGAGGGCAACTCGATTTTACGAACCTGCTCCGGGGTGATGCTCAGGTAAGAGTTAATGCACTGGAGGATGTGGCCTCGGTAGTGGGGCAACGTCTGGCTGTATACGTTGAACAGCACCGCAAGCAAGTTACTCGCGAACGAGGAAAGGTGGGCGATGTTCTTCTTGGCCGCCTTCTTGGTGATTCTCCGCTGGAGAATCAGGTCATCACCTTCTGACTCCACCGACAAGATGGCCTGGTTCGAATCCACCAAGTTCTGCAGGGCCTTGCAGATCTCCACACGGAGATCCGTCTGTTTATAGAGAACGTTGGAGAGGAGCTCAGCAAAGGACTGATCAAAGCTCTCCACCAGATCCAAGGGCAGCTCACAGTACCCCGGGAGAATGGACCACGTCTGCTGGACGAGGGTCTCGAAGATCTTCGCCTCGACCGTCTTCTCCGCAGAGGCGTATTCCGTCCTCTTCTGGTACAAAGATTCGCTCAGAGGAACAAGCTCAGAGCGGAAATGGCCCAAGTTTGTGTTGGTGACATGGTCCCGAAGAATGGGGAGGAACCACACGCGGCCAGGCTGGCCGGCCTTCTGATTGATGATGTTCAGAGGCAGGATTTCCAGAACCGCCGCCGGGCCCATAGCCTCAACCGCACTGCCGAGGACCTGGTCGGCCTCCTTCTTCCCGTGGAACGACTCGTTCGTGCGGAGTTCTCCCACAATCCGGACAATGTCCTCCAGGAAGGGGCTCGCCCGCCACTTGAAGCAGTCGAACGCGGCCGAGCAGACATTGAACACTTCCATCCATGCGGCCTGGTACTTCACCGACAGGAGACCCGTCGCGGCCTTGGCCAGCTTCTCCAGGGTCTTCTCATCGTAGATCGACGGCTCAATGATCACGCTGTTCGGGATGCAGTTGGCCAGAAACGAGACCAGGCATTCCGAGGCAGACACACGGATGTTGCTCGACGGCGAAGTCAGATATCCAGAAATCAGGTCGAACAGAGCCGGGAGCTTCTCGAAAGTATCCTCGGGGGCAACCTGGGCGGAGACATCGTATCCGCGGGACAAGACAGCGATCCACGGCGGCAAGAGCTGCGAATCATTCTGCGCGGGCTTCAATTCCGAAATCGCGTCCAACAGACGGGGGAGTTTCGACGAGGAGAACTCGTTGGCCATGCTGGAAAAGATCACCTCGAAGACCTCAAAAGCACCCATTGTGATATACTCGTTGGTGGACCGGGACGCATTCATCAGGAGCTCGCACAACGGCTCAATCTTCTTGCTGGGCCAGCCTCCCGATGCGGTCGCGACCGTCTTCACGAGCTGCAGAGAGTGGATGACCAGAGGGTCGTGATTCTCTCGGCCTTGCTGGTCGTGACGGCCTCGCTTTTGCTTCGTCGCCGCAGCGATGCTATCGCCCAGCGTGCGCAGGCCGGTCTCTGCGCACATGTCGGCAGCGGGGTGATCGAGCGACGGGCTCGGAGGCGGGGCCCGAAGGACCGCGATCAGGGCATCCTGCGCCCTCTTGCGCACCTTGGGGCGGTGGTCGACGGCCAGACTGAGCAGGCCCGCGATGGCCCGCCGGGGACCGATCTGGGTGTGCGGCAGATTCCACGCAGCGGCATCTTGGGCGATGAGCAGCGATTCGAGACAGCCGATGGAAGGTCGCAGGAGCGGAGCGTCGACCTCGGGCAGGGATAGCGCGGGCGCGAGACTGGTGAGGATCTGCGAGAATTTGGAGCGGAGGATAGGAGCGGGGACAGAAGCGGTGACGATGTCGAGCAGGTAGACCACGGAGGTGGCCAGGTCCTTGCTGACGATGCCCTGCTCAGCGGAAAGCGACTGGGAGAGCAGGGCGAGTAAGGCTGCGAAGTATGCGGTCGCAGAAAAATCGGCTTTTTGATCGCGAAGCGTGTCCTCCACTGCAGAGAGCACCACCGCCGTCTTCACATCGGAAAAGCACTGTTAACCACGGACTCCCCACTAAAGCAAACGATTTGACGTTGAATTGATGTGAACTTACATGGTGCTGATTCTGCAGCTTGGGGGACTTGATCTTCTCAAGCTTCTCCGCCAGCGTCGACATGATGAAACAGATCGACCGACAGGCCTAGGAGAACAATCAACGAGGATTGGGAGAGAAGAGGAAAGGAGTTGAAGAAGAAGAAGTCAAGCGGTGGTTTGGATGCGGAGGAATTTTTTAGTGGTTGAAGAAAAAAAAAACGGAAAAGGTACGGCGGGCGGTCTTGGCGCGCCTATCGATAGCGATAACCTTTACTTAGCAGGTAGATAGATCCCATTCGACTTCAGTATACTCCTTGTCAAGGATGTTCGATTGTTTGCTATTGTATGAATACGTGATTCTGTTTGAGAGTGTAATTTATCGTCTGTTGTGGCAGATTCCCACCACACGCGCTCTCTCCTCCCACCTTGGATATGCCCCGACTAACCAAGCAAGCTAGATGGGATATGCCCGAATAAAAGAAAAATAAGAATACAGAAGAACTCGATATCGAGGCATAAACATCGTCAAGCATGATTTGGTCTTTCTTATACTCCAACAGATTCACCCTCATTGTCTCCGTGACTCGTGAACATCACTCATCCCCCATTACTCCTCCTTCTTGATCGGATTTTCGTACTGCCCGATTCGATGGTCAAAAGCACCACACTCTAGGCGCGCTGCCTTGGTACCTCACGTCCTCCCCCTGGATCTATCGAATGTTTCCCCTTGGCAACTTATCGCATAAAGGAGAGCCAGAACGAGCTGGCGACCGTCGAGGGGGCATGCCCGGAGCTTGAATCTGTCGAGACGTATAAAATTCTGGGTCAAGAGTAGATATTGCCCCGCTGCTTATGATGCCCCCCTAGACACGATGGAGACTGAAGAAAGAGGATTCTGGCTTTTCCATCTAGAACAAAATCTCCCCGCTATGCTCGGCCTCGAAACCGAGGCCTCGAAGTTTGCCGTGTCGTTTCTTGTCGTTGCCTTTGCGGCGTTCCTCTTCCTTTTGCTTGAGCTCAAACACTTCTTGGAAGGAAGCTCGTTGGACGGTAGTGGGGAGCTCATCTTCCCTGTCGAGATCCTGAGGGAGTCAGCACACACAAGCCAATGGGTAGGTCCAAACGCGACAAAACAAGAAAATGACAGAATAAATGATCAAAAGAGGAGAGGAAATTCTTACAATTTCACCAAGTAACAACACATTCTCTCCTCTCACAAGGAAAATCCCCCTCGGGATATCGGCGTAGAGATTCCCAGCATACAATCGCTCAACGGTATCTTGAAGAACAAGATTGGCTGTGCGGGGCAAAGAAACTCGCGTTAGAAATCCGACCATCTTCCATATTCGTGTATCATTTCAAATGCGCGCGGGTGTGGCATCCTCCTACCGAATTGATCCCAACTCCGCAACACGCCGATCAGTTTCCTCCCATCGCGGAGAACAAGAACGAGTTTCTCTAGTCAATATTGTCAGCCAGGATCCTCCACAGAAAGACAGCAGAGGCGTCAAAAAGGCAATGGCAAGGCAAGACAACATACTGTCTGTCAAATCCAATAGCTGGGCAGCGGTCGTGAACATCTGCGGTGGTAACTGCGGGGGACCCTGCGTTTGCGTCATGGGGCCGAGGGATTGGTTCTGCTGCTGCTGCTGCTGCTGCTGCGATAATCCCGGCGGGGGAATTCCTTGCTGGCCACCGGCTGGAGGGTCGTTGATCGAGAGGCGCTCCATTGTTGGGTTGAGGTCGAGGGTGGGTTGGAGAGGTCGGGGAAATTGAGGGTTGTTCCAAGGTCGTGCGACGAGTTTGCGGCGTCGGTTCGGGTGATTATTTTCGGATCGACTATTTGTGTAATTCAAGTGGTATAGCCACTGTCATTCTGCGAGGGAGGGTTTGGCAATCAGAGAGCTGTTGTGTTGAGGATAGGAAGGCAGCTGATATCATTCGAGCGAACTTGAGCTGCGACCAGGTGTGGTGGGAGGACGGTGTTTGTCTTGTTTGTCGCTCCGTCCCGAAGGGATGATGGACTATAAAGGTTTGATGGAGTATACAACTGGGTAAAGAGGAAGATTAGATGAACACAAGATGGATATATATCGAATGACTCGTTACTAAATATTCTCATCAAATATTGTTTACTCCAATTGCGTCAGTCTTGCCAAAATGGCCAAATGGCCACGAAGGACATCTCAGATATTCTGACGATTTTGGCTACCCCCACACATATATATATCAGCACTACACATTGACTCGGATACAAGTCAAGTCCCATAATAACCAATCTCTGGTAAACAAAATTGAACAAAATGTCTGTTAGATAGAACGACCAAGTCTATCGATACCACCATTACGCTATGCAAGGCTGCGAAAGCGTTGATATCGCCGTCATCCAATTGCCAGAATAGCATCTTGAAATTGTGCGAGGCAGTCAAATACGAGGCAGGTGGGAGATGAGATGTATCCAAACCGGCCCTCACCGGTCTTCGTCATGCATGCGGACCGAGGCTCGTGCTATAGGCCGAATAGCCTACAGTGGTACACTCCTTGCTGGGTAAGAAAAGTCTTCGTTGTGTGACTACACCAGGGTAGCCTTCTTTCCCTGTCCCTCGACTGAACCCTGTCTTTCAACTGTCAAGTGTTGATTTTTTTGCTACAGAACAACCACTGAACAACAAGTCAAACGTCACGAATGGCTGGTACAAAGAGAAGCCGCTCTCGTGGCTTGTTCTGTGTTATCAAAACACCAACAAGCAAAACATCAACAAGAGACAGCGCCAAAAAAGTACTTTACATAAAAGAACAAAACCCGAAATGACAGCCATGATGGCAGTCACAATGAAACAAACAATCGAACATGCCACGCTTCACCGCAAATCCACAACAGTCATCACCACTCGCCTCAAACCCCCCAAACCACCAACATACAAAAATCAAGCAACCCCCACCCCCCGCCTCTGCCCCCTCATCCTCTGCTCCCGTCTCCGACTATAAGGCGCACAAAACGGCTCATTCGCCGACCCAATACTCGCCCTCACAGTCTCCAGCGAGCGATGATAAGCCGGACTCTCCGGCGGCGGCGGCAACTGCATAACCTTGAACTGATCAACGCTGATAATCCTCAGCCCATAAAGGTACTGCATCAGCTCGAAATCCGGCCTGCTACCAGCGAGCGTCTGACCAGCCTGGTAGTGCACGGTATCCACATGGTCCAGCATGGCGTCCCACGCTTTGCGGTCGGGGGAGTCGACGAAGCGCTCGCGGGGACAGAGGGGACAGCGCGCTGTGTGGGGGGGCTCGTGCGTGCGGAAGTGGCTTTGCACGTGGGTTCGCCAGTGGTCGGGTTCGGTGAAGGTCTGGTGGCAGTTGAGGATGTGGAAGAGGCAGATGTATGTGTGTTGATTGGGAGGATGGTGGTTGTGATTGTGGTTATGAGGGAGGGTCTGGATAGGGCGGGTGGGAGGGGGAACTACGAGCGCGCCCGTTCCGTCGTCTTCGAGGATGGAGTGGTGGATGAGGCCCGATGCCCATCCTGTGTCTAGGGATAGACGGGATGAGGAGGATGACGATGCCGAAGTGGTGTTATCGCTTGCTAGCGATGGAACGGCCGTTAGAGGCGGCATGACGAGAAGACAGAGAGGGAGAAACAGGGGCGATGTCAACGACGTGCGAGCGCTGTCGATATCTACCCCCTAACCCACAGCGCGAATCAGAGACCGATGCGACGGAGGGTTATGTCAAGCAACTCTGTTTGAATATAAACTTAGTCCGTGAAGCTGTGTCTGAAGGATGGGAAATGTCCAGACACTGTGCGACCGCATCATCGAATCGAGTCTTCAAACATGGGGTAAGCGATGGGGTTAGGGCGATCGGCGCGGGGCAATCGATCATTATCTATCATTACCTTTCCTTGACTTGACGATTCAGTTTTCCCAATCGTCTAAGACGGTGAAGACAGTGAAGAGAAGAAAAGCCATCAGCCATATTCAATCAATCTGGTCAAAGATCAAGACAAACAAGAGGAAAAAGCTGTGTGCCTCTTCGTCTTATCCCCGACTGGTCTCTACTTATTATTATTCTTAGTATTCAAAAGGTACTTTTGTATTTGCTTCTTCCAACAAACTGAGTGGTGCCACGTTCAGCGAGACGTGTTCTTCGTTAACTCTTCTATCTACTCTATTCTATTTTATGTCTTGTTTCAATCGATACAGTGCAGTTTTCCATATTCATTGTCTACTTAAGGCGATAATAAAAAGCAGTGTAGTATGTAAGATCCATACAGAAACAGCACGCTGACAGGCATATCAAGCAGTGTATCAACAATCAACCTGATTGGGCTGTGAAAGTATCTGTCGATGCAGGACAGAAGAAGGAGGGACATCGTGAATGTACCTAGCTCTGGCTGCTGATTTAGCTGCTCGTGTAGTCCAATAGGGCTGTTTACAGAGACTGAGTAGATTGATGTTAATGCCATGGATGTAGACTCTATTAGTGTGATAGAATGGTTAGACGGGTTGAACGTGAAGCCAGCAAAAACTTATATCGAGTCTATAAGCGACACCAGAGTAGAACCTCATCTATCCACTGACTATCTCTAAGAAAATCAAATCCAGACACTACCTAGTAACTCCCTGCCTAGAGATATACTGCCGATCAGTCTATTCTCCTACCTAGGTATCTCACCTCTTACCTAGTGAGTGAACAACTCCAATCCAGGTCTATACAGTATACCAACAAAAGTACATCCACATGCCCTAAAAACATCACTACACACAAGCACGAGTAAACGCACATGCAAAGAGGCTATCAAAAGGAGAAAACAAGAGTCAACCATGCATGTCTCAAATATACAACTACCTACCTACCCATCCATCTATCTATCTACCTATCTACCTCCCTGTTGAGACTCAAGAATCATACCATCACACCTACCTAGGTAGTACTAATGATATCAACCAAGACAAGCCGATCATGCGATCCACGCATAACCAAATCACACCTAAATTTCCCGACCCGTTGCATAAAACATACAACAAACATAATCAACCACTAAGGTAAAGTAAAGTAAAGTCGTACCTGACTACCTACCTCCTACTTCACCCAAGTACAAACCAGTAAAAGGTGACTGTATTTCCCCGGTATAATATGTATTATATTATATTATATTATATTACTTACACCGAATGAATATCAAGCGACGCACGTACTTTTTCCATTTATTCACTTATCCTTTTTCAAAAGAAATATATTTTTTTTTACCTCGGTTAGATAACCCCCCCAGTACGTATGTACAACCGGAGATAAAAGCCCAGCTCAGGGCTAAACAATCACAATCAGTCGATCTAGCCGGGTAGACGGGACCGGCCCATCACAGACTAGGGAGTAGATAGCGCTACAAAACCCAATTGGTATCGGCGTACCCCGACTTTCACACACAACGACCCCCCCTTTCCTGTTCCTCGGATCTGTGCCGATAGCTCTCGCAAGCTCCTTGTTTTTTTTTAATTATTTTATTGTTGTTCATTCCCGGGGGAGGGGAGATCGGCGGCATGTGAAGGCTTACCCCGTAGTTAACTACCTATCTAACTACTGGGTTATGATTATGATTATTTATCAAAGGATTTAGGGACTAGGTCGTGGTTTCACATGTGATTGTGAAGATTGTGATTCCATCAACAACTACTACTACCCATCTATCATGTACTGTATGCCTTCAGTGTGGTAATCAACTTTTCTTGTATTCCGTAATCCGTATCCGTATCCGTATCCTGCTAAAGGGTCTATTTGTATAATAATAATTCAAGGCCAAAGAAAATAATAGGTGACAAATGGGGGTGATATGAAATTAATGGCCGTAGCCAGTGCTTTTTGGTAAACAAATTGAAGGGGCTGAAGAGCTGAACTGGTCAGAGGGGAAAAGTGGAAGGGAAAAGTGGAAGAAGGGAGAGTGTAGCCAAAGAGAAAAGAAAAGTCCATCCGTCTATATTCGGAGACGCCTCGCAAATGTATTCCAGCAATCAAAATAAGAAGAATAAGTAAAACCGAATGAAATCCTGACACCAAGGATGCCCACAGAAGTAAACAAAGGGGGGGGAAGTGAAGATAAATTAACGACACTGTAAATGCACATGGTCTATTCGTTTCGTGGCGCGCGTGAAATCGAAGTTGATTGTAGATAGATGATCAGAACCGCTCCGCCAGATCACCACCCGCAACCGAGTTGTTGGCCGACGAAGAAACCGTCGTGAAGCCATTGACCGGGTTCAGCATGTCCTGAACGGCCACTTTGGGAACCTGAGGCACCGGTAGCTTGCGTTGCGTGCCGTCGGACCGAGACATGATGTCGCTGATCGTGGGACCAACGTGGCCTTGATTCGGGCTGTAGTAGTTGGGGCCTTCCGGCTGAGGTTCCATCGGCGCCAGAGCAGGAGTATGGTGCAGCGACAGGTGACGGATCGACGGCAGGTGCAAGTCAGTGGCCCCTTGCGGCCTTAACCGCGGCGAGTGAGCGGGAGTGGCCAACGGAGTGTGGTCCGGAGTCGGCGAGAGGGAGTCGTGAGAGAAGGTGGGGGAGGAGGGGCGGTCGAGTTGGGAGAGTTGGGCCTCGAGCGTTTGATGCGGTGCGACGCGTACGGGTCCTCGTCCTCGTGCGAGTGCGAGCGGCTCATGCTGTGCGAGATAGCATAGGCGGACAGCGACGGCAGACGGCCGTTGCTCTGGTGGCGAGAGCCGAACAGCGGGGGGCCGCGAGGGCCGGCTTGGAACCCGAAGTGCTCGTCACGCTCGACCTGCGACGCAGCAGTAGCCAGGAGGTTGATGTCCATGCCCGACGAAGCCCGGTCGTTACTGCGGGGGTACGGGCCCAGGTTCGACCGCATGTGGCCGGCAAAGTTGGAGTACGAATGAGGGGGCGAGACATCCGGCGAGCCGACCTGCGACACGGGGGCGGACCGGGTGATGGGCTTGGTCGGAGGCGGCATCATCGAGCCGGCATTCGCCATCGCAGTGTCCTGACCAGCCGCCGCCGCCGCTGCCGCCGCCAAATGCTGGGCCTTGTTACTCCTCCGCGAGTTGGGGTTGTTGTGGATCCTCGAGTGGCGAGTCAGCTCGTCGGAGCGACTGAAGCGCTTCGTGCAACCGGGGAACTGGCACGCGTGCGGCTTTTCCCCCGTATGCGTGCGGATGTGTCTGGTCTGATGCTCCAGACGGTGGAAAGCACGGTCACAGAGGGGGCACTTGTAAGGGCGAGGCAGATCCTGGCGGACCTCCTCGGTGGCCGGACGAGCACCCTTCATGAGGGGAGGTAGGAGGCCGACAGACGAAGCCATTGATGCGTTAGACTGGGCACTGGAGGGAGTGGAAGGGCCTTTGGGGCTAGCCACAGGGGTGGTAGGGGTGGAGTGGGCGATGGTATTCTGAGGGTTCAGTAGATTAGAAAAATCCACTGGCGAGGGCGGTGGCGGCATGTGAAGCTCTTCCTAATCGAAGTTGCGGAGGAAAAAGAGCTGTGAGACAGGGCGGGCTTTTAAAGCAGGGACACGCTCGGCAAAATAGAACCGAGGCGAAAGCAGATCTGTCGCAACAGCAGGGGGGGATGAGCTAAATCGGATATGTGATCGACACCCGATATCACCCCAGAAGGAGGTAGCCTTGGCGGTCGAGGTATCGCGAGGGTATATCACAGGCAAGCTCTGGAATCGTCCAGTGGGGTTGCAGTGTAGACGAGAGAAGTTCTATCCGTTAAAGGAAGGGTTGCAGCAAGTGGCTTTAAGAAAGAATCCTTAAGGGATATGGAATGTGGCAGATGGTGTAGTAGCGATGGGAGCCCGGAATCGGAAATGAACCCAGTTAGGTAGCTGTAGCGAGTCGAGGTAGACGGAGTCGAGCAAAAGAGGCACGAAGTAAAAGGGGGGGGAGAAGGGAAGAGGAGAAGTCTGGAGAAGACGATCTGGGGAGAGGAATATATATGAAGGAGAAAAAGAATGGAGGAGGGGGGAAGGAGGGAAGAAATGGAGCTCGGGGGAGGGGAGGAAAAGAGAGAGAGAGAGAGAGCGCGTGCAAGACTGAGCAGAGTCACAGAGGGGGGTGTTATCGGAATCAAAGGCAAAAAAAAAAGAAGAAAAAAAGAAAAAGAAAAAGAAAAAAAAAATCAGGTACTTTGTGTGGGGAGGAATCTCGGGGGGCAAAAAAATAAAAAATAAGTTATGAAATTTGAAAATTGGGATTGAAAAATAAAAAACCAAAAAAACACAGCCAAAATGAAGCATTAAATAGTCAGAATAATAGCAGAAAAAAAAAAAAAAAAGAAAAAAGAACGTGCTCAGACTAGATCGGCTGCTCAACTTGGAGATTCCCCCGGTCGGTTTTTAAGTGGGGATTCTTTTTCTCTTTTTTTTTTCTCTCATTCTAGGTGTTAAATCGATCTGCTTGTATTTTATGTTGTTTTTAAAAATACAGACTCAAAGAGTAAACCCCTTTGTTATGTCCTATTCTCCCTTCCACAGATGGAATCCTAAACCAGCCCAAGGAGTCTGGAGTCGAAACCCAATATCAGCAGTACGGGGTAGATGTGACCGCTGTAACTGTTGGCAATTTCGGGGCGTCTTCCGGGTGGCTCTCCGGCCACGGTGTATTAAAAAAATAAAATCAATTGAAAAAGAAATAATAATAATGCCTCCTCCATCTACCGGGAAAGGGACAGACCCGAGTTGCAAAAAAAAGAAACAGAAAAAAAAAAAGAAAAAAAGAGTAAAAATAAGAAAAAGTGTGGGGCACGCTAGAGTTGATAGGGATTACGGAGTAGAAACTGGAACTGCAGAAGTGGCTATGGTGGTTTGGAGAAGTGCGTGTCCCGTACAGCTTGCCAAGAGGTTGGCAAAAAAAATAGAAAAAAAAAAAAAAAATTGTGTAATGACCACATAACCGGCTATCGCGGATGATCTGGAGATTATTATCCACCCTTGGCAGGGAAACGCAGTCGATATTACTACCTAATGCCAATATAGTATGGGGTCGACTTGATTACGCGATTGTCTGGGCGGGTGGTTCAAAGAGACGAGGTTACTCGTCTCCGGTCTCATGTGATGGTGACTATTATTGATTAGTATTGCTATTATGTTTATTATTATCATATGAATTGATTCCTGGTTGTTGATGCCAGCATGACATGGAACTACGAGGCGGAGAGGCGGGGAAGAAGAAGGGATGACGACAGCTGAAGGGGGGGGGGGGGTAAGAACACAAACCAGCTGGCCACACAATGATGTTACCATCCGGGATGATGATGTCGGCACCTCAATACCAGTTCAGTCTCCCTTTACTCCAGAATTCTGTGACAGGCAATGGGAAAGGGTATGGGTTTTGTTCGACATCAGTCCAGACCAGCTGATCGACCAACCTCCCCAACCGGTGGTTGGACAGTGCAAAAGGTCGATAACCAGGCGCCGTGTGTCGAATGAACGTCCCAAATTCCCCGGGGTGACGGATCTTGTAGATCATAGGGTAGCGTTGGCGTGGTTGGGGGGGAGGGAGGGTGGAAAAAGAAGGAGGGACGGTCATACGATGAGCAAAAGAGACAATACTTCAACCTTTCATCATCATCGGTCGAGAACTGCATGTGCGTTTTGGCGGTAACCACTGGGCTGAGCTGGAAGGTTGACGAAAATAACCCGGAAGGATGCCCAATTGAGGGTTCCCATGGATGAGTCATGGTCACAGCCACCTGTCAACAGTCAAAAAATGAGGCCAAGAGGGAATCTTCTTGAGGCCAGACTTTCCAATCAGGTAATATGGGGCATTTTGCCTGGGGAAGGCGATGCTCTGGATCTTTGCCGCCAAGACGTGGACAAGTCAGTCATCACTTGGTTATTTTCCCAACGGTGTAATATCGGCGTACAAAATGACATAATCATTTGTACCTGTATCAACTGTGTAGATATGGATAAATCATGGTAGGAGATAAGAAGTCACTCGAGAATTAGTATTGGTAAATAGCCGCCACCACCGCGTGAAGTGAATATCGGATATCATTGGTATCCTCGCCTCGGTCTAGACTACTTCTTGTGATGCCGTTTTGCAAAACAATCAAGAATCCCAATCCCACCAGATAAGACAGACAAACAGACCAACCTGGAGAAGGGTTTGGAACTCCGCAAATCCCCAGATCCACATTTCGTCTACGGAGTACTCCTCTGGGCAATGTCAGTGTGCTACAGTAATTGCCTCTGCTCCTTACTACCAATACATGGATCAAGAAGGAAGAGGATGTTAGTAGGACATCCGGAGTACGCCCGAGACCATAACATACTATAATGTAATAGTTAAGATAATACTATTATATTTAGAGTCTAGTATATCTGATAAGGTTCCTCGCGGAGATTCTCCCGGAGGAAATCCCTTACCTCCTTCAGTCATCCGTACAACGAACCAACTAATCCGGCCGAAATCTTCTGCGACCTTCTCCGTGCTTCGTTATTGACACAGCCATCCAGCCAGCCTTGTTCTGGTTTCACCGCTCCACTGCAGTCATGGACGATCTCCTAGAATGTTTACCCGGGGTGGTACTAAACGCGGGACACCGGGGAGGGTTCCCCAGCCAAACTGCAGGAGGGAAAGATACGCCACATAATATGAGGTCGGTTGGGGTCCTTGGATTTACTTCTATTTTTATTGTATATCCTTCTACAATTGTTCTCGTAGTTCAACTGGTTAATGTAGATCTGATTTATATTATTCTTATTTTTAATGAAAAAGATTAGTGCTGATAGACAAGTAAGGGTTGCACTGGATTTCACCTACAATAATAAAACCATTCCTAGGACCGTGGGGGTTGGGAATATCATGAGTTGGGATATTATGAGGTTGGTGGGATCTTAAAAATTTGATAATAATAATAACAATAAAGAATGTGTAAATTAAATAAAAAAATAATTAAAAAAAGAAAAAGAGGAGAATGAAGATCCAAGAAACTGGACAAGATGCACGAAGCCGTCTCAGTAAGTTGTTTAGTGGAAGATCACGAACAACAAGGAGGGTCCGCGACCGGGGTGATGATGTCCTGGTGACATATTCATTTACCAAACACTATTGCACTATTTTGGAACTACAGAAGTGAAAATTGCAAGTATTACCTGGTGACTTTGTCTTCAAATGACCCTAACATGGTGGACTCAGTTGTACACCTTATCAATTGCTGGGTTGAGGAGAGAGGCGGGATGGAAGTGTTATACAATCAATGTACATAATTATAGTTACATGTTGCGTAATCTACTCCGCCCTTTTCCACCATTACGTACCGCCCCCGAAATCTTAACAAGAGAACGAGGCAAGCCTCTTAGGGGTAAACCTCTTAGCAGCTATCTGGAATTACCAAAAGAAGAGCAACACCAAACGGGAAGGAAGAAAGATATGGATTAGAGGAAGAGGATAAAGTGGAAGAGAAAGCGATCTCCCCCCGCCCCGGATCAAGCGATACATCGTGGTGGCCTGTTCATCTTGATAGGATAAAGTCGGACCGTGCGATCAGCAGACGCCGCATCGTGACTTAGTTATTGTAGGCTGGATCGTTCGTGCCCTACATTAGCCGGCGGTAAGCTTGATATACAGCCGTATAAGATCATGATAATAATCATGATATCAAACCCCCGGTGTGCAAAGAGCGGGGCTCACCAGCTAATTAGATCATCTAGATAAGAGTAAACAACAAAGTACCACGTAGCAGGGTGCAGAGGACCTCTACATAACATTGGCAGGCATACAGATGCAGATACAGATACAGACGCAGCACACATGTCACACACATCAGCACACTACCAACGAGCGGTCCATCTCGCTCACACCGGGACCGGACCGCAGAAACCTGGTTTACCACATGCGCTTATCATCTGGATGATAACACCCCCTCCCCCGTTTCCATCAAAGGTGGGGTTGTTAGTTGCTTTTCTTGTTCAACCGTCGGTCCGGAGTACCATAGTTCAGTTTCGTCCAGCTGTGCCCCGGAAAATGGAACTTGAAACTTGAAACTTGTACCTTGTTGTTATCTATGATACATATTACGGGGGAAAAGTGCGGGATGCATGGGGAACACCAGGCGGAGTAAGTTGGCACGCAGGTACCGGTTGTGCCTCCTACTCGCCCCCTTTCTCCGTTACCCCCCGGCTGGGGTAGGTAGGGGTTTCAAATTTGGTATATTGGTTATTCTTGTTATGGTTGAGATCACCATAGAGGGGGTTGATATAGGATATGGTAATTAATTCGATTGATGGAGTGATCGGCTGACCACGGTGTTGTTCATGTCTGGAGAGGTGTGGTTTTCGCATATCCCGCATAGCTAGAATAGAAGATAGGGCCTATTATCCCCCACAATATGGCGAGCTTCAGTGACTGGCTGGCTCATCGCAGCCTTATCTCTCATACTTACCCGGGTATGAGGATAAAGATTATGGCCCCAGCAATAACCTCCTTACACCTATTGATCCACCTAGGGCTAATCTGACTCGTGGCCCCAGCATAGTACTCTGAATTAGCCTACCCAAGGACCTATAGCCCCCAATAAGGATCAACTACATTGTTACCCAAGGCGTCGGCATCGTGGAAATGAAGGGCCAGCGACCCCATTGTCTCAGCGTGGGATAACGAGGCAGAATCGCCAGGCAACCTGCCTGACAATCCAGCTCACGGATAAGCGGCTTTCAGGGCCCCCCTTGGCGCCTGGCCGATCGTCATCAGCTGTGCTCCTCCGTATTTACACTATACTAGTTGGGCATTGCTTCAGCTCTAACCAAATGAATCATGCGTTTCGCTGTCTTTGTAGAAAATGGGAAAGTTGCGTCATGCTGGAAGAACGCACATGAACAGCATTGACTACTGAGGTAATTGATTAGTTGGTTGAAGATTTTGTTGTTCTCGTTTTCCGGATGATCACATCCCACTATCAGACAGGGCAAACCTGAGTGTCGATCACACGCCCGCGATCATCATCGTCGCGGGGAAGATCATCGGTCCCAAGTTCCTCTAGGGAATTTGCAGAAAAGATTGCTGTAAAGGAATAGGTAATAATATTGATAAATGGAATTGGTGATACCGCACTAAAAAAATAGATAAATGAGATAGCCTACAACTAGTTACCAGCTGGGCTATTGTTCTCTTCCTTCTTTGGGTAAAGCACGGGTTTTGTGTGATCTCTTGGGGGAAAAGATTTGTGGAGAGATCCGTCCCCCCGTCTAGCTATCTGATGGCGCAATAGATCGAGTCACCCAGGGTCCTTACCTTTCCTTTCCTTGTTGGATGCGGGATTACGTGCTAGCGAGTGGGATGGTCATAGTATCGGGCGGTAGAGGACCGGGATACGCATCCAGATGATAACTTGGTGATGACAATGATTTGTCCATTGTCCGAAATCCTATCTACCTGGATGAAGGAAGAAAATGGAGTAAGATCCGACATCGCTCACTTTCAACACAAGTCAGCGCCGCTTGCGTGCGGATACTGCGGTGATCAAGTCCAGGCCTGAAAATGGCGCCATCAGACAACAAGCATCTGGGGACATGGGCGCCTGCAACAATGAGGGGTCGACGGGAGATCATTGACTGACTGCTCTAACCGCCGCTATGATGTTGCCTGATCGCAGTCTGTACAGTTCTGTGTGGGGATCTTTTTCTTTTCTGTTAGGGATGAGGGGGGAGGGGTGAGCCCTTGATGGTTAGTACATACTACCTACTAAATGATTGTCGGAGTTAGTTTGGCTATTGCATGGTGTAGGATCGTCTGACGTTGGACGCGTGTGTCATTTTTATTACCTTTTTTCTCAACTTTTTTTCTTCATATGAATACTGTTAATAATGGATTTACAGCGCTTTTCCCAGTGTACACTTTGCAGTGTGTTGTCCAAGTAATCAAACTGAAAGCGAGCAGGGCGCAAGGCAGCCTATCATCTACCCATCTCAGCAGATACTCAATCAATTTACCCTGTCCATAGATCTAGATAGTCCATAACATCCCCAAGTAATTCCAGGAATGTAATGAACAGCTCTGTCCACCCGCTCAATCCCCGTGTCAACAAGTCCAGGATCAAGGCCGTCCAGATTCTAGAGCAAGCCACTAAACCGTCGGGTTCCTTTTCCTGCCAGGGTCCTGGATTCCCCCATCTCCGGATGATGTTCCTGTGTGACACATACATACGACATACATCAGGGTATTATCATTGGATGTGAATTCTTCTCCCCACTAAGGAAACGCTCTGACGCCCTGACGCCCTGACGCCCCATCCCCCGTCCTCATAATTACGTGGAGGACGTGGCAGACAAGAGGAATGTCAATGCGACATGACACACGGAGCCGGAGGACAATGAGTACCTAAGGTTGTTTTCGTCGACCACGCTGGCAGGTTGAACAAGGGAGGGAGACAGAGGCTCAGGCTCAGGCGCCCGAATCAGCGCCTCCCCCCCTTCCCCTCCTATGTACCCTTGGAGAGAGTCGTATCACCCACGGGGCCACCAGGACATGATTCCAACCAACCAACCCCTTTTGTCTAGTTTCCTCCTTTGTGGGGAGTTTGCGCCCGCCGGAGATAGACGGGTTTCTCTATCTTTGTATTATGATTAGTATTATTATTTAAAAATTGATTAATTGATTTTTATTTTCTTCCACCCAATGACACCGTAGCTTCACACTTAAGAGATCATATTCTGGAGTTATTGGACAATCTTATCCGCCAGGATTCGTCACTAGCTATTTAAATAGCATAAAAGTTGAGTAACAAGATGTGCGGAGACGGAATCTGGGGAAGGTTGTCTTGTCTGTTGTAATTGTAACTGTAACTGTGACTGGTAAAATTACGAGGGGTATCCTTGACTAAGCCGAGTCGAGTCGTTTTACTCCAGTTTTCAATCCTCCTCATTTAGGAAGGAATAATAGATGCCTGGTTTTTTATTTATTGTTTATATGACGTGAAAAATTCGTTATCAGCTGAAACTGGATTGCTATGCTATTGACAAGAAATCCAGCTCAGCTCGCGACACACTTCCCAGAAAGACTAGCCTACTAGACGGGGAGCGTTGCCCACCTACCATGTAAGTACTAGAGTACGGAGTATAGGATAGCTAGCCAGCAGATAAGGAAGGAAGGAAGGAGAAAAGGAACTAACGGGTAAGAAAGCGGATCATCTTCTCCCCTCTCCCCCCTCCCGCAACCGCAATCACCACGGCCCTCGGCTGTCTAACCACACGCACCAGCACCGCATACAAGGCAAGAGATTGCCAAGGCTAGGCACTAAGATCCACAAGCTTCTGGAACAGATGGACGCTTTTTTTTTTTTTTGAAAAAAGTTTCTCACCGCCTGCTGGTTTCGTCGGCGGTGTACAACTCGGGAGGGTTATACTAATTATACCTCCCCGGGTTAACTATGCGGGGCCGGATCCCGGCCAGGAGGGTTTATGTTCCAGGTTTCTGACAACCTAGAGGTGAGATAGGTGTGTATGATGGATGGGGGGTGGATGGTATTGGTGGGAATTGAAGGGTTGGGAAGGAAGAATTTTCAATCCATCTATGAGGACGCAACCTCGCCTTACCACTCACTCAATCACTTACAACTATCCTACAGATCGAAGACGAGTCATCGAGTGGTGGACTGACTGAGTGAGCGCTGTCTCCGAGGGTCCTCCATACTAACTACCAGGTATGTTACCTACACTAAGAAGAACCCCACCCGATTATGACCCTCTAGCAGAATTTTCTTCTCCAACCTGTCTTATCCATCCATCCATCCTGGAACCCACCTGCCATCAACCTACCACTCTTGGTCCAACCAGGGTTTGGAATGGAGAAATGCCCTAAATTTAATGCATGTTTTTTATTATCCTTATTATTGATGATTTCTGTCGATTTTTGTGTCCCGTAATTACTACTGTTTTATACTACGTATCCTTCAGTTCAGTTCAGACCAAGGCATACTAACATACTGAACATATGGAGACTACCGGCATGGAGACGTCTGGGGAATGAAATGAATGAATGAATGGATGGAATGCATGCGATGACACGTCGCCTGAAAGCAGCCGGAAGGTTACCCGAAGCGACCGAAACCTGGGCAAGCGGGCATAACATGAGTAATCAATAAAGTATCCGTAATCTGGAGATGGATCAGGATGGGTTTAGTCAGGTTGGAACTCCGAAGTGCGGATGATTGAGCATTTTGTGTAGACTTGACTCTTGTGGGGAAGGAAAAAAAGTAAAAAAAAAAAAAGTAGGATAAAGAAGTGAAAGAGAATAGGAAACAGGAGGAAAATTCAGCCAGGTAAAACTATCCGTAACCAACAGGGCTTTTTTCGTTTTCTTACTTTTTTTAGAAGCCTTTTATTATTTTCTTTCTTTACGCGCCCTTGACAGCACCGAGTTTCATCCTTGGCCAACACACATACTGTATACTGTACCCAATATAAAGATTAATTTGTAGTCTGCGAGTATAACCCACTGTCCAGTGTCCACTAAGATACAATCATTGCAAGATCTTAATTTATTACCCAAACACAACATTAGAAAGTACTAAGTAGAAACATAGTAAACTCTTTTTGTTACGGATACAGGACTAGTGGCAGTACTGGGGAAGTCGACTCCATCCGTTCGTCGACTCCTGCTGTTATCGGGATGCCCCTGACTAACTCCGTAGATTCAGTAGACTATTTGATTTGGTGGAGGCTGGCGTGAGGTGTCATCCACCGAGGTATTCATTCATCTGTCTATTGAAATTGAAAGACAAACAATTGATGAGTCAATCAATCGGTCAATTTGAGATGGATCAAGGCTGGTTGTGGTGCAATGTGGGATGGATCTAGAGTGTTGTGTGTTGGCTAGTGAAGTTGAAGGGGAAGGAAGGAAGGAAATGGCCTGATCTGGAGTGGATTGATTCCGTCATTTTATCTACCTAAGCTAGGAATAGCTTATTTATGACGATGACGATGAATTATGCAGCCAGATCCAGTTCACATGTCATGATCTCCGTCAGTTTGATTATCATTGGTATTTATTTTATTTTATTATTTTTAATGGAGATAAATAAGGCTATTGAATATACCCCGCCGACTATGAAGTTATACACCACTGTGTACGGAGTACGGACTACGGACCAAGTGGATAGACAGGAGGCGCCGTGGATTGGGGTTGGGTTAGAAAACTTAGGGGTCCGCAGCGGGAGGCCAGCCGCTTTCATTGAAAATTATGTCTAGCAAAACTCAATGAACCTATACCGTGTCTGATCCGACGCATGTGCCCATTCTTTACAGCGTACAGGTGTTGCAATTTTCAAATTGACTTCTCCAACATTTGTGGTTAAGATTACGAGGCGCCAGCCATGGACCCTCAAGGCGTCCACTTAAAGTTTGATGTAGGCGCCTTCTCCGTCTGTCGTCTCCTTTCTTTCTCCTGTCTGTTATTTTCGTCCTTGACCGCTAGATGTCGCATTATGTATGTTCACGATCATATTCGCGACAGGTAACAAATTGCATAAAAACATAGGTGGTGAGGATGGACAACGAATAACTCCTCCCTGCGGGGCAACATGCCAAGAATGGAAGGGTAGAAAATTAAAAAAAATAAAATAAAATCAAAAATAAAAAGGGTTAGGGGGAAAAAAAAAAAGACGATCCAAGAAAGGAAAAGAAGCAGTTGCGTCATGGAAATGATTTGCAGCTAATTCAGGAGTCGAGACAAGGGCCTGCCTTAGTGGCGCGCACAGCCGTGTTTCAATGACAATCTCCCGCGTCCGGAGAGGGAAATTCTGGATCGGATGGGAGGGTCCTTTTTCCCGTCGCATCTATCCGGTTAGCTTCTTGCCCCAATTCTCTAACCCTGCCAGGGAGGGAGATAGGCTTGAGTTAGCTACTGGTTTAATATGATACTATGGGATGATTGTAATCTCTGATGAGGATTTGTATAACATGTTATCATTCAAACTGGATGAAAAATAAATTACCTGATACAGCCCCAGGGACAACTGTCTGAGATCAGCTCGCCACAGTGGATTATGTCAGACTGGGCTTCTCTGGGGATTCTGGGATTCTGGGGCTGTGAACCAGACAGAAAAGTCTGAGTCTAGAATAAGATGCAGCTTCCACGACACGGGTCGGATCATTTCGGAGGAATACCGGCTCTCTCCTCTAAAAGATGACTGGGAAAGAAAGTAGCGATTTCCGGAAGTTCATTTTGATTTCTGATCAGGAAATTGCGGAGAAATTTCTTACCTAAAGGAACGGAATTATCCCTCGGTTCTAACCCCACTGAGGACCAAAAGACCCCTCTTTCTACTGTCTCTAGCTAGATTCCCCTCCTGGAGATGGACTAAAGGGTTCCTCGGTGAAAAAACCGAATGAAGATTTTTTTTTATTGACTTTTATTTGATTTTAATTTACTTCCACTCCTTGTCTTCTCCCGGTTCAGTACACGGAGCACAACCTGTCTAGTCGTAGTAGTCATGAGTCTGACAGATTAGGGGGCTCCGCAGTCCAAGCCCCCCCAGTCCAAGCCCCCAGTCCAAGGCCGGGTTTGAGGCAATTTTTGCTCGGCATCTCCGTGCCGAATCCCTCACTATTTCCCCCCCCCTTTGCCCCTCGAGGTTTGCCGAGTCTATCCCGAGTCCCGTCCTGGAGAGACCGTACTCCGTATCTTCCTCAAGACAGTTAAGTTGTCTTCGGGTGAACTTAGTTACCTCGAGGCGAGGGTTCCCAATTCGGTAATGGCGTTCCTATCCCGCCTATCCCAGGTCTTCACGTTCCATCGTGTCTCGATCGGTGGACGGGAACCTGAATGCGTTGGCCCTCGGCATTCCAACCGTGTACAAACGTGTATAAATCATGAGTAAACCAGATTGAAGAATTTTTTTCACGCTCGCTTATCCTTCTTGAGATTCTAGAATGTGACAGCGGCTTTTTCTTTTTTTTCCCTCGTCGCATGCATCTGGTAATCTCGTTGACTTTCTCTTTGGGGTTGGTGTAGTATTTTTCAAACCCGGGATGACATGGCCATAGCGTGTGTGTGTGTGCCTGAAACTGTGGGTTGAACCTCCGGGTGAGGGAAATATCGATGAGCCCTGCCTGGACCCTGTGGCCCCATTTCATCCCCTTAGAAAAAAAACCTCGCAATTTCGGTAGCAGATTCTTCACGTCTCGGTCTTTACTCCCCTGGCTGATGATATGAGACTACTAGTATCTAGAGTACCATCCAGTAACTACTAACTAGTTTAAATGACAGTCTCAATAAAACAACGGCCCCGTCCCACTGTTAGACCGTCACTAAGCTTTCGTCTCGTTCCTCCCTTCTCCATACGTGTAACACGCTACGGATACTTTGAGGATACTACCGATGGAAAAATCTGGGTGAACGATGGACCAACCAGAGGTGAGATTGTTAGTGCGACGGGCTAAAATAATCTATACACTTTAGGTGTAAGAGGGCTTTGTATAGCTTGTGCATTGGTATCGCGGGCTATCTTCTATCTGGTATATTGCCTTGTCATTGTAACTGTCACATATCTGGTCAGCTGCCTCTGGAGTTACGGGCATCGGGTATACCCTATCGATCCTTCAAAGTGGGGGTCTGGTTTTGAATGAGGTTGTCAGAAGTGTCACTGCCAGTCAATAGATATATCAGATCACTGATCCTTTCGAGCGGTCACTCTTGACGTCAGCGCCGTCGAAATTAATATGGCTGGGTGATGGCCGTTCAGGACATGCAGGACTGGCCTGAGTAGGAACTGATAACGTCGTACATGATGGAGAGTACTTCAGCGCATCCTTTGGTTAGTATGAACGGCGGATGCATACAGTCTGGTATGCGAAAGAAACGCGATTGGATGTACAAGTCTTGTCCCTGGTGTTATGCTAAGATCGCCAAATCAGGCTTCTAGATACTGTCTTGAAGATGATCATCGTACATAGCTGGTTTGGATCAATCATTGGCATCTGGCAGTGTCGGATGCTTGCCGATATTAGTAGATATGATGACGGAAAACGTCTGGTTTGTGGGCCATAATTGTTATATACCCAGTTTATACCGTCTCGACAAGGACTCCGTATAGTCTCATGATATGTCTATTGACCGCCGTAGAGCTCCGTACACGACGACCGAATGAAAGGTGACACGTCCAATAACCACCCAGAAAGGAATTGAAGATCGGCAATATTACCCAAAAAGGTCAAATGATATCGCGCTCGACGCCATTCTGCCGCGTCTGGCCGCCTCCAAAGTTCTTTCGGCCATTCTCAACAACGCTCTCTCGCCCTCTCGCTCCTCGCTCGTTCCATCATGATCGCTCGTTCCTCCCGCGTATATCTAGTCTCGAGAAGTCCAGCTTCATAGGTTACAGCCTGTCGCGGCCATTGACCGGCCTGCCCCACTTCCCTCCTCTCCCCTTTCGCATTCCCCCTCTCAACTCGCATCATGGCGCCCCCGCGGCAGCGCACGACCGCCGTCCACGATGACTCTCGCTCGGAAGCTTCCAGCACCGCGCGTGAACACAAGACAGCCTCCAAGGGTCGCAAGACGGCCAATGCCCCTGCCGCCGGTGTCTCGCGAGCTGAAGCCAAAGCCGCTGCTAATGTGACCAGCGCCCCCGCTGTCGAAGACAACCTGCCCAAGGTAGCTCAAGCCAACCCTGCCCATTCTCGGAGCCATCCCTCCTAGATAGCTTTCAAATCGCTTACGAGTCTGTCTCCCTGATCAGATCGACTGGAACGAAATGCCCCTCAGCATGCTCCACTCCTACCGCCACTCCTACAAACTCTCCTGCCCCAGCGCCTACCCCAGCGAATACTCCCAGCTTCTCCTATCCAAGGGAATCGGCCTCCGATCACCAACCGCCATCGCCGCCCAACGCGCCCACCAAGCGAAACAAGACCCGCAAACCAACGGCGTGAACGGAGCCGACAATGCCGGCGTAGCGCCGAAGAACGCCCCCAATGGCATCGCCAGCAGCAGAGATCCCACCCACGGACAGAGAACAGTAGATGGGAAGAGCGCCCTGCACCGCATCATCGCGCAGGACCGCGTCAGCAAGAAGCAGCTTGCGACGGCGGCGCGGAAACACTTCAATAATGCCGCGTTGGCGGAGCAGGAGGCTATCGCGCGGTTTCTGTATAAGGTGCGCGAGGAAGGGAGGGGGAGGCAGTTTCGGTTGAGGTTTCAGCCTTAATTGTCCTCTTCCTCCTCTCCCTCCTCCTCCGCTTTCTTATTATCATTCTTTGGTCCTTTACCGATAGGTTTCGTTGGCTTTGGTCAATGGTTGCCTATGGGTAGTTTTTTTCTAGGTTTTGGGCTGGGTTCCCTGCAGCAGGCGTTTTGATATCGTTCTGTGCCTGGCAGGACCTACGTTGGTTTTTTGTCTGTTTCTCTTACCGTCTACCTCATCTTCCTGTTTCTTCTTCGTCCAAGTCATGATACCCATTGTGTTTCCTCATCCATCTTCTCCAATCTTGATGTACTATCATTGCTATATATGCCATCTATTCTCCTAGTTATCCGTTTTTACTACCCTACACCGTCTGTGAACACACAATATCGGGTAGCCATCTCACTCCCTCGGAATGATCGATTCTCAACTCAAGCATAGGAGCCCGGCGAGATTCTCCCCTTTACTTTCATTCCTTCTTCAAAACTACATACATCCTTGAAGGATATACCGACTGGCCAAGCTGACTATAATTATCTCTCATTGCTATCTTCGAGACCGGATCAGCCCCGCTTGTACACTATCCTATCCATCAGCAGGACATATCCTGTGCACTCGCATCTAGGGTGACTCCAGTATATCAGCCCTGTATAGGAATCCCTCCAAATCATATAAAAACAGTCCTGTCTAATATCAATCTTATGTATGTCTATAAACAGTATACAACCACTTTAAAAACAAATTCTCAAGAGCCGAGATAACTCCCTCAACAGGGAAAACCTGAAGCTACCCAAAAGGATATAAAACATATGAACCAAAAGAGAGAGAGAAAAAAAAGGATGATTCTCTCCGCATCTTGCGGGATTGATCGTGTATTACAGAGAAGACTGATACAGGTTCTTTCCTCCTATTAACTATGGGCCATTAGTTACCCAGCCCTATAAACGGATACTTTTATGGATGAAAGTCGACTGTACCTAAAAGACACAAGACACGGCAGACCCCTGCGCCGGTTTGGAGGTTTGAAAAATTAAAATAAATCAGGCTCAAGCCAACGGGCTCTCATGTTGCTGGCTGGCTGGCTGGCTGGTTGATCAATCAATCTTTTTGGAAAAGAGACTGTTCCATTAAAATGGTTGACAGTCGTAATATTTTCGCCGAATGAACATGAATTTGCAGCACTGACCCTCGTGTCGATGGTAGTGCTTTGGACATCCCCGCCCACGCTGGGCTTCGTTAATTGCGGAGAGATCTTGTTCCGTGGCGCTTTCTGTCGGCAGGGCTGTGACCAGGCTTAGAGAGAAGAGGGCGGTGATGAGTAGTTGGTTGAGATGCAATGTGTTGGGAGAATCTCGACTGGACTGGTGTGGTGGGTAAGCTGAGATGGTTATGTTTGATTGATTATGGAGTAGGTAGGTGTTTTTGAGTGAGTGTTTGTTTGTTCTTGATGGAGACGGTGTGTAGCTTTTGATGATAAGGTATGAGTTGAGGGATGCTAGGGTGGGCGGCGTGGTGGGATTTATATCCTTGGTTTTATACTCCGTGCTACGTAGATGCATATGGATGGACATGACATTTAGGGTTACGTTTCCCCTGGATGGGGCCTCTACGCGAGGGGCTCCATGGGGTAGTTATATCATGCGCCGTTCTGGAACATGTAATCTGCTAGACTCCAATAGTTATACTATAGATGAATGAACACGGCAACATAGATATGACTTGTTGCACTAGTTGAAATAAGAAATAAAAACAGGGTAGAAACTTCCAGATTTCAGTATACTGATCAATAGACTATCTATCCTATTCAGTAGAAAAAGATCACAATGGATACGTAATAAAACTCTGACCTGGCACTCTAGGCCATGCTAACTATACCAAGGGTGTTAAACCTCCTTGCTTGACATATGTGAGATCGGTATCATATACTGATAGGAATGATGTTGCAGATATCAGCCATATCCAGTCTGACCGAGATGCTGTGAGGCTTTTTAGTGCAGTTGGCTGATGCTTTGATACCAAGGGATAGGATAGGGCAGGATAGGGTAGGGTAGGATAGGATAGGGCAGGATAGGATAGAGCAGGATAGGATAAGATAGAAATGATAAGATGGAATCAGAATAGAATATAATGGAATTTTTCAATAATATCCACACTAGCCAACAACACAAAAACACAGCAAGAAACGCCTGGATGCAACCAACCAACCAACCAACCAACCAACCGACAACCCATCGTCTTTCATTGTTCTATCATGTTTCGTGAGTTTGCACTTCTCAGCTTCAATCCCGGGGTAGGGAGGAAAGGGAGGGATTGTTCATTTCCACGCGTTAAGACCAGCCCATGGATCACCTTGGCCCTGACCCTGGCCCTGGGGCTGGGACGACTGGGAAGGCGCCTTGTGGTGCTGGCTTGAGCCGTACGGGCGACTTTGGGCGTAGCCGCCCGGACCCGTGGGGTAGGGTCCCGTGGAGGGTGGGTAGCTGGTTTGATGAGGTCGTGGGGGCGGGGGCGGCGGGACGTAGCCCTGGGGCATGAATTGAGAGGGGGCGGTGGGCGGCGTCGGGTTTGAGTAGCCGCTGTAAGGGGTCGGAGTCGACGAGTAGAATTGCTGGTTGGGCGGCGGGGAGGCGGACGGCGGGTATGGGTATGCCATTGGGTTGTAGCCTTCCGAGAGGGGCGCCGCGGCGCCTTGCTGGAAGTGTTGCCCTGGCATGTAAGAGACGCCGGTCCCTGGGGGCATGTATTGTCCGTAGGGCGCGGGGGAGTGGGACATGGGCATGCCGTGGGGTTGCCCGGTTACGTTGGGCGGGAAGGCGGGAGACATCTTCGGGGATGTGATCCCCGGCGTGGGGTAGCTGGGGACGTGGACCGGGGGAGGGGGCGATTTCGCCTTGTACGACGACACTGGGGGCGGAGGACCCGCGGAAGGGGGCTTGGGCTCTGTGGACAGGCGCTCCATGAGCTGGCGGAGCTTCTCCCGTTCTTGGTCTTCCTGGTTGGCTGCCCCCCCTGCCTTGTCGCGTTCGATCTGGGCTAGCAGCTGCGCCCCCTCGGACCGCCGGTTGTTTATGAAGGAGTCGACGTTCTTCCGGAGATTTTCCACCGTCTCGCCCATCTCGGTATAGAAGGTCTGCGCCTGGACGACGCCCGACAGGAGGCCGTTGAATGCGTCGTACACTTTCTTATACCGAGCCATCACCGAATTCCGCTGGCGGGTGATGGCCTCGTACTTGGATTGCTCGGATCGGACTCGTTTGTCTTGTAGTAGATCTCCGTAGATCTTGGTGAGCTCTTTCATCAACGAGGACTGCTTGTGGTTGGCCTGGAGCAGTCGATTCTGATGCGGCCGGAACTTTTCCAACTCCGCTTCAAAAAGCTGGCTCTCCTGTCCGGTGATTGACTTCTTGTTCAAGATGAGAACATTCGAGATGTCATCATTGTGGACCTATAGTTTTTGATTAGACGAGTAACCGAGAGGGGAGGGGGAAAGACATACCTTTTCTTTCAAATCCTTCAAAACTTGAGAACGCTCCCGCTTGACCAGATTCAGTTTCTTCAAAATGGATTCCACTTTGGCAATTTGATCCGCCACACTAAGGCTCCCTTCGTCGTATACATCGTCCAAAAGATTGCCTTCCGCGGTGGACGAGTGAGGGCTGCCAACGCCATTCTTACCCTTGCCGTGCTTTGAGCTGACCTTGATCATGGCCCGTTGGAAGAGCACCTCGGCCTCGTCCGTCTCACCGGCAGACCGCATCTCGTCAAAGTCCGACTCGTACTGCCGGAGCGTGGCCAGCAATTGCGAGTCGCTGGCGCTGGCCTCGTTGATCGTATCGCGGAACGTCCGGATATCACCACGCAGCGTCGTGTTGAGTCGGGCGCTGGGCTGCTGGCTCCAATCTGGCCCATGTTTGGAGCGCATCTTTTCGCAGACGCTCTCTTCCTTGTCCAGTTGCAGGGCGCACTGGTCGAGAAGCCCCTGGATCTCCACTTTGCGGTCCTGCAGCCCATCCAGCGCCTTGGCGAAAGATTTGTGGCCCGCGAGGTCCTGACACCACCGCCGGAACTCATCATCGACCGTCATCTCTTGGTCCATGCCGCCTTTCACAATATTCAAGCTACCCGGGAGCTTCAGGTAATCCAGGCTCGCGGCCATCTCCCCGTTGGCCGTCTCCACCTTCTCGGTCTCCGCTCGGATCAACTTGGCCTTCTCCTCATCGTACAAACTGGCCGTCTCCGTGACGGACATGGGGACCAGCTTCTGGAAGATATCCGGGCCGATGATTCGTTGGATGTCTTGTCCCTGGTAGAGCTCGCTGACCGGGATCGCCTTGGCCGCGGGGAGTTTGGCGACCGCGGACAGGCCTGCCTCATTGGGGATGGGCTGGTGGTAGATGAAGTCGTTATCCTTCACGAAGGTAGCGAGCGTGGCCTGCACATTTGCGAGGTGGTACTTGATGAGATCGTTCAGGTTCGCCCCGGACTCCGAGCTCAGATTCGAGTTGGGCGGGACCGACGAGGGGAATGACTTGGCCCATCCCAGCGCGGCGTTCGAGTTCTTCTCTGCGAACTGGAGTCGAGCGATGGCCACACCATGCGACTGGCTCTCACTGTCCGCCAGTGCCTGATAGTAGGACGCAACCGACGCCATGTGACTGGCCTTGGCCTGGACCACGATGAGCCACACCTTCTCGAAGACGCCCTTGGCATATTCCTGCATCCCTTCCACGGCCTGGGTATAGAGGTACGCGGACTGGCTGGCGAGCTTGGCGAGGAGACCCGCTTTCTTCTGGTCCGCCGTCTGCTTTTCCAGGAAGACTTCCTGCGCCTGCGCAAGGGTGACATGGATCAGTGTTTTGACCGTGTCGCGATTGAGATCCGTCGACGGCGCATGGAGGAAGTTCTCGTTGATGTAGGTGAACATTCCGGCGGAAGCTTGGAACGAATGATAGGCCGTTTTCAAGCCGGTGTCGTCGGCGCGGTTCTGGTTCGCTGCATGGCAGGAGAGGACGGCGGAGATGTTGAAGATAATGGAAGCTTTCTCAAAGGCCAGAGAGTATTGGGAGGTCTGCTTGTGGGTGAAGGCGTCGTACCTGGATGACGGAAACGTTAACACACATTCTCCACCCACCGCGGGGTAACCAACCCAAACCATACCAAGTAAAGGAGATTTTGATGTGGTTTTCATCCACCGGAAACCTGAGGTCCAAAAGCTCTAGCTGCCCGTAGTACCTATACAGAAGGTCGCGGCCCGTCGCACTGTCTTTCCCCGCACCTCGCATATCTTGGCGCAACCGGTTGAGGGTTGCGCATTCTTGACTGTATCGTTCGGGGTCTTCGCCATAGCTCTGGCGGATGTAGTCCTTGAGGGGGTGGATCCAATCGATTTCATTGGTCTGCTTGAGGGGACACGAGATCATGGCTGATTGAACCATACTGGCGATCGGTCAGAGCAAGCAGCTCCCATTCACAGACGGGGAGTTCGCGAAGCAGTCGGAGGGTCGACTGGATGTTGATGAGGGGGAGGGGAACGGAATTGCGCGCGGCGGGACGATCGGGGAGGAGGGGAGGGGCGGTGGGGGGATCCAAAGTTGGGGTGAAGGAGGGACAAGACGAGGTATCGAGGGATACCAGACCGACAACACCCGATCACGAGATTTAGGCAGAAGCTCTAGGGAGGGAATTCAAGGTTGCGCAGTGGGAGAGACAACGGTTCAAGGTACGTAGGCAGTCGTCGAACCGGAAGGTGGTTGAGATGACGACCGAGTGGGGACGCCGTGCGGGATGAAGACGGCTGACTGGTATGATAGTATTATATAAGGTGGAGTGTCATGGGAAGAGGGATCTAGGTTGTAAAGATATCAAGGGCGGGGGAGAGGAGATCAGATATTCAAGCCTCGACAGGAAGGGAGTGAAGGTAGAAAGGTGGAGGAAGAGAGAGAGAAGTGAAGTGAGTGAGGTGAGGTGAGGGAGGAAGAGGAAGAGGAAGAAGAGGAAGAAGAGTGATGGTGGGAAATGAGGAGAGGCGGAAACCCCCAAGGAGTGATTGGGCGGCGGTCTGGTTGGAACAAGTGAAGTTGGCGCCAATCTTGGATTTAGTCTTGATCCAGACACACTCAGCTATTTGGTATGGATATTATGTTTAATACGGTATAGATTAAAATTATCTTTACATAACTGTTAAATCATATATTCTATATCAGAAGAAGGTGGAGAGAAGATGCAGGAAAGTGGACGGGTCTGATGTGCCAATTCTACATCCCACTATCCCATAGTAGTGATAAGGCTGAATGGAAGCAGGCATGACTTTAGGAGAGAACCTGTTCTAGTCAGTCTCATGGGAATAATTATCTGTGCTCCTTTCTATGACTCTTCTCATCCCTGTTCGACTTGACAGCTACTTTGACATCATCCATGTTCCTTCACTCGAATCGAGCCTTGATTGATATACAGTATCTACCTATCTGGTGGGTCGATAACCTGGTCCGTGTACTTTCACATAACGGGCAATTAAGAGGGGAGCATTTCATTCAAATGGCAGTGTTCAGAGTGGATATCGTCGACAAAAAAAGGCAAAAAGAAAGAAAGAAAAACAGATACGTATAACAGCAGCATAGTACATACAAGTTCCTGCCTCTATCAACACATCCAATATTCCAACATGCAGAAATGGCACAAAACCCCCAAAAGCTCGCCGGCGCTATGAAATCCCTAGAATAATACAAGTAGTGGAAGGGAGATGAATGATTATACAATCCAGAAAGAGAATCATCGAGGGTTCCCGATGTCCCGTCGTCACAGGTCACAGGTCCAGTCGATTATGAGGACTTCTTGTCATCCTCCGTCGGCTTCTTGCTGTTGTCCGACTGCGATTTGTCCGAGGCCTTCTTGTCCGCCTCTGAGGCCTTCGCATGGTTCATGAGCCTGTGCCAGGCGGACTTGAGGAATCCCTCGCCCTTGCCGTCGGCCGCGCCACTCGACTCGGCATCGGAGCTGTTGGGTGGTCAGCATACTCTAAAGGAAGGGAGCAGCGGAATGACGGAACTTACCTTTCTTTGCCGACATCCATGATCCGCCGGGCCGTCTTGTCGCCCATCTCATCCGCAAGCACTTCGAGGATCATCCGCTGGTTGCCGGTCAAGGACTTGGGCATCGCGACCTTGAACTCGACCTTCAGATCACCGGTCGGGCTGAAGCGCGAGCGGCCGCCGAGCTTCTTCATCCCCATGCCCGACAAGGTGATGCGATCTCCCGTGCCGGTGCCCGTGGCCACCCGGACCTTGACTTCACCGTCCAGCGTAGGCACTTGGACCTCACCACCCAACAGCGCAGTGGTCAGAGGAACCGAGGCGGTGTAAAGAATATCGGAACCGGAGCGACTGAATCGGTGGTCGGGAGCGACGCGGATCGAGACGTACAGATCGCCCCGCTTGGTGCGGGCTCCCGGGGTAGCGTTGGTCCCGGTGGGCGGAGCGTCTCCTTCAGAGTTGACCCTCAGTCGCATGCCATCCTCGACACCACCAGGGATGTCGACCTGGATCGTCTTGCGATCCCGGACCACGCCGTTGCCGTTGCACGAGCCACATTCAGACCCGCGAGGGACACTGAGGCCGGATCCGCCACAAGCGTCGCAGGTGGCGGCCAGCTGGAATCCACCCTGCACGAAATGCACACGGGTACCGGATCCGTTACACTGGCGACATTGAGTGCGCTTGGCACCCTGCTTCAAACCATCGCCCTTGCACGTGCCGCATTCCGTCAGGGGTGTAATCGGGATATCCTTCGATGTTCCCTTGGCCGCCTCCATGAAGGAGATATTGGTCTGGACCTCAATATCCTCACCCACCATGACTTCCTGGACCGGGCCACGCCGGCCACGACCGCCACGACGAGCGCCGCCTGTGAAAGCACCGAAAAGGTCCTCGAAATTGATATCCCCAGAGAATCCACCACCGCCAAAGCCACCACCCCCGAAACCACCACCTCCAAAACCACCTCCAAAACCGTGGAAGCCGCCCGCACCGGAGAACGGACCACCCGCCCCGGCACTGGGGTCGAAACCGCCATTCTGGTCGAACGCGGCGGACCCATACCGATCATAGGTCTCTCGCTTTTTGGCGTCGGAAAGCAATTCATACGCGGACTGGGCCTCTGCGAACTTTTCCTTGGCATTCGGGTCCTTGTTGGTATCCGGGTGATACTTCTTCGCCATTCCGTAATAAGCCTTCTTGATATCACCGGCGGCGGCGCCCTTGTCTACCCCGAGGACTTTGTACGGATCCGTCATCGCGGAGAGAGGAGCCGAGGTGTGGAATGTCTATTCAATTTGAATCGCAATCGTCAGTCAAGCCCCGGATATGCACATCGGAGACCCGGAGAGTAGATCTCGGGGAACTTACCTGGGAGGAGAAGACAACCGGGTTCTTCTTGTGACCGGCCCCATTCCGCAGACGCCGCTCCGTAGGCGACATAGTCGAGACATGATATCCGCGAGTCTGCTGAGAAGACCAAATCGTGGTGGAGGGCTGCTTGGTGCATTGTCGCGACGTCCGGAGCAATTGACCGGGGAGAGCCGCGGCTTTGGGCATAGCGGCGGATGTAACGCTCATAGTTGACCGGGAGAAGATTCAAACGGAGGAGCGGAGAGGAAAGAAAAAAGAGAAGACGAGGAGTAGAAGAGGAGCAATCCGACCGAGCCCAGACAATCCACAAACCAGGGGCAAATATAATAACGGAGATTCGCCTTCTGGGAGGAAGTTGGAGATACGAATGAACGCTTAGAAGCTTCGAGTACTTCCGGCTCGAAAAAGTTTCCCGGTCGGACAAAGGATGATCCGGGAGGCGGTGACGAAAGACGGAGAGAAAGAGAGAGAATCAGAGAACCTCAGGCTTGCTTCGGTAAGCAGTCATTCTATCCGTATCTCTTCTTCCTCTTCCGCTTCCCCATATCCTCTCTCCGGTCTCCTGTTTCCTTTCGTCTCTATTTCTTTGCATTGTAATTGTGAACATCGTTCGACCGACCGATCGATTGGTCTTCTTTTGTATATTATTTCCGCTCACCTTTTCCCTTATAATATCGTCCTCCCGCCACTCACTGTAGCATGCTCCGCGGCCAGACTCTTCCCTGGAGAGCCGCGCTCCACCAATCCTCGCGTCCACTCGTTCTCCGGTCTCTACTTGCGCCTTCGAGATACAATGTCGCTGTCCGATCGGCCGTAACCTCACCGCGTCTCCCGCGCTCTCTGCCGAGTTGCCCGCGGACCTTCTCGTCCAGTTCGTTCCGATCGAAGGAAAAGCCCCCACCCGGCGACGACAAGGAAGATCCGAATCAGAAGGAACAGAAGGATTCAACAGAAGAGAAAGACGTCCAGCGGGGGCCAGAGTCTCGGCGGAAGACGGGTGATCTGTCGAACAAACAGGGATCGGCTACGTCAGAACCCGGAGCTCCGACCTCGGCGTTTACCCGGCGCAAGGAAAAATCCCCCACGGACAAGGAGCAACGAGGAGTCGAGGAGGATGGAAAGGAGGAAAATAACGCCGCCGAAAGCAAAGGAAGTTCAAACGAAGGCCCGTCGCCCATTCCTGTGAATGGCGGTTCGGACTCCAAGCCCAGTGGTGGGAACCAGGGTGGGAACGATGATGGCGGGAAGAAGGGGAAGAAGGGTGCCGGCGAGAAGGCCTTACAGAAGCCTTCCGTCCCCGACGTCTACCCCCAAGTGATGGCTATTCCTATTGCTAAGCGGCCGCTCTTCCCGGGTTTCTACAAGGCGATTACCATCCGAGACCCCAACGTGGCCATGGCCATCCAGGACATGATGAAACGCGGGCAACCTTACGTCGGAGCGTTCCTGTTTAAAGATGAGAACGCCGACGGTGACGTGATCGAGAGCATGGATGATATCTACGACGTGGGTGTGTTTGCACAGATTACTGCGGCTTATCCCCTTCGCGGAGAGGCGAGCGGGGTGACGGCCGTGCTCTACCCGCATCGTCGCATCAAGGTTACTTCGTTAATAGCACCAACCGAACAAGACAAAGACAAGCCCGCTGCGACGGATGACAAATCCGCGGAGAAGCGGGGCGATGTTGTGGCCAGCTTCGAAGAGGGCGCGGCGGAGCCTACGCCTAAGGATCACTACGAACCTACCTCATTCTTGCGAAAATACCCCGTCAGCTTGGTCAATGTCGAAAATCAGGTGGAAGAACCCTTCGACAAGAAAAGCGCCATCATCCGTGCCGTGACAAGTGAGATTGTCAACGTCTGCAAGGAAATTGCCAGCCTCAACCCGCTATTCCGTGACCAGATCTCGGCCTTCTACACGGACCAATTCCCCGGCAATCTGAGCGATGAGCCCGCCAAGCTGGCCGACTTCGCTGCGGCTGTCTCTGCGGGTGAACTGCAGGAGATGCAGGAAGTCCTTGAATTGACTAATGTCGAGGAGCGATTGCCCAAGGCGTTGGTGGTGCTGAAGAAGGAGTTGATGAACGCACAGCTCCAGTCCAAGATCTCGAAAGACGTCGAAGCCAAGATCCAGAAGCGCCAGCGCGAGTATTGGTTAATGGAGCAGATGAAGGGGATCAAGAGGGAGTTGGGCATCGAATCCGACGGCAAGGATAAACTGGTTGAGAAGTTCAAGGAGAAGGCGGAGAAACTCGCCATGCCTGAGGCCGTCAAGAAGGTGTTCGACGAAGAGATCAACAAGCTGGCCCACCTGGAGCCGGCTGCGTCCGAGTTCAACGTCACGCGCAACTACCTCGACTGGTTGACCCAGATCCCCTGGGGCCAGAAGAGCGTGGAGAACTTTGGGATCCAGCATGCGACGAGCGTTTTGGACGAGGATCACTACGGGCTGAAGGATGTCAAGGACCGCATTCTGGAATTCATCGCTGTCGGCAAACTCCGGGGCACCGTTGAAGGGAAGATCCTCTGTCTGGTCGGACCCCCGGGTGTCGGAAAGACAAGCATTGGCAAGTCCATCGCGCGGGCATTGAACAGGCAGTACTACCGGTTCTCCGTCGGAGGCTTGACGGACGTGGCAGAAATCAAGGGCCATCGTCGGACCTACGTGGGCGCCCTTCCTGGTCGCATCATCCAAGCCCTCAAGAAGTGCCAGACGGAGAACCCGTTGATCTTGATCGACGAGGTCGACAAGATTGGACGGGGCCATCAAGGCGACCCTTCGTCTGCGCTGCTCGAGCTACTGGATCCGGAGCAGAACAACTCGTTCCTGGATCACTACATGGATGTCCCCGTGGATCTGTCTAAGGTTCTTTTCGTCTGTACCGCCAACATTACCGACACCATCCCCCGGCCTCTGCTTGACCGTATGGAGCTCATTGAGCTTTCGGGCTACGTGGCGGATGAGAAGATGGCTATTGCCGAACGGTACCTTGCCCCCGCTGCTCGGGAGCTGACCGGTCTCAAGGATGTTGACGTCACCTTGAACGAGGAGGCCATCGAAGAACTCATCAAATCGTACTGCCGTGAGAGCGGTGTCCGAAACCTGAAGAAACAGATCGAAAAGGTTTACCGGAAGGCTGCCTTCAAGATTGTCCGAGAGTTGGGCGAGGATGTCCTCGCCGAGGAGAAGGCCCTGACCGACGAGGGCAAGGCCGCCCAGAGCGAGGAGAAGAAGGAGGCCGAGTCCTCCGAGACGGAGCACGCCTCAGCTGACCCAGAGAAGTCGACCACCGAAAAGCCGCGGGTGGCGTTGCAAGTCCCTGACAGTGTACACATCAGCATCGGCAAAGACAGCTTGACTGACTACGTTGGACCTCCCATCTACACGGCCGACCGACTGTACGATACGTTCCCGCCCGGCGTGACCATGGGACTTGCGTGGACGAGCATGGGAGGCGCCGCGCTGTACGTGGAGTCGATCCTGGAGAATGCTCTGACGCACGAGTCCCGACCGGGCATCGAGATCACGGGCAACCTGCAGACGGTGATGAAAGAATCGACACATATTGCGTACTCCTTTGCGAAGTCTGTGATGGCGAAGCAGTTCCCCGAGAACCGCTTCTTTGAAAAGGCCAAGCTCCACATGCATTGCCCCGAGGGTGCGGTGCCCAAGGACGGTAAGATTTCTCCTCCCGCGCGTTTCATCTGAATTGTCCCACTGACAGATCACGCTAGGACCCTCGGCCGGTATCACCATGGCGACTTCGCTCCTGTCGCTGGCTTTGAATCACCCGCTCGACCCGACGATTGCGATGACGGGTGAGCTGACAGTGACCGGTAAGGTGCTTCGGATCGGCGGATTGCGCGAGAAGACCGTGGCAGCCCGTCGAGCTGGTGCCACCAAGATCATCTTCCCTGCCGACAACATGTCTGATTGGCTAGAGCTGCCTGAGGTGAGTTTCTATTTTCCTTTTCTTTTTTGTGTTTTGATTATTTCTTTCCATGTACAAATCTAACTGGCGCAGAACATCAAACGTGGTATCGACGGCCATCCGGCCACCTGGTACTCCGACGTCTTCGATCTCCTCTTCGCCGATCTCGACAAGGGAACAGCCAACCAGATCTGGCGCAAGGAGTTGGCAGAGCCCACCAAGAAGAAGGCCAATGAGGACGAGCACGACGATTAAGTGATACCCTGTCCTATCTGGCGTGCTCCGGTATATACTTTATCGCCAGTTGTTCTCTTCCTTCTTGGGCTCTGTTCTTCCTACCTATTACGGTCACATACGGGCGTTTCGTGCGGAATGCATGGTCGGAGTTTTGTTTCATCTAGTAGCTGTGTACTTTTTTTTTTTTTTTTTTTTTCATGGTTTTTGTCTCCTGGGATTATGCCATGGTTTCCGTCCCTTAGATATCGAAGCGACCAAAGCTACGATCTAGGGGTGGCACCACCTCAGGAGCCTTACCTTCCTCTCTATCTATTCCGAGGTGATAAGTGCGACGATAGAATTCCTCTTCTCTCTACTTTTCTTTTCCCTGTTTCCATTTTATAACCCCCTCCACTCCCTCCTCACAAAATGGAGATAAATCAATACTTTGATCAGTGTATACCTGTTTTTATTCATTTCATGTCTTGTGGCTAGCTGTTTGGTGTATGAGAGAGCAATGCTGGATAGGTAGGTACCTAGGTAGTGACACGTCTTTCTTGCATTTGGTGCTGTTGAAATGGATGGATGGATACCCTGTTATCTATTTATTACTTCTTTACCCGACTACCTATTTACCGATCTATTTACATATTCTACCTTATCCTGTATGCAATGTCTATATATACATTTATGACGATATGCGACGCAGTATTCAGCAACGTAGATACCAAAGGACTACTCATATAGAAACAGCCAACGTGCCCGCCCCGCATTGCTTACTCTAGCGTCTAGTGTGTCATTTCCCCAAGCGACCACTGGAGAGAAGAAGTGAATAGTAGGTGTGGGGGGTGGAGACCAAGAGTGATAGGTACGATATGGGGAAGAAAGACGTCGGTATTCGCTCGTTAGATCCACTGGGAGGGAGCGGGGGGTTGATTGGGAGGTGGGATTGTGGGCTGCGGGGGTCCGAAGAGAGAAAGAGGGCATATCGGATTGGATTTGGTTCTGTATGGAGTCGACTGACTGACTGATTGATTTACTTGCTTTTGGTGTGATGTGTTGGGGGTGTTGATTGGTATGGGGTGGATGGGGTTGGTGATGCAGTGGTTGATATCTATGATCTACCTAGGTGATGCTGGTGGTGTTATACTGGGTATCCATGTAGGTATCTACCTATGGAGGTAGATCTCTTGAGAAAACCAATGATGTGGTGGGAAATGATCAGTGGAGTGTAGAGATAGGACATATCATAGACTGTATACAGTTCATGATGGTAGTGGTGCGCGTCTCCAGCCATAGGACGAGGGTAAAGTGTTTACACCCATAAGTAGGTGTAGGTGTACCTGGTATGTAGTACGTATTAGTAGATAGTATAGTATACAGTATCTACCAACAAGGTAGCAGCTACTAGTTACTACCCTGCATAGTACCTAGATACCTAAGCAGTACTAACCCCCAGTACCTAGTACTTAAGACAAGTATGATTGGACGCACTTCCCGACCTGTCGAGTTGTCCAGTCCAAGCATCACTTTGAAAGTCAAATTTGGTAGGTCAGACAGGCTCCATATAGCCTCAACGACATTCTTCAGCCAGTAGGTCTGCAGTAGTCGTGGGGTTTCTACCAGTTAGGGGAGTGCCAACGTGGCCGTCGGGGGGAGAGGCGGGGGTGAAGCGATACTCGGGTATCTGTAGATGGGTAGGTAGGGACTAAGCGATGGATTTTGTAGTGGATGGATGAATGACATGATTGATGAGTGGTATAGGTTGAGAGTGAGGTAAATGAGTGGCATTATCTATTTTATGTATCTTAATAGTATCTTGAAAGTATTCTATAAAGTTCCCTACAGAGTACTACGGAGTACTCTACTCTGAAACTTACTAATCAATATCGGTTTATGTACTGTAGCGTGCTGGATACGGTCAAGGAACCGTTCGAGAAGGAGTGGAAGGAGTTGGGCTGTGCATCTGCAGGAGTGGAGTGGATAAGAGGTAGTGGTGATCACTGTTATTTGTTGTCAATTAGTCCTGAGTTTCTATATTGCCAATATCAAGATACTCATCCTATTATCTTGGTCAATTATTGATAAATGTATTTAGACTATTCAATATACTCCGTACTCTATCTTGATATCATCAATGGCCATAGTAATTTATACTGATAGTGGATCGATCGCCGAATCTCCAACAGACCCATCCGTTTCAGGCACTATCAGGCCGCCGTGCATCTGGCCATTCCTATTTGATTATTTTATATTTGTTTATGATCATATTATAGATGTTGTTATATTATTATTATTATATTTGCTTATTGTTGTAATTATCTTATTCCTGACATGTTGATCTATTGATTGATCCTCACTTGATCCATCTCTGCCTCAGTCCAATTTCTCGACAGTAAGGAGGTCTCCTGCAGTTCTTCTACATATGAGTATTCATAATACTTCATCTCTCTCTCTCTCTCTCTCTCTCTCCACTACATCTACAACTACAACACACTTGAATGATCAAGTCAACCAATCACCCCAGTTGATTGACAGCCTGGGGTCTCCAGGTATTAACCAGGTAATCCAAACAACTAAAACCACATCGTCATCTTGTCATTCTCTCTCATCAACAACTCAATCACTCTCACCGACTTCTTCCTCCTCCCCTCCTCCTTCCTTCCATTGGTTCATCCTTTATATAATTTTAGTCCTGTCTCATCCATTCTATTTACTCTTTTTTCTCTCTCTTTTCCGTTTCCCCTTCTCTCTCTCTCTCTCTCTCGCTTCTTGTTGGGGGTTGTTTGACTCTCTCACTCTCTATAGCACATAAGGTTGAGTCGGTTCTACACCAAAACCCGCCGGATTAATTTCCCTGCCACCGACTAATGATTCTTGTGCTCCTCTCTTCTCCGACAAACCCCCTGCTTGTCGGGTCCTTTTGATTGTTCTGTCTTGGCTCTGGGAGTTTCATTTGATTTATTTTTTTCTGGCTTTGATCTAATTTAAATTTTTTTCCTCACCTTCTCTGTGCGTTGGTCCATCATCCACACCTGGTTGCTCTCTCTCCCCTTCTTTTCCATCCTCTTTGGTTTGTTTGTTTATTTATTTATTTATTTATTTTTTTGCATCTTCTTTGTCTTCACTCGTTTCCCTCTCGACCGCCCAATTGACCCCAAATTCAACAGTTGGGGAGATCGACCGAAACAGAGGGCCCCAGATACACCACATCCGAAAAGAATCGCCAAAAGAGGAGAAAAAGAAAAAAGAAAAAAAAAAAATCAGGAGCTCGGTCAATCTTATGGACACCGACGTTCCTGCTCCCGGAGTGTCTGGTTCCTCATTCCTCCTCGTTCCATTCCCTCCCTCCCTCAACATCCCGGATGGACGTCTCCATAGCAGACGATTCCTGTAGCCCGACGAGGTTCGTGGGTCTGCTAGACCCGGAAAAAATCGACCTCCCGCGCCCCAAGCAGAGCATGTGGCATCGCCTAGGCCTACGCAAATGGCTGGGCCGCGATGATCGAGATCCTCCCCAGCCCCCGCCCCTCGGGGCCGCCGTCCCCACCCACCCTCCGAAACCCCACGGCAACCTCGGCCGCCGACTGTCTCGGAAAGTGGGAGTCGGTCTGCCACGAGCCACCACCTTCAAGCGACAGGACTCTGAGCGGCGAGAGAATCTGGCCCCCTTAGAACCCCCGCCCCGGCGCGCCGTCTCCGCGGACCGTCGCACCCATCGGACACTCAGCGCCCAGCGGACGCGGTCCCCACAAGCCTCGGTGGATCCCAGATTGTCCGCTCCCGAAGTGCAGTGGTGCAGCGAGCTGCACGAAACCACGGTTGAGGAAACGACGGAGACGAATGAGGACAGCGATCTCCGTTCCGAATGGAACCCCTGCCCCGACGTGACGGATCTACCCGAGGACCCCCCGGACGACATCATCGAGATGGAGCTGGAGAAACGCTGGATCCTGAACCTGAGTATGCACTTTCGGGATCGCTCCGAACGCGAGAAATTCTTTGTCACTTACGCCGAAACCCCGACCCGCTGGCGCCGCGTCACCATCTCCTGCGACTATCGCAACGCCACGCCCGACTCCCTCGAGCAGGACCTGAAGGAGCTGCGCTACCAGCGCGACAAGTGCGGCCGGATCTACGAGTCGATCCGCGAGTCCCTCGCCGAGATCCAGTTTTACGACACCGTGACCAACCTGAAGTTGGAGACGCGCGATGGCCGCCTCCATGTCCACGTCACCGAGGACGTCAACGAGATTATCCCGTACCCCCCCGTGTCTTGCATCGGACACCTCCCGACCGCTCGAATGGTCCGCGAGCGCGAACTGCATTTTGACGCCCATCTTTCGGGTTTTGTGTACAATGTGCAGATGGACGGCAAATCCTACATCAAGAAGGAGATCCCCGGGCCCGACACGGTGGACGAATTCCTTTACGAGATCAACGCGCTCCACGCCCTGCAGGGGGTTCCGAGTGTGGTGCAGGTGGAGGCGATCGTGGTCGACGATCGGCAAGAAGTGGTGAAGGGTCTGCTAATCGGGTACGCCGAGAAGGGGGCATTGGTCGACATTCTGTACGAGGACCGGGGAACGATCGCGTGGGAACGCCGCGAGCGATGGGCCCGGCAGATTGTCCAGGGACTCTGCGAGATCCACGAGGCGGGGTATGTGCAGGGAGACTTCACCCTTTCGAACATCGTGGTGGACGCCAACGACGACGCCAAAATCATCGATATCAACCGACGGGGCTGTCCCGTGGGCTGGGAACCCCCCGAAATCGCCGTGAAAATCGAGAGCAACCAGCGCATTTCGATGTACATCGGGGTCAAGACCGATCTGTTCCAGCTCGGGATGACACTGTGGGCACTTGCGATGGAAGAGGATGAGCCCGAACGACAACCGCGGCCCCTGATGTTGGATGGGGACCTACCCATCCCCGATTATTACCGCCGCATTGTGGCCATTTGCCTCAGCCCGACGCCCCGCCATCGGCTATCGGCCAAGGACCTTCTAGCCTTCTTCCCCCGCGAACTGATGGCGGGGGATCTGCCCTTGTTTCCGATCCCCGCCCCACACCCACGTCCCGGTGTTGGTCTGCATAGCGGCGTTCTACCATTGTACAACCCTCGTACCCTCGGGAGTCCGGTAGGATTCTTGGGCCCACGGCCCGGACCAGTAGACGGTTCCGCATCAGTGCCTCTGGATCGCGATGATTCGCTCCGTCCAGCATCTTTTGCCCGTGGGCGGGGCCGAGTGGTCTCACTCCCGGATGAGGAGTCACCGTCGCGCCCACCAGGGGGCATTGAGAGGGTCCGGTATGACCGCAACGATAGCAGTTCCTACGAGCTGGACCCCTTTGCCTCAGGGTGGCAACAATACTGGGGAGACAGTAGTCAACCGGTGCCCGTGGCCGGCACAGATATAATCAACGTCGACCGGGACAGCCAAGGACCTTCGGACGTGGTCCGGCGAGACAATTTGGAGGTTGATAGCATCGACCTCGACACTGATATGGTTTCCCATCGCAAGCCCTCCGCGGCTAGATCTGATTCTTTGGGCTATCCGGCCAATTCCTCCGGAGACCTGGTGGGAGTGGGTAGCCATCCTTGTCTGCGACGAGATTCTGCCTTTGAATTCCTGCCGGATTCTGCCCAGTCCGACGGATCTGCGGCCTCCACGGCGGCGACGCAGTCCAGCGCTCCCTATCCCGCCCCGGTGACAGACTTGGGGCATACATTAGACGACTGGTCGGGCCCTTCGCGTTCCGTGACGTCGTTATTACATTCCATCCTCCCCATCAACCCTGCTCTCCCTCTGTCAGAGCACAAGTTCGTCGAAACCGGCGCAGACAAGTTCTCACCCTTAACCATCCGCTCCGCCCTGGGCTACTCTCGACAAATCCTCCAAGACACGCCCTTCCTAAACGACTCGCACCTCCCCATCAACCCAGCCTTATCCCTCAAGGAATCGAGGATCCTCGAGCCCGGCCCAGAAAGATTCCCACCATCAACCATCCGCTCAGCACTAGGCTACCCGCGACAAATGTTACAAGACACGCCATTCCTAAACGACTCCCACCTCCCCATCAACCCATCCTTCGCCGACAAGGTGCTGACACCCTTATGACACCGGTGGGGTCGTCCTCACACGACAGACGAAAGAAAGCGCCCAGCATGCGATGCCCGTTGCGTTTGCCCATGATTTTGTTTTGGCGAGTCCTGCCAATGCGCGATACCCTTTGAGAGCTTTTCGATTCGGTTCTTTGAACGCTGTACTGATATCTATCTATCTACTGGAGTGTTTGCATTCGCAACTCAGCGAGAGGATGGCGAATTGGAGTTGAGTGTGGATTTTCTACTTATTTATTGACTCGTTTTCCTTTGTTATGCCTTGATTTTGAGAAGAAACTTATCGAAAAAGAAGAGGAAAGGAGAAAAAAGAAAGTGTGCATCACATTCATTCCCAATCATCATGACCACCTGATGAAAGATGAAAGATCAGATCACACACACTGCCCCATATAATCGGGCAAGCTTACGACAATTACGATATACGAACTGGATGGATGGATTTTTGGATTTTTTAGCTCATGATTTCGTTGGATAGCCTCATGCTCGTGTACATTGATATTATCTTCTTCTTCCTTTTGGGCTGTATTAATTGATTTGAATGATATTCATTATATATATTTATGTATAGTACGTAGGTGGGTTCTTTGACCTAGCACACAGGAAGTAGACATACACCTATCTATCTATGTATGTACCATCTAATTCTCTCACAGAGCACCTTCCACATAGACATCTAAACATCCAGCCCTAATCTACTAGCCCACCAGACTACTGTCCCCCCAAAAACTCCCTAAAATTCCGCTCCCAAACCTCGCCACCCCCCAACCCCCTCCCAATAAGCACAATCTTACACTCCGTCGGCCCTTCTCCCTCCGCGTCCCTCGCAGCAGCAGCCCTACCGTCCCGGATCTCGAATACCTCCCGCACAGCCTGGATGATCTTCGTCGTTCCGTCCGTCAAGACCAGGATGCCTTTTAAGCGGTGAATCTCGAAGTCTAGTTCTTCATTGGTGGCACTACTGCCAGTAGGCGATAGTGGTGATGGGGGGAGCTTCGAGTCCCACAGGACAGAGCGGAGCCAGGCGTCGACGAGGGGAATTTGGGCGGGGGTGATTGGGGAGTGGGTTAGGGAGAGGGTTGAGATTGCCTGTTTATTATTATCAGCATACATATATCATTTTTGAGGGGATATTGTGTATAGTGTATATGGGAGATGAGGAGGGGGGGTACCGGATCAATATGACTATGTCCCTTGTTTGCAAAATCGAGATCGGTAACGTTGTCGTAAGCGTGCAGATCCAACACGACGCCCTCAATCTGTGGCGTCTTGCCGTGGTCGGTGACGTGGATTTTGGCGGCGCTGTTGATGGCGCTTACGCGGGCGCGCACGCGCTCTAGCTCTGCGTCAGAGACGAGGTCCGCTTTGTTGAGGACGACGACGTCCGCGTGGGAGATTTGCATGTGCGCCATTGACAGGATGGGCCCGGAGTGGTTGTGGCTGGGGTTATGGTTGGTGTTGTCTGGCTCGTGCTGCGAAACGGTTTCTTCAGGGGATGGCGCGTCAAGCAGGCGGAGGATGTTCTTTGCGTCGACGAGCGTGACGATCCCGTCGAGGTAGATCGAGCTGCCTAGGTTGTCGTCGACCCAGAAGATGGGGGCTAGGTTGCCTGGGTCGGCGAGGCCGGTTGTTTCCAGCAGGATGTAGTCGAAGGTGCCGCGGCGGTCCATGAGGGATTCGATGGCCATGACGCCGGAATCTCTGGTTTGGTTAGTTTTTTGTTTTTGTTATATGGGGGGTTTGGGAGGGGAAATGGAGTATGTATCACTTGACGGAGCAGCAGATGCAGCCGTTGCCGACTTCCATCCATTCGGTGACTTCTTGGCCGTCTTGGTTGACGGTTAGGGGCTTTTCGATGTCGGTTGCTGGGTTGGTTAGTTGGGTTTTGTGCCTGCCACAATGGAGAGGAACTTGCAGTCTCCGAACTCTACGATGTCCATGTTAGTGAGTGTCAACGTTATTCACCTGTATAGCTCGGCAGACCAACCGTTCATAATCACAGCAATCTTCTTGCCATGCTTCTCTGTGAGAATATAGTTCAACAGCGTGGTCTTGCCCGCACCCAGGTATCCTACCATGCGCGCATGCGTAAGCAATACGAACTCTCTCTCTCTATGTATATATACTTGTAGGTTTAAGCTCTACAGGACGGCCATACCCGTTACCAGCGTGATAGGAACGCGGTCCTGCACCGGCGTGTCCTGGATCGTCGTGGACACGAATGGTTTCTCCGAGTCCGGGAGCTGCGACACATCGATCAGGTCGGGGGGTGCCTCTTCGTCGTCCATGTTCATCTATATCTTTTGGCAGGTGGGTGCTTGGTCAAGACGATCGAGATCGGCGGATGAATGTATGATTGGATGCATGGAGATGACGTTACAAAGCGGAGATATATGCCTCAGGCTGTAGGGCTTAGGGCATCGATAGTCATGGCATCCTTCCCTGCCTTGGTGCCTGAATATGAATCCTTAAGGATGTTCGTGCCTAAATGCCTGAATGCCTTATGCTGTTTGGTGCCTGGCCGAATCTAACCCGAACGGGCTAGCGCGGCAGGACTCGAGCTCCGCCGTGATGGAGGAAGGAATGAGGATGCATCATCGTCCATTCCTTAGTTTGTTGATTCGGCTTCTCCTTTTGCCTTATCTCTCTCTCTCTCTTTTCCTGTTACCTCTCTCGCAATATACCCTCGTCTCCCCCAATTGGCCCCTCGTTTTCCTACCCCCGTCCCTCGTTCTCTTATTTCCCTTGTTTGCTCAGCATGACCGCTGCGGGAGTCTCTCATCCCAGTTCGCCGCGCCTCCCCAGCCCTCCGCCCTTCACCGAGGTTCAGATTGGCCCCAAGTCGCCGTTGATCGGCGACTCGCTTGGGAAAGATGCAGAGGAGTTGCTAGGTGTTTCGCCAGCTGATGAACGGCGGATTCGACCGGGGACAAAGGCCCTGGACATGGCGGCCGGTCCTCCGCTGATTCCCCTTTCGCAGGTTTGTCCATACTTCCAAATCATCCGTTCCGTCACACCCACTGACCAACAATGTTGCTATCCAGCTGGACTCCCCTTTTCAACTGCAAGAACACCTCAAAGCGCTTTACAACCATTACACCCGGCCCGAAGGTTCCGACACGGTAGTCCCGATCACACGGCAGGTGGCTGCGAAGCTGGCGGAGCCGCCCGAGGGCGTCGACCGGTCGCTCTGGCTCTACGAACTGTGTCGATTCCTAACGATGAAGGTGAACAACCTGGTCACCGCGTTCTTCGCCGAAGACCCGCCCTGTTCGTCGCAGACGTGCCCGGAGATGCGCGCGTCGGAATGGCAGTACCTGTGCGCCGTGCACGACCCTCCCAAATCCTGCTGCGCCATCGACTACTGCTGCCACACACTCGACTGGGCGACCAACATCCTCACCTCGACTCGGCTGTTTCCTAGCCGGCTGGCGCTGGGCGGGCCCGAAGCTGGTAGTGGGCCCCAGGCCATGCGCCACCTGACCAACATCTTCCGGCGCCTGTATCGCATCTTTGCGCACGCGTGGTTCCAACACCGCGAAGTGTTCTGGCAGGTCGAGGGTCACGACGGGCTGTACATCTTCTTCAAGACCGTCTGCGACATGTATGCGCTCATCCCCGAGGACAACTACACCGTGCCCCCGGAGGCCGAGGGCATCGACCCGGCCAAGCCCCACCCGGCGCAGGAGCAGCCGGATGCGCGTCGCATGACGATCTTGCGCAAGGAGCCCGAGGGTTCGTTCTCGGGGTCGCTTGAGAATATGGAGAACTCGTCGATCAGCACGGGGGCCACCACGCGTCGACACAAGAACAGCCCGTCCATCAACTCCCGCGTCACCACCATCAGCGAGAGCGCCGAAGACGAAGACGTGCCGCAGCGACCATCTGCTCCGCAGGAGTCGGCTCCTCAGAGCAGCGAATCCCCCGCCCCCGCCGCGGCTGTTGAGGAGACCTCAGAACCGGCGGAATCCACGGCGCCGGAGGCTAACGGTGCCCAGATCACTGTGGCGGAGGTCCTCGTGGAGGAAGTGGCTCCAGAGGGTGAGAAGCCGTCCGACGCCGAGTCGCCGCAGGAAACACAGGCGGAACCAACGCAGGCGAAACCAACGCAGCCGGCTGCAGAACACACTGAGGACGCTCCAGAGACGAAGCCAGAACAGCCGGAGGGTACCGCAGAGACGAATCTGCCGTCTGAAGCCCCAGTGACGAAGTCAGAGCCGCCGTCCGAACCGGAGCAGACCGATTCGAAGCCGACCGATTTAAAGCCGAGGGACTCGGACGCCGCACCGGAAACCGAGTCTGCGCCTGAAACTGCGCCTGAATCTGCGCCTGAACCTGCGCCTGAATCTACGTCTGAAACCGCAGCTAAGCCTGAAATTACGCTTGAAGGTACCCCCGAGGGGACTCCTGAAGCTACACCAGAAGTCACTCCTGAAGTGACGCCTGAAGTTTCGCCAGAGGTTTCGCCAGAAGTTAAGAATGAAGTCACGCCTGAAAACTCGCCTAAAGGTTCGCCTAAAGGTTCGCCTGAAATCACGCCTGTATCCAAACCCGAGACCGAATCCGCCCCCGAGCCCCAGCCTGAGCCCGAACCGGCAAAGGAGGCATAAGTTTGCTTGAATAACCGACAAGATGATACTTGTCATCCTGTGGACGACGATCCATACAGCTACGAAATTTAATACCTGCATTGCACTGATGAGTTGAATGTTTGTTACGTGATGCTTAATTTGAGGTTGCATGTAATATATGATTGCTTGATTGAGGAGGATGGAGATTGAGGATTGAGGTGATCAATGAGATACCCTGAGACTGAAGTGTATACAACCTGACCTACTGAATATGTAACTCCACCGTAGAGTCCGTACAATTTATAGGTATTTCCTGACCGCCTGCGCTTCCGCCTTTATCTGCATGGCATTTCTGTCGTTCGCAATGATCCATTGAGTTTAGACATAAACCCCGACTATTATAAAGAATAGAGCGATATACAGATAAATAAAAAGAAAAGAAAAGAACAAAACAAAAAAGAGAAAAACATATACATGTCCACCGACAACATGATCCCTGCCCCCAAAGGCGCCCCCATCCACTTTGGGCCGTTTGTGGTGACATCACAGGTTAGTCCTCCTCTCCTCTCCCTATACTCAACCTAGAGAATGCAGAACACAAGAGAAAGACAGAAACAAATAAGCAAATAATCAAAACTGACAATTGACTGAAAACAAACAGGTCTTCTACCAAACAGCCCTAACCATCGCCCTCGTAAACCTCAAACCCATCCTCCCAGGCCACGTCCTGATCTCCCCCCGCCGCGTCGTCCCCCGCATCCACGACCTCACCCCCGCCGAAACCTCCGACCTGTTTCAGACGGTACGGCGCGTCGGCCGCATGATTGAGCGGGTGTACGATGCGTCGAGCCTGAACGTTGCCGTGCAGGATGGGGCGGATGCCGGGCAGAGTGTGCCGCATGTGCATGCGCATGTTATTCCCCGGAGGCGGCTGGATCTGCCGACTACGGATGCGGTGTATGAGCTTTTGGATGGGGATGAGGGGGATTTGAGGAGGGCGTTTGGGGTGTTGAGGGAGAATGGGACGGAGGAGAGGAGGAGGTCGAGGTTTCCGGCTGTTGATGATGGGGAGAGGACGTCGAGGGGGATGGAGGAGATGGAGGATGAGGCGGGGAGGTTGGCGAGGGAGATGGAGGGGGAGCCTGTTGATTAGATTTTTTGATTATGGGGGCTGTTTCTAGAGAGGCTTTACGGTAGATGATGCTTGCTTGTTTATCATATTGATGAATCTATACCTGTTGCGTGTACTCCATGATCTGTCGTGTCCAGACGCCCGTAAAGATCGGACCCATACACAAGAAGAACGAAACCCGAAATGCAGCCGTAACACATCAACGCCGTATCGCTAGACCAAGTCACCATTTATGAGTGACCAACTCCGTTCGTCTCCGTGACCGCCCGCTGCTTCTTCCAGAACGCCTCCCGCTCCTGCATCACGGCCGCCGCCCACTCCTTGGTCTCGGGGAGGGTGATGCGGGCCGCGACGTGGCAGAACTCGGTGAGATCGATGGCGTGGGCATGCTCGTACTCGACCATCTGCAGCAGCAGCTCCATCTTGTCGACGTCGTGGACGAACTGGGCCTCGAGCGTCTCGTTGTCCTCGTACTCCTGGAAGACCTTCAGGATCTCGGGGCCCGTGAGCATCCCACCGGGCACGCCGCCCAGCAACGTGTTGGAGATGTAGTTCATGGTATCCGCTTCGCGGCGGGCTTTCTCGGGCTTGTCGACTCCGTCGGCGGGCGTGATGTCGCCGACTAGGGACTCCGCCATGTCGTGGACCAGGGCCATCTTCATGCAGTGGGGCAGGTTGAGGCGTGCGGCTAGGCTGGGCGGTGCGAGCATCGTCATCATCGACATGCGGTACATGTGGTCGGAGACGGATTCGCCTGAGTTAATGCCGAAGCGGCGCCATCCTTCGCGCTTGGTGGTCTTGAGGAGTCCGAGGAGGTGGAAGAAGGGGATGGGGGAGGTGGAGTTCTCTTCGAGCGGTTGGGGGAGGGTGGAGAGGGCTGCATTATTAGTATGGTTTTTTCGTTTGCGCATTTATTGAAAGTATGGGATACTCACCGGACTCAACGGTCCAAGAAGGATTATCGCTTGTAGAGTTGGAGCTCATGGTGGAGTAGTATACAGGGAGAGGGGAAGTATACACGTGGGGGGAGATCGACCGCTGTGAAGGCTGGGGGGAGTGTCAACCAGAGAATATGGAGAGTAGAATAACCAAAGTATTGAATGTAGGCTTTAAATGCAGATGTGAGAATGCTGCGAACGAGAGACGAAGAGATTGAAAGACTGGCAAGACAACCCAGAGAAAGAGAAGTCAGAGACCAAAAGTGAAGATTGAAAGAAATCCGTGTTTATCTCCGCGTTTGCACTGTTTGCATCTCCCGATTGTCGCTGCCGTGATCGCCTTAGGCCAACCATCGTCACTTCTTTGTTTACCGCCACTTTCTCTGCAGTTACGGAGGCATCTCTGCTTGATCGTGGAATTCTAGGTCTATCCTGTCGCGTTGAAATCGCATCCATGCAATCCGCCAGAACCCCCCGCCCCAAACCCCCCAACTGGCCCCCTCAGTCATCCCTGGCCGTCTTCGTTCGCAACCTGCAGCTCCTCCAACTGGATTGCCATGATGACTGGCCTGGTATAACCGTGCGCTCCCTGGCGCCCTCGTCGCAGAACCAACGCCAGCGCATTAAGGCCATCGAGTGGGCCCTGTATCATCTGGTCGCCATCTGGGACCCCGAGACCGCGCGTGATGTACGGTGGACGCCATGCCCCTCCATGTCATGCCGGACCACTGACTGACGGCGTCGCCAGAAACTCCGACCGTTCTTCCCGCCGCTTGAACCGTTGCAGTCCGTGAACTTGCGCGCCGCCCTATTTCGTGTGCTATCCGACCTGAAGAAGAATGGCGACCTGGGCCGGGAATCCATCCTCCGAAAATCCATGCTCGATGATTGTAAGGGGGACAAGGTAGACGAGCTCCTGGCGCTATTCTCGACCGCGGTCCTGCGGAAGAGCCTCGCGGGTGCAGTGGAGGACAATGTCTCCTTGCGTCTATCCATGGCAGAGGGCGTGACCCGTGACGAGTACGAAAGGCTGTTACCCCTCATTCTGGCGCATCGCGTCTCCTTGCGGTCTGCGGGGGAACGCCGAGCTCGGATCCGGAGCACCCATGACCAGTTCGCTCACCTACTGGATCGCAAGAAGGACCAGTTGAATGCACGGGCCAGGACAAATGTGGCGCCGGCCCCCAACCAAGACGGAGAGACAGATTCCCTGGCGCGCGAGGTGAGGGCCAACTGGCTGGGTAGCGCCGAATGGGCGGACACCCTGGTCGACGGCGGCGCTCAGGGCAGCAGCGATGCATTCCTGGAGCTCCCGTTCGATGCGGCCTGGTCGAAGGCCACGGCCTCCACGGTCGAGGATCTCACCACCAGCTCGACTCCAGACCTCCTCGTCGACCTCGAATCGCGGGTCTTGCACCAGCGCGCCCGCCTGCACCGCTGGCGCCAGTATGGTCACTCCATCCACCGACAAGGGCGTGTGCAGTCGAACGGCACCTCCAACCAGCCCTTGGTCTTCCGCGATCACCAGACGCTCACCGTCGCGAGTATCTCCAAGGCCGTTCGCCAACCCTTGCAGCGGGTGTCGCCCACGGCAGAGGACCGGTCCCTGCTGTTTTCCATGACCGAAGCTCTCGCCCGCATCAACGGCACGACCCATGCCAGGAGGCGACGCACTCCGCCTGGCGGGACGAGGGATCTGAGTTCTCGCAGGTCACCACCATCGCCCGAGCCGGATCCCCCGGGCGAACCAGAACCCCAGCCCGCGCCGGAGGCGACGCCCTCTCCACCTCCGGGTCTGGCTGTTCACGACCACCCCGGTAACGCCGGTGCGACGATGCCCGAGACAGACCACCAGAGTTCCGCACAAAGCAGCCCAGTCGATGACGAACCGCCCGCCATTCACATCTCCCAGGACGGAGAGCCACCCGAGCCCCAGCCTCGGCCGCGAGCCGGTCACACCTCTCTCGCAGAGCGCACGCGCAGATCCATGTCCCTCTTTACGCCCTCGCCGCCCGCACCCGAGCGCCGTGAATCCCACCGATCGCACCGCCCGCGCGCCTCATTCCCAGTGAACCAATTCGATACGCCACGGAAACAATCGCCAGACTACAGCCGGGCGTCGACACCGCACGACGAGCTTTTCGAGGGCCATCCTGAATACGCGAGTGTGTTCAAGTCGCGGCCGCGCATCGCACTTAGCCCCGTGGCGTCGCCGGCGGTGCATTTCAACCCCGTTGATGATTATTTGGATCTCGGTCCGGCCACTGAGAGTCCTGTAGAGGCGGAGGCGGAGTGGGCTGCTGTGGGGTCGCCTTCAAAGGGTCGGGGGAGATGACTACGAATTTCACAAGCTTTTCAGTAAACAGAACTATGTTAATTAGTTTCAATCGAGTTATAAGATATACCGGGTATCATCCAATGCTTCCTAAGTTTACCCTGGTCCCGCTGAAATACCACCCTACTCCAACCATATAACGCCTGTAAATAACCCCACCAAGAAAAGAAAAGAAAAAAAGAAAGAGAAAATCAACTACCGTCTCGAACTCCGCGTGCGCCTGCGCGTAGAAGGAGGCTCATACTCCGACTCAATCTCCACCTCACCATCATCATCATCATTGCCATCATCGTCGTCGTCATTATCAGTATCATCCACCTCGGAAGAGATATCCTCCGGTGGAGGGGAAATTTCCTGCAACGAGCTATCGTCGGAGATGTCCATCCCTGTCACTCCTGCCTCATTGGCTGCTTTTGGGGCGGATTGAGATGGCGGGTGGTGGTGTCGCTGCTCTACAACTAGAGTATCGGTGTTGGATTCCTCATTTTCTTCCTCGCCGGGGAGGAGGAAGCCACCGCCGCCGTGGTTGTTGTTGTCTTCTTCGTCTACACCAGGAAGGAGGAAGCCGCCGCCGTGGTCGTTGTTGTTGTCGATTCTGGCGTTGTCTTCTTCTTCACCCGGGAGGAGGAAGCCGCCACCGTGGTCGTTGTCGTCTCCGGCGTGGTCAGCGTGATCTTCAGGGTTATCACGAGCGGGACGGGAGCGGCTACTACTAGCGAAAGGATTGACAGTATCTCGCTCGCGATCGAGGGCATCATCAGAAGGACCATACTCCTCGCGAACGCGCTCAGTGATACGCAGACCGTAAAGAAACTTGCGCCAAGTCTGTAGGATGCGAGCCTCAGCTTTGAGCTGTTCCTTGCGGCGCTTTTCAGCGGCGTCAGCGCGCCAGGCGTCCTTAAGGAGATCCTCGTTTTCAGCAGCCACGACGACACCCTGGATGACGGGGACAGCCATCTTCGAGCCGAACTCGAAGCCCGTGACGGCCTCCGCGTAGTCGATGTTGAGCTTTTTACAGAGCCGGACGGTGCCGGGCCAGGGGACATGTGCTGCGCCGCGGGGGACCATGCGCGGGACGAAGCAGTCGATGTTGCCGTAGTCGTTTTTGGGGATGATGCCGTTTTGGATGGGCGGTGGAATGATCCATTCTGTTTGGTATCGTGCGTAGAGACCCTGCTGGGGTTTTTGGCCGGTCTCGCGCGTGAGTTCGTCGACTTCGCGCTTGCGGAGGAGGGTCACGGCACGGATGGGGACGTGCTTGAGGGCTGTTTCGCCGCGTTTGATTTGGCGCCCTTCTTTGTGCCAGCTTTCGGCGGAGAGGCATTTGAGGACGTCGGCGCGTCGGTATACGGGCTCTTCTTTGGCTTTGGCTCCTTTGCCGCTTGTGAAGGTGCGTACGGGTTGCGCGTCGGGTCGGAGGGCTTCTTCGCGGCGGAGGAAGCGCGGGAGGACGAACTCTTCTGATGACCGTAAGCTTTGTAGGGTGTCGCCGACTGGGGCGGCTTTCTTCTCCGGTTGATTGGGGACGAGGTCTTTGGCTTCTTCGATGTCGTCGACGACTGTCCGGTCCTGTGGGGGTCGTCGGTAGATGTGCAGCTTGATGCGGAACCAGTCGAGCTCGTAGAACTTGCCTTTCCGACCTGGGATGGGAATCTTCTCGACGGGCATACGGAAGCCTTTGGTCTTGCCGGGCCATGTTCGGCGGCGGAGGTACCGCGTCGTCACATCCTTGGCTGTCTTGTCGGCTGCGTAGGCTACCACGTATGCGATCACTTGCTTGGCCCGTTCGGCTTTGGCTCCGCGCGGCTCGAACACGGCCTGGAGCTCGGGGGTACTCGCTACGGGGTTCTGGAGCACGAGTGGGTCGACGGGGATGATCTCGTGGGTGATGGGTGAGGCGACCTCGGCCCAGTAGATCGGGAAAGGAAGGTCTCGATCGTACCGGGGTGGTGCGGGGCGTTTACCCCGTGGGGCATCTAGATCGCTGCTATCGGTGTCTAGATCTAGTACGTCATCGGTGCCTGTTTCCGTTGTCGTCGCATCCGGTAGCGTGTCGGCCGTCTTGGAAGAAGGAGGTGTATATGTTTCCGCTTTGGTCCACCCGAACCCCAGTGGCTGGAGGCTGGCGACCAGTCGTGCCTCTATCGAGATTGCGCGGAGAAGCGCGGTGAAGAGTTGAGCACCGAGATCGCGAGACCCCTCCATACGCTCTGCGGCCTGGCGAAACCCGTCCAGATTCTGGATTTTCTCGCCATGTCTTTCAGGATTGGGATCCTCCTTGTTGAAAGCGGCAATCTCGGCCTCTAGCTGCGCCATGGGTCGGTAGCCGTGCTTTCGCAAGCCCGGAGCGGTGATCTTGAACTGTTTCTTCCAGTAGGCCGCCAGCACGCGCAGCAACGGGATGATGGGGTCGCCACGGCTCATATCCGGCTGACCGGGCTCCATGCGCGCGGCGTCCTCGCTCCAATCTCGCTCTGACTTGCGCCGTTGCTTGCCTTTGACTGTCTTCTTAGTCGCTGACAATTTCGGGGGAGGCTGTTCCAACCCGGATGCGATCCGCCACTTGGTAATCTCCTTCTGGATGGGCGGGGGCAGCTTGCGGCGTAGGATATCGTGGGTTTGGGGGTCGTTGGCCCAGTGATTGCGAAGGGCATTGTGGTAGAGTAAGAATTCAACATGTAGACAATGGGTCTGAATGCGAATCTGGCGCTCGATCTTGGAAGGGGCTTTCTTGCCGGTCAGGAGGTCAGAGACATGGGCTTCGTTCTTGTCCAAAGTCAATTCGAGATCCTCGATGGGTGCGGAGGGAGCTATGGCGGGAGGGATGGCGTCAATGGCATCTTCCCAATCGACTTCGTCCGAGCTACTGGACTCGGATTCACTGCTGTTGGAGTCATTCTCTTCGTTCTTGACCTGGTTTGCGTTGCTCTCGTCGCTCGGAGCAGGGGCCGCATGACGGCGTTTGGCGGAAGGCGGATCCTCAGAGGAGACACGCTTTCGGGGGACGAAGGGGGGCATACGAGGGCGATTGGTCAGATTAATTGATATGGTGTCTAAACAAAAGCAATCTAGATGAAGAGAACGAAGATAGAAGAGGAGAATAGATCGTGGACAGGAATTAATTCATTGATCGATCGATCAAGATGGATGGATTACATAACGTCTTAGCTAAGCTGGAGATCTCCCCGCATTATTATCGCCGCTTTATCAGTGCCAGATGATGCAGACCGAGGTTCAATTTCATCATCGTTGGAGTACAAATACTCCTCTGCAACACCTCTACCCTCGCGGTATTACTCTCTTCTCAAATCATCAACATGGATGCTGTGAAACGTTTCTTTTCTTCTCCGCGGTTTGCCGTGGCTGGGGCGAGCAACGATCCCAATAAGTTTGGCTACAAGCGTGAGTCCCATACATCCTTACCCCACGGTAACACTCCCTGATCGGTGTTCTGTCTAGTTCTGGCCTGGTACCACGAGCATTCTCTTCCAGTGACTCCCCTGAATCCTCGCGCCGCGCAGATTGATCTCCCCTCGCGGAGCTACGAGACAGTGGCCTCCCCCAGCAAGCTGCCCTCGCCGACACAGACCTCGCTGTCCGTGGTGACCCCACCGGCGGTGACACTGGCACTGCTCCAGGAGGCACACGCGGTTGGCATCCCTGCCGTATGGCTACAGCCGGGTACATTCAACGATGCAGTGATTCAATACGCCCGAGAGAACTTTGCGGCGGTGGTGGCCGGTGATGGCGGACGGGGATTTGAGGGGTGGTGTGTGTTGGTGGATGGTGAAGAGGGACTGGCAGCGGCAGGGGTGCCATGGAAGTCACAGCTGTAAGCTGAGTACCACAGATTATCAGGATAGATTGAATGTGACATGAGAGATCAAGATCATGTAAGATGGTTGTAGATGCATCTGGACACTAATCCAGAACCGGCACGGGGGAGATCACGGGGTCAGCCCCAACCATTTCTTTCTTTTCTTTCTTGCTTTCTCTTCTATACTTCTTTCTTCTCGTCAGGCTTACGGTGTGATCCTCACGGCTGCGTCCTGTCATCCCCGCTCTTTCGTATCCCCCACTATTCATCTATCCAGTTAACCCGCTCGCTCTTTCGAATGACTTGACAAAGGACCAATATGCCCGGCACCCTCCTTCTCGACGACACTCCCATCCCTCCGCAGCTTGACCGGGCCGCAGCCCCCTCGCAGCTATTCCAGGTGCCCCCAACGCCCTCGGCATCCTCCGCCCTTTACCGCACCATTTCTCGCCGTAAAAGGTCTCATTACTCCAGTCCTCCCGGCTACCCCGGTGGCTTCCGTGATCCATCCACCGACTATGATTACCGTCATGACAACGACGATGAGAACGAGCGTCGCATCCTCGGCGAGGGCGACTATCGGCCCAGCCGCTACCGAAACCCGCCGCGACGGTCTGCCTCGCTAGATGACAGCGTCGACTCGCTGCCGGATGTCGGTCGCAAACGCAGTCGGCTCGACCCTTCCTCGTCTTCCGCCGCCATCGTCGCCGCATCGCCGTCTGAAAAAGTCATCTACCCGTCGCCGGTCGAGTCTCCCGTCTCGGGCTCCTGGGGTCGGACGGTGATGGACGTTGTAGGCAAAGTGTGGGACTTCTGCTGGACGGGCGCCTTCCGAGGGTTCTACGCGGGCGGAGGACCGGGCTACCCGATGGCAACCGGAGATAGAGCCGGGCATGAAGCCGGGGACGCAAGCTACAACTATCAGACGATGGCTACGGAAAAGCACCATTTCGAATCGACTCCCATCCCAGGAGAGTACCCGAGTGAACACCGGCGGTATAGCAGTGGATGGGGCCATGACGATGATGCCTCCCTGCACGGCAACTGGGTCCTAGTGTCACCCGAGGCTGACGACACCAGTCCGTCCCTTCGTCGACGAACAGCAGCGGGATCCGATCGTCCCGTCGCTCATCTAGCCCACCAGTACCACGCTTCAGGCCATCATTCCCGTCGACGACATCCGCAGTCGGGTAAGCGCATGCTGCTGTCTCAGCCGGCAGGCAAGCTGCCTTTTTCATCACCAGCCAAGCCTCGCGAGAGTCCCGTGTCGGTCGAAACCCAGCGGTACATGGCGAGACGACGACGGATGGAGCGCGAGGAGGATGCCAGTCTCCGGCGGCTGAACGAACAGCTGCAAGCCATGATCCGTGAGGGGAAGCAAGCATTGGGGACCCGGGTCGAGGTGGAGATGGAAGACGCATATGATATGGAGGATTAGCGTTGTCTTTCTACTCGTGGTTTGCAAGACAAACTACGACCGTGCGGACTTTTTGGAAACGGAACATTGCTACGAGTACCCCTCAGCGGAACGAATCAACGATTAATGAATGTACTTACTACGATTTGGTTATTACTTACATGATGGACGATAACAAAAGAATGACACCAATGGCAAAGCCATATGACTAACATCAAGCATGGAGCGGAAGAAGAAGACATGTATGCCATCATCACCAAGAGATACACGATCAAGCCTGATCGGCTTTTTTTCCTTGAGACTCTCCAGACTCAGCGCCCTGTCCCTCCTGACTCTTCTTCTGGCCCTCTGCAGCCGGAGGAGCCTCCGCAGCAGGAGCCTCTTCAGCCCCCTCCTTCCCCTTTCCCTTCCCCTCCCCTTTAGCATTATCCTGTGCAAGCATTTCCTTCAGGGAATGTCCACCAAACGACACCGAGTCCATAAGCAGGCTATGCACGCCTCCCATGCTGGCCAGAAGGCCGAGGAGGTTCTGGCCCTCTGCGCGGGGAATGTTTTCCTGTAGTCATACTCTCCATCAGCTGGCTGTTGGCTTGCTATCTCGTAAAGGTGATAGATGTCACAAGCAAGTGTACGGATTGAGACGAACCGGGATGGGAGCTGCGGTGGCTATAGCCGCGAGGAGGAGGACGGGGAGGGCGGGCTTCATCTTGTTGTTTTTTTCTCTTTTTCGCTGGGTTTCTTGTAAGGTAAGGTTTGGGCTGGGTTGTCTTTGGGTATTATCTGTTAGTTTTAGGAGATTGTTTTCTGTTGAGGACCATACATACTTTTCTCAACTTGACTCCTCCGAAATCCAACAGTTATCACCGATCAAGACAAGAAATAACCAAGCTCCAGCTCTCAGAAATCAAGAAAGAAAAGAAGAAATACACCAGCAAAAGATGTCTCCATCCCTGCGGTGGACGTCGCGACCCTACGCCCCTACATTCCATGTCTCTGTTGTTTACCTCTGTTTACGCCCTGTCCCTTTATAGAATAGGCTTTCACATTGGTATTCCGATGGACTGGTTGGATTAGCCACACAATACGATCTAAGAAGCTATTGGAAGAATAATCTCTCTTATAAAGGTCTACATCGTGGTGGTGGTGATCGATGTACGGATTACATACATGGGTAGACACATCGTGCCCGTTAATGTCCTAGCAAGGGATGAGTAAATCATTAGATTCTGTCTTCAAGGGTGTATATTTTTATCAAGTTAGAAATATCTTATAAAAGGCATAGACTCTGTAATCGCAGCCATTTTCCAAAGGTGGGAGATGAATGGATGAGTTACTTTGTTTCTTCTCTGCTAATTAAGTCTGTCTTCTTTGGCTATGTAGACTCTTTGACTGTTGATGATTTGACTAGATGGCAAACTTATACACGTTTAGCATCACTATTAGGATGTCTGAAGTTGTGATATTTCGCATACAGTTATTGAAACCTGATTGCTCACAAAAAAAAGGTAGTAAGTATAGCACTTTCCGGGTGCTTAAGTAGAATCGGATAGGGCTAGGACACTGCTAGGTTGAGCGATATATTTCCTTGATTTGTTTGATTTGACCACTCTTGGAATGCCAAAGGAAAAATTCCGACACGATGACGCAGCGCATTATTAACTGCTGGATTGCGTAAGATCTCTATCCAGGTACTGTCTTCTTTTCTTACATGTGTGATCTTCCATATCTCTCATGTGGCTGAAGATACATGTGATATTCGAATTCTCATGTCTACACAAATTAAATATGTAAATGAATAATTGAAAACAGAGATAAGAACAAAAAGAAAAAGGGATGAATCCAATAAGTAAATAAAAATAAATAAATAAACCCCTGAAACATCAGCGTCGTCAGCTCCATTCCATTAACCTTCCTCCTCCCCCCTCCCATGCATGCATGGATCTGCACGAGCCAACCCCGAACAACTCTTAACGGCGGAAGGATCATTTACCGCGATCCTGGACCGTCTTTATATTCTCCGAGAATGAGACATGTCTTGCCTGCAGATGATGATCGACGGCCTCGCCCTTTGGTATGTATGTATCTACGTATACTTTGATTTGAGATAGTAGCCTAGGCACTTAGTGGTGATTGATGCCTTATGATCTGTCTGTTTCACGTGGATAGAGTCTTAATTCTGTGTTTTTCCCCTGTTGAGAGGGTAATGTTTCCTTGTAGGGTGGTTGGTCACTATACAGACGCCATTCTAATGCCCAGTGCAATATAAACGAAAAACAAGAATGTGGTCAGAAAACAAACAACCCCGAAAACCACCAACTCCGTCCCGGTCATACTCGTAGAAATAAATATGCACATGCTCATGATATCAAACCACCCAATACAAAAAGAAGACGCGACATTATTGAATAAACCGCGGCTGGAAGCGCGGATTCACCCGGAGCCGCTCCCCATACCGCAGCAGAAAGTACGACGACGGCGCAAACGCCACCGCAATAAACCCTAGCAGACTATTCCCCCACCCCAGCCCCAGCTTAGCGTACAGCGGCGGTCCCGCCAGCGGGACAACAGCGCCGAAGACAGACCGTAGCGCCAGCTCCGCTGACACGGCGCTGGCGGCGTACAGCGGGTACGCGTCTACCAGGTAGACCTGCGTAGATAGGTGCACGTAGTAGAGGCCGGCGCCGAGGAAGAAGGTCCCTGTGATGGGCACCATCCAGTGGAGGTGGTACTCGGCTGTCCAGCCGTACCAGAAGAGTCCGATGGGAACGAGGGCGCAGCCTAGGACTAGTGGGGGGAGTCGGTGCTCCGGCGTCATCTTGCCGTAGCGCTGCTCTTGTCGTTTGAGGTGGCTGTCGGAGTATAGGCCGACGGTTACTTGCCCGACGATGAACCCTAGGCCGAGACCCAGGTAGCCGAGGCCGGCTTGGCCCGGGGTGAAGTTGTATACTTTCTCGAAGATGCTTGTGAATGTCGTGAATAGCACGTACATGTAGCTGTATGTCACGGCGCTGTACAGCGATACGATCAGCACATTCGGTGACAGCACCAGGAACAACAACGGTCGTTTTAGAGACTGGATCAGCATGTGTCCGAAGGTCTTGTCCGTGTCGTATTTGGTCTTGTACCGATGGCCGGTGGCTTTCTCCAGTTCCATGGCGCGACGCTGCAGGATGACGGGGGCGTAGGTCTCTCGCAGAAATATGATAGATACGATCGCAATGGCCCCGCCCTTTTATTGATTAGCTGCTGTAAAGACGGATCTAAGATAAGACACCACCTACCAGGATGGCTTCCAGCCAGACTGTCCACCTCCAGCCGATGCTCTCGACCATGAATCCACCGAAGATGGGACCTGACACAAAGCCCTATAAACAATGTTAGCACGATTGGGAGATACCAACCACATGAGAAAAGAGAAACATACCATCAATGGTCCAACCGTCCAAACCGTCATAGCCGTTCCTCGTTCCTGCATAGGCATCATGTCCGCGACGAATCCTCCGCCAACAGTGACAGGCACCGAGCTAGCCAAGCCCATAACCAGCCGGGAGAGGATTAGCATGGGCAGGTTGATGCTAGCTGCGCAGGCAGAAGCGGCGGCCACGAAGAGCATGTTGGCGGCGTGCGTCACAGGCAGCCGTCCGCTCACCTCAGTTATCGGAGTGAGTACCAGCGGGCCGATGGCAGCGCCCATCACATAGATGCAAACAACCAGGGACTTCATAGACGGGTTGTTATTGTGGAATTCTTCCAGCACCTGCGGCACGCCGGGTGCGAAGATCGTCGACACCATTGACCTGGGCGCAAGTCAGCAAACAGGTCTGCAGGCAAACAGGAGTGTTGGGAAGCATACACGTTGAAGCTACTCAGCGAGATCAAGGCGATGGTCACCCATTTGCGAGCGCTGCCCCAGTTCAGAGGGTTCAGCGGGTCGCTGGGCCCCTCCCAGTGCACGAAGCGGTCATCCCCATCTTGGGAGGACCCGACTGTCTCGAGATCACTGGACAGCGAGTCGACGCCTTCAGCTTCCACATGGGCGATCTCCTTCTCTAGGTCGGACCTGGAAGTCGTTGCATAGGTAGCATCAGGTTCAGGCGGGGTCTGCGCCGGCATGATAGGTAATAAAGGGAGAAGAAGGTCTGGGCTGATGGGAGAGAATGCGATTGGGAAACAACATCATCAGCATGTTCGGGGAGACGACTAAATAACCATGATGCGGTCCTCCATGTCGCCTCATTGTCGATGATGATTATAATGATGGTTTGGAAAGTGCTGGGTCGGTAACGCGCGTCTTCAGATGGACAGTGAATTCCTGGTATGCGGGTCGATGTGGTCCAGCTGGCCAAGATTGCCATTTTCTTGTTTTTTTTTTTTTTTTTTCTTTTTCTTGATTTGGGTTTTTAATTCTTCTTCTCCTTACAAGGCATGTATCATACCTATTGCTGTTACGACCACCCGCATGAGCCCAGACCATGGATAAACAATAACGTTGGTAATTGAGATCCGAGTACGTGATAAGAAGGTGAGCCATTGAGACTACTGTTTAGTGGCAGGGCGACCTAGGAAAGGCGAAAACCCTTGCATAACAGGCAAGGTTATCGTGCTACAAGGCCAATAACGGGCTCGTCAAAACTTGATCGACAAGCCAGGCCAGTGGGCCCATAAGGCAACACCTTGGTCCATCTTCACATCACACGGAGCGGCGTTTGGGAGCGTCCCTGGCAATCCCTTGTGGCACCAGTTTGCTGTGCATCGACCTGACGCGGCCTGAATTAGGTCTGACTCTTGTATGACCGTGGTGGGTCCCATCATTCCACGGGGAATGGGTCCTCGCCGAAGGGTGCTGGTCCCTGTTTCGCCATCAAGGTGGCAGGCAATCTCTGCATGCCTCTGTTGCATCCAGGGGCTGGATATTGAAGCTCGGTCATGATCACGGCATTATATTGCTTCCCATTTGGAAATGACTGACGTGGTTTCATTCATAGCTGTGGATTTTCTTGCATGGAATCAACCGACTTATTGGGTGCTCGAACAATCTATGACGAGGGAGGATGATTGCGCGAGACATGTCGATCCAACAATGCATACCATTAAGGTAAGGATCGGGGATTACCCGGTAGATCACCCGGAAGCTTGACTAGGAGACAGGCTCTGGCCTATGACCACGCTCGGAGGAGAGAATATCTCGTTGATGCTGTCACAAAAGCTTATCCTGACTGTCGGATTGAAGCCATCTGTGAGGAGGAATGAGACGTAGATAAGTATATCGTCTTTGTCTCAGGTTCACATACCGATGTTGACTCGTTAAAATCATGGTAAATTCGCAGTAAGGAAGATATGACAGGTCATCAATCCTAGCCCTTGATTCCATGCTACCTCGATGACGGCGTATTGGGCATTTTCGATTGCCCATACATTGGCTAAATCGTATTTGCAACGCACCTTCAAATATGTACTCTATGGGCCGTAGCCCTATAGATTCAGCCCCATAGGAAGACCGATCACTTCCTCTCATACGGTAGCCCTGATTCTTTCCGGATAGCGCCATAAACTCCTGCAATATCGCCCTTCTCCCCACGCTCCGCCTTGACCTCCTTCAAATACCCGTCTGTGACCTCTACGCTGCGCATGCGCATGCCAGCATCTTGGCCTAAGCTAGCCGCATGGCGCAGGTCCTTCCGGGCAAGATCAACAGCAAACAGCGGCTCCTCGCGCTGGTAGTAATCACCGCCGGCCATCCGGTCAGCGTACTTGGCGAACGGTCCGGGAAACGCGATATTGATGAACTTCTGGTACACCTCGATACCCAGTCCCGATTTCTCCGCCGCCACCATCCCCTCCGCTAGCGTTTCAACAGTGTTGAGAATGAATGTATTGCCCAGTACCTTAAGTAGCGTCGCACGGCCCACGTCGCTGTCGTCACCCACTGGCATAGTTGCGATCGCGACCACACCGTCCAGAAATGGCCGGATGCGCTCCACGGCCGCTGCCGCCCCGGCTGGGACGACCAGCAGCTTGCCTGCGTCTGCCATGTTGGGCGCCCCGAACACCGGGCATGCTATATATGCGGCGCTCTGCGCGGCTAGGGTCTTGTGGATGCGTCGCGACGTGTCTGGGTGAACGGTGGAGCAATCCACAAAGATTTTGTCAGCCAAGTTGACAGAGGCGTCGTTGATGAGAGCGTCGATGATCTGGTCCAGCGCATGGTCGTCCCCCACGCAGATGAAGACAATGGTAGCATCTTTAACGGCGGTGGGCAGGGACGAAACGGCTGTGGCTTTCTCAACGCCCAGAGACTCGGCTAATGCGGTGGCTTTTGATGTAGTACGGTTGTAGAGAGCCAGGGGAGTTGTTTGGGGTCCTTTCAAGGCGATGTTACGGCTCATGCCCTGTGGATCGATCGGTTAGTAGGAGGGAAGAGGTGGAGAATGGAATGATACTTACGCGCCCAATGTTACCCAAGCCAATCCAGGTGACACGTTCCGAGGCCATGATGATATTACTTTGACTTTATGAAGTGGTGATGGGAATAGGATGAGTAGTTGCAGAGGATAAACCAGAGAGTGGGGATGAGAGGGGGAGAAAGGCAGCAACATAAACTACGTAATGCGGGAAGATCAATTTAAACTGCTGCACGGTTCAATTCTTAGCCGATAAGTACATGACTATCCATTCCAATTTCTTCCGATAGATAGAATAAGATAAAACACTATGTCCAAACACCATTCAAAATACCATCACAAATCCTGATAATCATTCAACCACAAAACGGATTCCCAGCCCTTTCTTCCGCCAGTATGTCCTGAATTTTCTCCCAGGCCAACACACGACCCTCGACCGGTCCCAGTCGCACCGCCAGTGTCATCGCGTTGATCTGCATAGAGGTCGACTGCACCACCTGGAGCATAGCGTTTCCCAGCATTTTCCCATTGGTCTTGGAAGAATGATTCCAACGAACCCAGACCCCAATGTCCAGGTGCTTAACACGAGCTGCGTATTCGTGCGTGTCGAACCACACGGGTACCACGACCTGCGGGATGCCGGCTCTGCAAAGTCCAAGTCAGCGAGATTGTGGGGAACCACTGTGAAGAAACCATGTAGAGAACAATCGCAGCAGAAGAGACGAAACAAAAAGGAAAGGGGTACTTACTTGACTGCTTCCTGGTATGAGTTGGCACCTCCGTGGTGGACCATTAACGGGACATGGCCACTTTCAAGAATCACGATTGGGTCAGCGTACAGCCAGGGCTCAATGCGCACACGGTCTGTGATTATAGCCGGGTGAAGACATGCGAGCGCAGGGTCTGTCTTGTCGTCATCGTCGACACCGGGCTCAGGCTCCCGAACCATCTTCCATAGGATCTGGGCCCGGGGCATCTGATCTAGTAGCATGCGCAGCCCCTCTGCGAATTGTCGCCGGTTGTTGCTGTCATAGCGGAGATGCGAACCCATAGTGACGAGGACGGTGGGCCGCCGCGACAGCCAATTCGCTAGCTCGGGCATCTCCTGAGTGACCGGGGCACTGGCACGGAGGATAGGACCGCAGAGCGTAAACTGCTCGGGCACATGGCAGGGAAAGTCAGTATAAGACATACTGGATAGAATGAATGGGGTTTTGTCGGTGTCCGCGACGAGGATGCTGGGTATGGGGCCTGGGATTCCACACCTGTTGCGGTAATCTTCGACTTCATCGCACTGCTTGCATGATGATAGGGACCTGCGCAGATGGATGCCGAGAATGGTGTTAGGGAACAACAGATACCATGGTAGGGGGTAGGAATATCCTGAACACAGACTGCGCGCTACGTTAGAGATGGAGAGACAAGGGCAGACAGAGAAGAAGCTTACCTGGGATATTTCCATAGATTCGCTAGGTACGGCTGGCGCACATGAGTCAGGACAGTACTGGGTCCCAACTTCACCATGCGCTGTCCCATCGTGCGGCACACATCTACAGCTGGTAGTAGGAGAGGGTCTACCACAGCAACAACCGGCTGGACCTGCTGGATGATCTGCTCGCAGTCCCGGTAGATCTCCATGTACTGTATGCCGTCCCATGGCATGATCGTACTGTGCAGCAGCGAATTGTATGTTTTCATGGCTCCGCAGAGACCAGTTGGATGCGCGTCGAATGAGCCTCTAACTCCCGTCTTCTTGCGTACAAACTCCACCATGGATGGGCCGTTGATTCGATGGAAGTACGGCCTCCCTGTATTCCAAGGCATTTGGTTCAATCGTCTATGGAGGTCTTCAAGGGCATCGTCGATGGGAGCAAAGGAGGCAATGTGGACTTTGTAACTCACTCGTATGAGAAACTCAAAGGCCACTGCCAGATGCACTGCAGCCTGGCCCAACTCGCTGTTGGTGATGAAAAGAACGGATGGTTTATCAGGCATGAATGCGCTGTGTGTTCTTTGTAGATGGCTTGTGAACGATATGACCACTTGTATGAAGGATAGATAATGAAGAGATACAGAGAGAGGATGGAAGATAGAAAGAGAATACAGAGAGAACAGCAAAGCTAATAAGATCATATTTATATGTTTCTATTCAACAGTGAATACAGATATCATGCTCAGGTGATAGTAGACCATCACTGTTCAGTAGTGAGATGATTGCATCAAATTCAACAGTCACTGGCAGGTTCAGTGATAGTATTCTATCCACTGGAGTTCAGCACAATGAATCCTCTCCATGTAATTGGTTATAACAGATCATAAATATACTGCCTAGAATGTGCAATTAGTGATATGATCAAGATTATTCAATCAGTACTTCTATGAGATCTAAGAAGCCAGTTGCTCAGCGTACAGAACTATCATGACAATGATCTATCTCATCTATCAGCCATATTATATTAAGATACATAAATAGATCAAGGCTTCTTCTTTTCTTCCCTACTGGGATGGCTTCTTCCACGGGAAAACGCAAGGAAGGCGATAGGGCTATTTGCTAGCTTTGGTTCCCCGATCCATAAACATACTCTCGCCCCTTCCTATATCAACATAAGACATAGCTCTAGGCATTGATGGGTAAATCTAAAACATTCAATCGAGCTCCAGTATTCGTACTAGAGATTGTCAAATGCAATTGTCTTATTGAAGTAAAGCGTCCTCCTCAAGTGCACACGTTGACAGAGATGATCGGGGGACTAAAAGTACCAGGCCTCAGTGCTAAAAAGTGCCTGTCACTTCAACAAGATGGTGCTCTTCGTTGTCTGAACCAGCATAGTACCGAGTAAGTGGATAGCCCGGAAGAGAGGCCATCTGCTACAGGTGTAAGTCTATCTAGCGCAGATTATACAGAGTCATCATTTAAGTCTCTTCCATGCATCGGCTAGGTATGTATATACGTCGACACCCGTGCTATAACCATGAACAAATATGCCTAGAGCAGTGATTATCCTAAACTCGGAGTGAAAATCATTGCCTTAGAATGATTCTGCTGCTCTTCAAGGGACTTTTCCATAGTCGTTAGGAGCCGAGTAGTCCTAACATGGAGCTCTAAAGCCATCAAGTTAACGCCGCTGCCCTGATGACAACACGAGCAGAATATAACAGACGTACCTTCGATAGCCAGTTCAAAACTAGTTGCAGGTTCTTCGTCGCGATGAACAAGAATTGGAGCAGTCTCGCTGACTTCTCTCTTTTCCCGCACCCGAACCTTCAGACCAACATTGCGCGCTTGATCAGCCCAGAGCATCTGACTACCATCCATGCGGTTGTCTGCATGAGATTCTTCTGTCGTTCCTCTTGAATACGGATCGTTGTGATTTTCCAGGTGTTCCCTACGTCTCACAGCATCTTGTAGCCAGTCTTGGAACAACCGCACGACCTCATCCTCCACGGTGACGGCACTGAGCAGAAGACTACTGTCCGGAATCACTTTAACAATGTTCACCACAATACACAGCTGTGAGAAGTTCTCAAAAACCTCCAGATTGACAGGACGCGTCACTAGCAAGTTATCCTCCCGAGATTCACCGCCAATCCCTAACATATCGTCAGTTCGGAGCCCGGAGAAAAACATCGTCTTCCCAAAGAGATCAAGAGAACCCACCCCATGATGAGAGTAGTCTCGTTCCGCTATTTCGCTCATCCACTGTAGCTTCCGGGCGGAAACGCGAGTAGAGAGAACTCAGTCGGCCCAGCCGTTGGGCTTCGTCGACATCCTCGTAGAGCGACCCTTTCCCTTCGTACTGGTCACTGAGTCCGTCAGTACCGAGGTATTTGCAGAAGACGTGCGGCTCGACGAGTTTTGACGTCGGATGAAAGCATTCGAGAATGAGCTTGTACTCCTTGAGGGAAGCTGAAACTAAGAGGCGGTAGTGGAGGATTCGCAGGATTAGGGCATGAAACCGACGTGAGACTGTTGTGAGGGGGAGCAGATCGCGGGTGGAGAATGGGGTGAATATTTGGACGAATACCTGGCTGAAAGTCAGTTTACATTGTGCAACTTTATAGTAAACTAATGGGCTGATGGGAGGTATATATCAAGCATACTTCGTTAGGGAGAGTGTAAAGACGGGGTAGGGATGCGGGGTCCATTATGTTCGATTCCGCGCCCGCACTGTGGGGAGACACGGCCAAAGATTGGATGGATGTAGTAGACCGTTAGAGGTACTAGATGGCACGATCCATCCTGATCAGACAAAGGAAGGACAACAGTATGAGAAGCAATATGATGCACTTGAGGGAATATCAACCAGCGCATGCGATAAGAGATAAGTGGTTGATCTAAAGTTCTGACGTCACCCCGCGGGGAGAGCCATCATGAGATGCTGGTTCCACTGTTGGTATAAGATAGTATGTTCCAGAAAGATAAAAAACAATTGTTATATAACGGGTAGTCTCTATAATCATATTGTAAGATCGAAAATGTCCATTTTGCTGAGTGATAGGTGGTAACCCCAATCGATGCCTGAAGAATAAGGGGTATAACTGTCATCCGGCCATTCCCGTGGGCCGGGAGTTACCGGAAACCACAAAGACATTCAGCTCCATATTGGTGCCTGGGTAAACAGGCCCCGATGTCTTGGCACGGACGCGCGAAAAGAACTCTCCTCCCTCGGTCCCAATGATGCTCTCCAAGCTCTCCGCGTCCGCTCCTCCACAACTGTCAACACCCCCACCACACAGATCCATCGCAGTTGATTGAGGGTCTACACCTCAATTGTTGTTTATCATGGATTTCCTCGCGAAATATATCCCCTGTCCCTCTACACTGGAGCTCAATGTCGCCCCTGGGTGGCAGACGGTGGCCGCTTGGTTTCTGCTGGCCTCGGGAAGCTTGTATGTTGCTTCCCGAGCTTTTGTCTTCGTCAGAGTTCTTCTGAGCTTGTTCGTGCTTCCCGGAAAACCGGTATGTAATGTCTGATGGATCCACGGAAATCAGAGATGAGGGACTAACATCGATCGATCCAGCTCCGTTCCTTTGGCCCCCCCGGTAGCTGGGCGGTGGTGACCGGTGCCTCCGATGGATTGGGCAAGGAATTCGCCCTCCAGCTTGCTCGTGCTGGTTTCAACATCGTCCTGGTGTCCCGCACCGCCTCGAAGCTGACCGCCCTGGCCGACGAGATCACCTCGCAATACTCCTCCGTCCAGACCAAGACCCTGGCCATGGACTTCGCCCGCAACGATGATAGCGACTACGAGAAGCTGAAGGCTCTGGTTGGTGAGCTGGACGTGTCGATCTTGATCAACAATGTCGGCAAGAGCCACAGCATCCCGACTCCCTTTGCCCTGACTCCGGAAGACGAGCTGGCCGATATCGTGACCATCAACTGCACGGGCACCCTGCGGGCTACCCAGCTGGTCGTTCCCGGTATGATGCAGCGGAAGCGCGGGCTGGTCCTCACCATGGGTTCGTTCGGCGGCCTGCTCCCCACGCCGCTCCTCGCCACCTACTCCGGCAGCAAGGCTTTCCTCCAGCACTGGTCCACCGCTCTCGGCGGGGAGTTGGAGCCTTACGGAATCACGGTTGAGCTCGTCCAGGCCTACCTCATCACCTCGGCCATGTCCAAGATTCGCCGCTCCAGCGCGACGATCCCCAACCCCCGGACCTTCGTCAAGTCCGTGCTGTCCAAGATCGGCCGCAACGGCGGTTCCCCGACGTATGCATACAGCTCCTCTCCCTACTGGAGCCATGGTCTGATGGCATGGTTCCTGACTTGCGTGACCGGCACCATGGGCCGCATGGTCCTGGGCCAAAACCGCGGCATGCACGAGTCGATCCGGAAGCGTGCCTTGCGCAAGGCGGAGCGCGAGAAGGGCAAGAAAAGCACCTAAGAATAGTACCTACTACCTAGAGCTAGCCGGTGCGCCAGGTCTAGATGTCATGAGAGGAGAGTGAAGGCGAAAAGGATCGACGCGAGCCGCAAACATTGGCCATGGATGGATCTGGCCTGGACAGGGACTTATTTGCCCGGTGTAATAGACCTGTGTTTGGTTTTCGGGCGGCTCAGTTGCAAAAGCATGGATCAGAGATCCGCTAGCTACCGTACCCCGAAACCTCACAGCAGCTGTAAGTGTAAGGGCATAAACATGGGGAACAGAGACTCGCCCACTTGGGTCGTCTAGCCGCAGAAGTCCAACAGACAATGCACTGCAATACATGAACACCTCAGTGGGAGATTATCAGCATAGAATCAATAATATACTAGTGTTAAATCTGTAAATTCCGCCCTTGTATCCACCGTGCTCTCAGGCCATCGAGGCCACGGGGTTGATGGACCGCAGATAATTCTACAAACTACGGAGTACATATCCAGTACATTGTGGATGATTTGAGCCTTGTGGAGTATGGAATGCGTCTTGCATAATAAAATAATGCCAGGCGGAGGATTCTGCCATGTATACCACTGCCATCCCATTAATACACCAGTGCTAAAGATGGGTCATCTAAATACATCCCTGCTTGTTCTCGTGCCCTTAAATCATCTCACTTGAGACCTCAACTTCTCTATCTAAACCTATGCAGCTACTTGACGGCCAGGGTATTAATAGCATCACAGAATGAGCCATGGTTGCTAAATCGACTGCTAAAGACATGCTAGAAGCTCGCTAGGCAAGTTGAGAGGCAAAAGAAAGATTGCCACCGTTTTAGCAAGCATTGAACGCTGGTTTATCTAGTGTTTAGTGTATACTCCTAGACTTCACTATAGTCAAAAACAGCCACTGTTACGACCAGCAATGATGAACTACCGACGGACCCGTGGAACCCCAATGCACTAACGTATACGGATACAATGGCATACAACCAGCTCAAAACCCTCACCGCAAGCTAAAAAGGTCAAGAGGTGCAAGCAAGCAGGGCACAATGATCCTCAGCCTGGTATTTCCAATTTCAGCTAAGGTTATCTCGGTTGGTCGGGATCCGCAGTGGAGTCTGATCAATTGACAAGGAAGCTAGCCCATTGGCCATTTCCAGAACCTCTCTTCACTCTCTGCACCATGGTTGGATGAAGATCTGACAGTGGGTATGGGATTTGGGAAGGGAATAGAAAGACAAGATCCGTCACCGGTGAGTTTCAAACGGGATAGGTACCTGATCAGAGATTTTTAGTTGGTTTCTCTAGCCCGGTGGGCCGCCCGATTCGGCACACCGAGAGGTCCATGGGCTGATCCCGAGTCCGAAGATATCGGGTGCCGATGGCTCGGCATCGCTCTGGATTCTTCTGGATGGAAGAAACACACCGGGAGAGAATGAACCAGAGGAAACAAGGAAAGAACTATAAGATTCAGGTATCCTGCTGTTTCACGGCTGGAATGACTCCATTGACTTTTCCTGCTGCAGTCACTTCTCCCAGACCTAGTTCTACTAATCTTTCCAGATTTTTCCCGACTCGGGATCAACCCGTAGCCGCTCAAAAAAAAAATTACAAAATGTTCTATTTTTCTGACCGGGTCCACCAAGTCTGCCACGGCTTTTGACCCATTGTTCATTTCGGAACCGGCAAGTTGACTACGGTCAGGCCAGGGGCAATAATTGTCGGGTTGGTTTCACAGTCGTCCAACCTCAGAATCACCCGGTGGACCACATGAACGAGATTGACTTTGTCATCCAACCACATACACAAGACACAGTGTGAAGGATGTCAGACAATTCAATAACCCTTGCTTCGGACCCGACTCGCTTCATTTCCTGATGTCTGAGGCGAAGGCCATCAACAAAGACTCGCAGTAGAGTCATGATCCAGACACCATGACATTGTAACATCCGAACATGATCAAGGTTCTTGCCTTCCTCTTCATTGCCGTGGTCATCGTATGATCTTGTAATGCTGGACCTTCTCCTGCACAATGTCGTTGTGAACAGGATACTGTCAACCACCTGGTTGACAGTGACTAACACCTCAGACAGTGATGGTTCCCATCAGTATGAGAGACCAATCTGCGCTGCGACAGGCACTCCACCAGCGTAACTCTAGTCTCTCCACTATCTCTCCACTCGTAGTAAACCCTGTCAAGGTCTCCAAGGACGAGGTTGCCCCTAGCATTCGACCACGAGAGCGAGCTTGAGATCTGGGCCCGTTGTTTTCCATGGTCCTACCTTAGCAAACTTTCATCACGGTAGAAATTACTCTCGCCTGCGTCACCCATCGGGTCAACAGTCCGTCGTTGAGCCTAATTTCCTGTTTTAAACCCTTCTGTCGCCGCCGACTCCCCTCTTCCATTTCAACCCCACCCCCAACCTCCCTTACTGTGCTTTGTCTGAATCCCCATTCCCCATCTACTGCATTTCAGTTCGTTGCTTGGCTGGACTGCTCACCATGGGCGTTTCTAGTCTGATCTCGCGGATCAAACCGCAGGTGGAACAGAAGGAGCTGTCAAAGGCGTCGACTCCCGCTCGCTCTGAGTCGAATGCGGAGAGAGATCATGTCCTGCTCGATGACAGTCCCGTTCAGTACCTGACCTGGAGGTCGTTCATCCTGGGGATCGTGGTCTCCATGGGTGGCTTCATCTTCGGCTATTCGACCGGTCAGATCTCCGGCTTCACCACCATGGCCGACTTCAAGCAGCGCTTCGCCGAGAGGCTGCCCAACGGGGAGTATCACTTCAGCAACGTCCGAAATGGCCTGATTGTTGGTCTCGTAAGTGCTTAACCGCGGGTATAGGACGAGGTGTACTCGGGACCTCATCATCATTACGTGGTGCTGACGACTGTTATAGCTCTCCATCGGAACTATGATCGGTGCCTTGGTGGCTGCCCCCATTGCTGACCGCGTTGGCCGTAAACTGTCCATGACCTTCTGGTCCATGATTCATATCGTCGGTATCATCGTGCAGATCGCCACGGACGACAAGTGGTACCAGGTGGCCCTGGGTCGTTGGGTCGCCGGTCTCGGCGTGGGCGCCCTGTCCGCCGTGGTGCCCATGTACCAAAGCGAGTCCGCCCCCCGCCAAGTGCGCGGCGCCATGGTCAGCGCCTTCCAGCTGTTCGTGGCCTTTGGCATCTTCATCTCCTACCTGATCAACTTCGGCACCGAGAGCATCGCGTCGACCGCCTCGTGGCGCATCACCATGGGCATCGGCTTCGCCTGGCCCCTGATCCTCGGCATCGGCAGTCTGTTCCTGCCGGAGAGCCCCCGCTTCGCCTACCGCAACGGCCGTGTCGAGGAGGCGCGCAACGTCATGTGCAAGCTGTACGGCGTCAACCCCAACCACCGCACCGTCGTCCAGGAGATGAAGGACATGAAGGACAAGCTGGACGAGGAGCGCGCCGCCGGCACCGCCGCGTGGTACGAGATCTTCACCGGCCCGCGCATGTTCTACCGCACGCTCCTGGGTATCGCCCTGCAGTCGCTGCAGCAGCTCACCGGCGCCAACTTCATCTTCTACTACGGCAACAGCATCTTCACCTCCACCGGTCTCGACAACTCCTACGTCACCCAGATCATCCTGGGCGCGGTCAACTTCGGCATGACCCTCCCCGGTCTGTACGTCGTCGAGCACTACGGCCGTCGCAATTCCCTGATGGTCGGCGCCGGCTGGATGTTCATCTGCTTCATGATCTGGGCCAGCGTGGGCCACTTCTCCCTGGACCTGGCCGACCCGGCCAATACGCCCAAAGCCGGCGCCGCCATGATCGTCTTCACCTGCTTCTTCATTGTGTACGTCTCCCTTTCCCTCTTCTTACATCCCACCCTTCCCACTCCCCCCCCCCCCCCCCCCCCCCCCTCCCCACCCCCAACATCACAATACACTAACACATCTGAAACAGCGGCTTCGCCACAACCTGGGGTCCCATCGTCTGGGCCATCTGCGGCGAGCTGTACCCCGCGCGCTACCGCGCCGTCAGCATCGGCATCGCCACCGCCGCAAACTGGACCTGGAACTTCCTCATCTCCTTCTTCACGCCGTTCATCTCCAGCTCGATCGACTTCGCCTATGGCTACGTCTTCGCCGCGTGCTGCTTCGCGGGCCTGCTCGTCGTCTTCTTCTTCGTCAACGAGACCCAGGGCCGCACCCTCGAGGAAGTCGATACTATGTACGTGCAGGGCGTGAAGCCGTGGAAGAGCGCTGGCTGGACGCCTCCTGGGGGTGTCATTGGTGATATTGATAACAACACTGCTGCGACGGAGGAGGAGGAGGAGAAGAGGGAGGGGGAGGGGGAGCATGTGCATGAGGAGCCTCCTAAGGATAAGGCTGGGGAGGGGAGTGCCTAGTTTTCTTTGACTCTGTTCTCTTCTGATTCCGGTTCTTGTTTTATTCCCTTGTTCTATTCTCTTGTTCTGCCCCTTTCTTCCACTTTTTCTTCTTACTTTTCTACTTCCTTACTTCCTGTCTTACTTTTATTTTATTACGACTCTCCTCTTTTCCATCTATGAGATGGCAGACACACTGGGTTCTATTTCATGTCGACTCCTGCTTCCTAATGTCTAGGTCTGGCTGGACCAAACACAACAAAATGTATTCAAACAACAACTGAGAAATGGTTTTTAAAACAATATAAGGGGAATGAATAGCAAGAACTAGTTTATTTTATGGTTCCATGCCAATACTTTATTTTTTAGAATTGTAGATGGAGATGCTAGATGATATGGGATTGGAGTGTTGAAGACATCTCAATATGTTGTTTGTCATTATCACCGTCACCGTCATCATCACTGTCACGACCCTACATGGTATTTTTTTTGTATACGTATTTGATTGAGAGGAAAGGAAAGAAGGAAGAAGATAATAAGTCATGACTATATTCATAATGCTAGCCAGAGGCATTCCAATCACCCACTCACTCAATCAATCAATCTACTACTACCAGATATAACCTCCCCGATCTCATCATAACTCAATGAGAATCAATCAAGTCAATGAATCCATCCATCCCTCGGATATCACCGTCCCACCAACAAGCGGGAAAAGCACGGCCAAGCAAAACAAAACAAAACAGATGTAATATAAAAGATATGAATAAAAAAAAAACTGTGTAATGACACCGCAACGCCCTTCTTTTTTCTCGAATAGTTCATAATCACGAAATGAGTAGCTGCGTTTGGTATTATGGAGGAACTCGGTCGGTTGGTGTGTCGTGGTGGTTTTAACGCCGAGAGGTCTTGCCCATGCCACGTTTGCCGGCGACCTATTGTGATTGTATCAGTAGAGTTCTTGATGTATTGGGTGATATGGGGAAAGGAAGGATGTAAGAAAGGAGGGAAAGGAAAACATACCAAATGTCTCGCCAGAGACGCAGTCTGGTGACGATCGGCTTCGCCTGCACGCGCCATCCGGTTCATCTTCTTCTGAGACAGCTTGGCCAGACGCTCGGCCTTGGTGCGCGCCAAGTCGTCGGTGACACCGTCGTCGCGACGGTTGGTGGCCGCCTGGCTGCGGGCGCGGCCCTTGGCCTTGGCGATCGCCTGGCGCGGGTCGGACGGGTCGACGTCCATGGAGTCGTCCATGTCGACGTCGCGGTTGGTGCTGCGGCCGCGGGACGGCTGCGAGCGGGCACGCGCCGAGGCGGCGTCGACGTCGTAGCCGGCGTCGGCCAGGCTCTTCTCCATGTCCTCGACCCGCTTCGACTTGGCGCTGCGCGGGATCATCGCGCGGTTCTTGAGCGACTTGCGCATGCGGGCCTCGTTGCGCATGAGCACGTGCTTCTCGCGGATCAGGTCCGCCTTCATGCGCAGGTCGGCCTCGTCGGCCTCTTCGATCTCCTCGTCGGACTCGTAGAAGCCGTCCGCTTGCAGCTTCTCCTCCTCCTCCTCCAGCGCGGCGAGCTTCTCCTCGATGTCCGGGTCCACGAAGTCGTAGATGTTCTTGCCGTTGTACACCTCGGGGATGTTGTCGTGCTTCCAGTCGTCGTCCTCCAGCAGGTAGTTCTTCTTCATGTCCACGTTGTAGACACCCGCGCCTCCGTTCTCCTCCTCGATGTCGCGCTCCAGCTTCTTCCGGTTCGGGTCGTCCTTGTCGTACTTCTGCAGGGACTTGACGGCCTCCGGGATGAAAGTCTCGCGCTGGGCACCGTTCATCGGCTGGGCCACGTGGATACGGGCAAGCACGTCGCCCAGACGTCCGCCGGGCGTGCCGGCGCTGTTGGTGCCGGACTTGAGCTTCTGCGCCACACGCTCGGCGAGCAGCTTGTCGCAGGCGGCGTTCTTCACGTTCGTGACACCTTCGGTGGTGGTGCAGGAGAGCTGCAGCAGCTCCACGTCACCGGACTTCAGGATGTCCTGGAGCTCCTGCTGGTACTCGGGCTCCAGGTCTTCGGGACGGCGGACATCGATCTTGTTGATCACGATGAACACGATCTTGTTGGCGAACAACGGCCGGATGCTGCTGAACAGCTTGATCTGGTCGGACACGGAGTAGCCGCACTGCTCGGAGAGATCCATAAAGTACATGACGGCCGACCGCAAATGGGCGATGGCGGTGATGGACTGCATTTCGATGGTGTTCATCTCCTCGAGCGGGTGATCGAGAATTCCGGGCGTATCGATGGCCTGGAATCGCAGGTATTTGTAGTCGAAGTGACCGACGAACAAACTCTTGGTCGTGAAGGCATAGGGCTGCACGTCAACATCGGCGCGGGTGATGTTGCGCAGGAAACTCGACTTTCCGACGTTGGGATAACCACAGATCAACAGGGTTCGGGTGTTGGGGTCGATCGAAGGCAGACGGCCCAAATGCTGTCGGACCTGCTCCAGGTAGACCAGGGGATCTTTCAGACGACGGCAAATGGTGGCCATGCGACCGAGGCCAGCACGTTTCAATTGCTTGCACTGAAACAGAGACTGTGCGTATTTGATAAGACGGACATAGTCGCGCGAGACGGTTTCGATGAGATGTTTCGCCGTGGAAACCTGGCCCAGGGCAATTCTGAAATGGTCGGCATCGTAGAGGGTGTTCATCAGATCCTTGTCTGCGGGGTGTTAGACTTGTTTGATTTTGTTTGTCTTTCTTTCGTCGTTCTCTCTCCGGGGTGGGAGTGGGGAAAATTCAGCACATACGGAACGGATGAATGTCCTGCAGACGCGGGAAGCCATCGAGGATAGCCTGAAACTTCTCGCCAAACGTCTCCTGGGTATATTTGACCTTTCGGGTATAGAAAGCTGTCATAAAAAAAAATCAGATCAGTAAGATGTTCCACCATACGGACTGCCCGATCGCCTCCAAAACGACCACCACAACCCATGCAAAGAGTCTGAAATACCTCGAATACGGCTAATCTTGAAGCCCGCGCGAATCTGCGTAGGCAGCTGACGCTGGGTGCGACTCAGCACGATATCCAGGAATTCCTGGCTCGTGGGCACCGGCGCAATCTAATCACAGAGTCAGTAAAAAAAAAAGTCGACTTGGTTTGCCCCAGAGGCGGGGCGATGCAAAAAAACTTACGTCCTTCCAGGTAGTCTTCATGATGGAAACTCGAGAGGGATGGACGACTCTCAAGAAAATCACAAAGGGTTGATGGGAGAAGAGGAGGAAGAAAAATAAGATCGTCTGTTAGAGTGATGGACGGTCGTCGCCGAGCCCAAAAATCCCGACCCAAAAAAAAAAAAAAAAAAAAAAAAAAAGAGCGATAAAGGCGGCAGAGTTTTGGGCGGTGAGGAAATGTGGAGAGGATAAATCACGTGATACCCACTAGCCGAGAAACAAGCATAACTGCATAACCTCGACATAGAATGGTTGATAACCAATTTTATAGAATTATAGAAATGGTCTACTTTCTGCTATTCAGGTGAAGAAGGGTTTAATAAGTTACAATTGAATATAAGTCTCTATCGATCATATACATTCAACTACCCGTGGGACTATGTATGATACATCGTAATACCGACCAAACCACCCGCTGTCTCATCATCACATGGGTATAGGAAGCAAGTCAGGGCTTCGTGGAAGCCGCTTGGACTCGTTAAGACGAATAGTCCCCCGAACAGAATCATCATCGTAGCCCACAAACTCCGTTGCTTTTGTCTTTCTGAAGCCACCCGGTAAAGACCCAGTAATCCCAAGAGAAACCGTCAACATGTAGGGGGTGTCAAAGCGAAAAAATCATGGCAGGAAAAATTCAAGGACAAAAAGAGAAGAAAAAAAAAGGTTAAAAAAAAAAAGGGAAAAGGAAAGAAGAACAGTAAAAAGACAAGAAGACAACCTAGCGGAAGGAAGATAGCATTGGGTCATAGAAATGCCAGTCGTCCATCGCTCATTCATTCGTAAATTCCAATACCTAAAACACCGGTCAGTAAGATCAAGTATGAGGCCCACACAGTTAGAGTACGCTTACCAGATCAACCCAGCCGCCGCCACCAAACTGGCACTTGCTGGGACCCCGGTTCTCAAACCCAAACGATTCGTAGAAGTTCACCAGGTGGTCGTGGGAAATGATGGAGATCCGTTGGGCGATCTGCGCCTCCTTGATGCGCTGGATATAGGCTTTCATCAGGGTGCGGGCGACCTGCTTGCCCTGGTGCTCCGGTCGCACGGCCAGCGAGTGGATGGCGATGGTGCTGCCGTACTCATCGTGTCCGACCGTCTCTCCGTCCTTGATGGAGAAGCGCTCCGTGCGCCAGTTCTCCGGCAATTGCATGGCCTTATCAGTGACGAGAACGGTCGGCGTCCGCGACGCCACCACATGTCCGACCAGGGTCGGCCGGGGCTTCGCCTCGCCATCGCCCAGAATGGGCAGCGTAAAGAGACCCAGGCACAGTTCCGGGCATCGGTTCAAACGGTAGGTGAACTTCACGAAAGAAAACTCGGTTAGCGCGAACTTGCTGTGTTTGGGGAGACAAAAAATCCACATACCTTGTCGCGAGTACAACGCTCCGCCTCGGGGAAAGCCTGCTCAACCTCGACGCAGTCATCCACATGGGAGACGGTAAGGACCTGGGTGAAGGGGTGCAGCTCGTCCAGCTGGGTGCGGTGGTGGACCGGGGGGCGGCGGAACCAATACGGGAATTCGTTGATATCGTCATGGTCAACAGCGACGTAGTCCTCATCGACCTCCTCCTCATCATCGTCATCGTCGAGTTCATCGGCCAATTCGGGGGGAAGCCCTGGGCCTGGAGATGGGCGGAGGCGAGCGGATCCAGCTCCCGGTTGATATGGCGGGTCAGATCGTCGGCGGTGGACGCGGGGGACAAGGGTCCAACCTTGATACCGTTGACGGTTCCTGAAGATTGCTGATTCGTTTGATCGGACATGATTGAGCGTCGTGAGAATAAAAAGTCGGAGATGTGGTGAGATAGAAAGGCGAGGTGGAGGTGGCGGAGAAGTACGGAGGAGAGGAAAGCGGCAGAGATCGGGCGCGACTCACAGTGCGAGCGAAGGGGGAGTGGGGGGGGGGGGATTGTTTTGGTCAGAATTCCCAGCACGGAAGGGATTTACCAACGTTTCTCTTTTAGACTGGAAGGGGAGATTGGATTTAATGTCGGATGGACGTGAGGAGGGGAAGTTGGGGGAGGAAGGAGGAGATGGAGAGAAATGACTAAATCTTAAACCCGAAACGAAAAGAAAAAAAAAATTAAAAAGAAAATCGAGAAAAAAAAAGGAAGCGAAAAGGAACGGAAAAGATGAGGGGTTCCCGAACCCACGGAAAGCCGGTGGGGCAAATTCTGAGTGTTGAGTTTGGTGTCCGAGTTGATACTGAATACTCCAGACAGATAAGAAGCAGAAGAAGCTTATCGTGAGAGTGGAAAGTTAGGGCTAAGACTAGAACGAGTTAAGAGCACTCGGACTTGTCACGGACGATGCAGGGATCACATCTTGATTGTCTCGTGATCGATATAGTCCATCATGCGTGGCAACGAGTCGGGGGATTGTCTGTCGCCACCGGAATTCTGGGGTGGAACTTGGAGATGTACTGACCAATCTGGAGGATTGTACAGAAGCTTACAACGCAATTAGTAGTAAGAGTACAATCTATTTCTTGGACTATATATCATTAATGAAGCACATTGTATATATTGAAGTTGAAGTAAGATCCTCCATACCCCAGGTTGCATTATCGGAAACAGATGACTCATCCTGCATTACAAGGAACAAGAAGGAGCGGAAAAAGTTCCCCGCCGAGTCACGGGATATATGTGCCTGGTCTTACCTAAGCAGGCACCGAAGATCGCTCACCGCCTTGCTCTCCGCCATCAATTGCGATACAATACAGCTCCAGCGACTTCACTTCCAATTCAATAAGCATCATGACCAGACAATGACACGATGCCCATCTGCATCGAGTGCTCCTATCCCGTCTCCCACCTGTATAGTACCTACAGTCGTGCCGATGATCGCTCTCTGGGGAAGGGCGTGCGCTTGACCCAGTGCCCGCGGTGTCAACGCTTCGCCGACAAATACGTTGAATATGACTTTGTCGTGCTCTTTATTGATCTCGTCTTGATTAAGCCACAGGTGTGCCAGTCTACAGATCGGATGGGATGTAGCTCAACTAACGCTCTACCAGGTATATCGACATCTGCTGTTTAATCGGCTCGGAGGGAATGATAACCAATTGGATGTATGTCCAACCTCCCCCTAAGTCCAATGGACGAGATCTGACCAGTGTCTGTATACAGCGCTCCATCCTTCGCCTGGGAATTCTCCTCCTGCTGTTCGATGTCTACCTGACTTGGGCGCGTCTCGAAAAATCCCCCACCCTGGGTTCCACCTTTCTCCTGCGCGCCCCCATCGTCATCCAGTACCTGTTTTTCTTGAGCTTGAACACCCTTGCGACCCTGGCCCACCATCTCACCGTCCGCTTCCTGGCATCCATTCTTGCTCCCACGCCGCGAGGACATGCAGGACTCAACAAGGGTACTGGGGCTGGAGCGGAGCAGTCCTCGGTCCCGTCGACCCCGGTACTGCCCTCCTTCCCGGCTCAGCCCACGCAGACTCCCCCGTCCAACTCGGCGCTGAGCCCGCCGAAGCCTACCCCAAACCAGTCATCCCACGACATATCGTCCCCTCCAGCGGGGTCAAACAACAACAACAATACCACCCTGCCAGCATCAACTGCACCGGGGCCACCACCACGGCCATCCCCCCTCCGCCGCACCTCGACCGCCCCAACCCAGAACATCCAACCCCTCCCGCCCCCTTCCCCAGCCAGTCCAGCAGCCATCAGCACAGCTCTCCTAGTCAGCAGCTGCGTCAAACTATTCCCCATCCTCCTAGTCATCTGGGGCCCCAACGGCACCGGCGACAGCGGCACCCCGACACCAGCAGCATCAACAGCATCAACATCAGCAGCACCACCGCCCACAGCGCATTCACCCCCATCGACACCGGCATAACCCACGCAATACCCACCAGTCTAGCCCAAGGCCCACCCCCAACAGCAACAGCCTCGCCCTCAGGACTAGCAGAATGGTTCGCCTCGCCACCACTGCTAGACAGTTTCGTGGGCCTAATGCCCGCCAGCGTGGTTGAGCTGATCGGGTCGATTCTCTCGCTCGGCGCAGCAGACACGCACCTCGTGCTGCTGAGCAATATCGAAGCGCTGTATATCCTGCTTGGCTGTGGGTATGTGCGGGCTATGGCGCTGGCTGTTGCGGGGTTGGCGGCGCGGTGGACGGTGCAGAGGGTGATATTGGGGTTTGCGGGTGTGGGATAGTCTCATTGTTGATAGCCTATTCGCACTACATTAAACCTACCCTTATATAATACAGTCTTAATATAATACGCAGTCTCAGACAAAAAGATAATATCAATAGAAAATAAAAGCGTAGCTATACAGATTCTCCACATCTAAGCCTAGGCAAGTCACTACTTCACCCACTCATTGCAAGGTAGGCCACAGATATCACAAGGTATCACACATACCACCAACCCATCTCACCACCCCACACCCAATACCTAATTGAGAAAAAGAGATCACTGCGGCACCCGACCAGGCCTAATATCGGACCTCTTAGGCACGATAAGCGGATGCCACTGCGCCAGGAAAACGATCGCTAAAAAGAGCATTAGCCATGAATCCAACACAACACAACACACCCAAAATAAAGAAAGGAAAGGGAAAATAAAGAAAGATACATACCCCACATCAGATAACACGACGCAAACGAGAGAATGAGGGTGCTTCGCCAGAGTCTGTTATGTTTATTCCATTTGTCAGCCTGTGTCTGCGTATCTCTGTCTATCCCGCTGGACGGATTGTTGAATTTGAATGCATGGATGGATGAATGGGTAGGGATAAAGATAAACATACGTCTGGTTATCCCCCTTGGGACTAAAGAACCATGCTACCACCGACGCGATGACGACGAGGATTAGGCCGACGATGAGACTCCACCTGTATTCATTATTCAGTCAGATTTGGTTTTCTCCTTGAGTTGGGTATGGGTAATTGTTAAGTGCGTATAATACTCGCGCAAGTAGCAGTAGACAGTAGGTAGGTAGGTAGGTAGGTGGTATGAACGTAGAAAACAAGGAGAAACGAACCCGTTGGCCATTGTGTATGCGTATATTTGATTCTTCCTTCTGACGTGACTGTCCAACGTATCTGTCGTCTGTCTTCGTCTTCGTCCTCAAGCCGAACAACAATCGAATCGTATCGGATGAATCGAACGACGCGAGATCGAATAGGTCGTTAGATAGCCAGGAGTAACTAGCAGACCAACACCAAACGTATGCGAAAGAATGAGACGTAGGACCAGCCTCAGCCTCGTGTCTGCCCGTTTTGTTTCTCTTTCTTCCCTTCCAACCTCAAATGTATATCTCCAACCCCGTATCCTAGCTAATCCGAGCTAAACGTCCGTTCCGTCAATCGATTAATCCCACTTGGCGAGTGAGTGGACAGCGTCGCACGATAGAAGGAGCACGACTCGGCGATTATGCGGGGCGTTGATCTCGAACTGTCGACGGCTGAAAATCCAGTGTATATGCGGAGGGTGGTGATACCGAGAGGGTGGATATAGGTCTTGTTATCTGAATATCCGGTGAAGTCGCTGAACTGACATGACATAGCAACGGAGCCTGAGAGATTTGGCTAGTCTGTTTCGGGTATGTTGCGCCAACTGGTTGATGCCTGAGGCAGTATCCGCATAGTGGTGGGCTGTGGCGGTGCAGTACCTACATATAACTATACTCTGTACTATCTGGGTGTTAGGTATTATAGAGCTACGGAGCTGAGTTACAAGCGCAAGTACGGTTTAATACATTGATGTATGCGTACGAGGAATCATTTGATAATTGACACGCATAAGATAAGCTACGCAATCCAACCAAGTCCCCATATCCCCATGGGGACGGGAATCATCTCATTCAAGTGCAACGGGGGTGAATCTCGACAAAGGATACTGAGACATGAAAGAAGAATACGACGAAGAAATATCAGAAGAAAAGGATATAAGAGGATCCATTATGGATCTTCTACGCGCCCTCGCGGCTCTTACGGTAGCTGGCCTGTGACGAGTTAGCTGAGGTGTACTGTGGATGAATCAAAGACAGATGGGGTATACCTCTTGTTCGACCTGCAACCCGTCGACAACAGGCGCCAGCTCGCTCAGGATCTCGTACGAGCGCTTGTGGAACTCCAGCTGCGCCGCGATCAGGTCCGCCAGGTTTCTCAGGGGTTCGGGGGTGTCGAGGACCTGATCGATTAGCACGTGGCCACTCACAGCAAATAAAAGAAAAAGAGGGGAGACGTACATTCTTCATAACGCTCACAGCCTCCTCAGTCTGACCAACGAACTCATCCTCCGCCTGCTCAATCTCCGCGCGGGCCTCCTCGCTCAGGTTATCCATATCACCCCGAGCAGCAGCCTTCTTGCTCGCCTTGACAGAGTCAAGCATAAGCCGGGCATTCTCAACATTACGGCGCGCCTTAGCAGCAAACATCAAGTTCGTGTTGAGAGTGGTGTTCCAGCCGGCCAGGAAGCGCGACTGGATCTGCGCGTCCTGCGCCAGACGGGCCTCGCCGACCTTCTCCGAAGCCAGGGCATACTTCTCGAGGGCGCTCGCCAGCGGGTCCTCGCCGGTCGAGCTCTGCGCCAGCGTCTGCGACCCGGCGAGCGACGCACGCGCGATGGCGTGGTTGAACGTCTTGGGCTGCGGCTTGGCGGACGGGGGCGCGGTCAGGGCCGCCTGGGCCTCTGCGGGCGACGCCGCCTGCGACAGCAGCTGGACCTTCTCGTTGATGGTGCGACCCAGGTCGTTGAAGGACTCGCGAATGTTGGGAGGGTAGTCGTAGGGCTCGTTGGAGTACTGCGAACTAAACACGTGAAACGCACGCATGCGTTAGCATGTGACAGTGGACGACGCACGAGGGAAGGGGACGGAGCGATAAAGCTCAAGAGACCGACTCACGTCACCTGCAGCAGCTTCTGATGGACCAGCTTCAGAGCATCTACGCGCTTCTCCAGCTCGATGTACTCATCGGGGAGCTGGGTCTTGTCCTCTACCTGGCCCAGCTGCTCCTTGATCATCTGCTGGGTGCGCGCAGCAAAGGGCGAGAAGTTCGCGCTATTTCCCCACGCAATGGAAAATTAGAAACATGTCAGTATAATGCTTCTACCGGTGTTGACTGGACCCCGGGGTGGGGGTTAGGTAGAGGGATTACTGTCGCAGGAGCGACAGTAGATTTAATTCCCCCGGGCCCAACAAGGCGGAGAGATGACCTGCATCGTACCTGAGGTTCTTTCCGAACGCCTGCACCTTGTCCATGGTGAAATCAAAGGGGGGTAACAAATCAAATATGATGTAGTAGAAAAGATCAGGGATGCGATCAAGTGGAGAGGACGCTAGGCAAGTCAGATGGAATGTTTGGGGGATGCAGAAGGCTGCGAACGAACGTGGTGGAGAGTCGAGGCCACTCTCCCGTTCCGACACCGCCTCATCTGTTGGCACCGCCACAGCCCCTTAACTATACGGAGTGGTGGGTCATAACAGAAGTACGTTTCATACTACGTTTGTTATCATGAATGGTTTTTTTTTTTTTTTGAGTCAAAGACACAAATCAAGGAAATGACTACATGCATACATCCATGTAACAAATTGTGCTAACCAAACCCGCAATCTCCAAGCAATATCAGGAAACAAAAGGACTATGCTACAAGCCTGTCAATCTATCATAACCATAACAATAATCATATCCAGTAAGTCACGTTGAAGTCGTATCATAGCGGTGTCAAAAAAGTCAAATATCGCATGAGAAAAAGCCACAGAAACCAAGAAGATCAAGTCAGAGTAGCCATCATGGCACGGATAATGCGCGGGTTGGGTCCTGTCAATAAATCTTAGCATCCAGTCATGACATCCACCAGTGGGATCAAGTGTCAACCTACCCTTGCGGTCCTGTCTCGTCTCGACGATTTCCTCCTGCTCGCCATTGCCCAGCATCAACCGCGTATCGCGGATCACGTCCCCACGGCCATGCAGTCGGTCCAATTCCAGGTACTCGCGAAGGTCGTCGTCGCTGCTGCGCGGTCGCACCACGACGGCCAGCGGGCCGGTGCGGGGTTTCTCGGCCTCAACGCGGTCGTCGGAAGAGCGCCCCACCAGGCCAACCATGCGAACCGGGGAGGAGCGTCCCCGATGTCGACCGTGGACTGAGATCGACCGGGACCGCGAGACGGTCCTTTTGATCCGTCTCTCAGACAGGTCATAATGGCGGGAGTGTGAGCGGTGTCGCGAGGGCGATCCCTCAATGATCAAGGTATCCCCGCTGCTTCTAGGAGACGATCGCTCCATCGCCAGTCGTTCCATCGTACGGGAGGATGGGTGTTTGTGGCGGACGGGTGAAGGACTCCGACGTCGAGATTCGACTAGACGGGGGATATCAGTCTACTTGTCTCTCGGGGGCTAGAGGCACGTGGTCACCTACTCTCACTTTGGCGCTTGATCTCGCGACTCCGCCCGATGACTTCATCAATCTGCTCCTTTGACAGCGCCAGATCAATGATGACCATGTCACCCTAGAAGAAAACAGTCAGAATCACAATCGTGGCTGGATCGATGACATTCTCGGTCATTAATATAAGCGCATAGCATACCTCTTCGTGGTACGGGTACTGCCACTCGCGGATAGCGCGGACATGGACCAGATTCTTAGGCATACGTGTCTTGCCTTTGCGCGGGTAAGGTTTCTCGACCTCCTGCGTCACACGCTCTCGAAACCGACTACCGGAGCGACGCGGCGGGGTAACGAGATCCCGCTCACGAAAGCCCCGGAACTCCTCATCGCCATAGTAGTCCGGCTCCGCGATGCGGATAGCGTCGTAAGAATCCGACTCGCGGGACCGGCGAAACGACCGGCGGCGCCGAGGCGGCGGGCTGGGGGCTCCCCTGGGGGCATGGTAGTAGTCGTCGAGCTTTCGCGCGGGGATGCGGTCGAAGGTGTCGAGCGAGGATTGACGGCGTAGAAGGCGGGGGCGGGGCGGAGGGCTCTCTCCCCGGCGGTCGTAGGCCACGAGGGGCCCCGATGGTTGCACCAGGTGGTCGTCGTCGTAAGACCTGCCCGGCCGGCGGGCAGGGGGTCCGTACCGGTCGTCTTCCTGGAGGCGCCATTCAAATCGCTCATCTTCCATTCGACGGGGTCGTTCCAGAACCGGGGGGGCTCGCGGGTGCATGCGATCCTGGCGTTCTCGCGAGAATCGCTCGGCGTCCCACCGGTCTGCATCCTGGTCGAACGCTCCGGTGGACCGGCGGTAATCGCTATAACGCGACATAATTCTTTATTGAATTACTTTTCTTGTAATCAACTGGTCGTATGACTGAGGAAGAAATGGGTGGAGGGAAGATGACTAGATCGATGAGGGAACCGGGGGTGTGACGATTGCGGCTGACTTGACGGGCCGCTGGTTGAAGGTGGGGAAGATAAGCTGCTGAATCGATGGACGGACCACGGGTCGCTCAGTTCAGGATCAGGGACAGGATGAGGTGTGGAAGAAAACCCCGCGAGCGCGATCGTAGTTCAAATAGGGACCGAGCAAACGACAACACAAAGGATGGAGAAAATACAGATCCAGGTTGGTTTTCAGATCATGAAAGGAATAGAATCCACAGTAAACAGAATCAATTAAACCAAGCAAACTAGAAAAAAAGCTGCCTGACGTTGACCATTCACGATGACGTTCAGCTTTGTTGAATTGATAGGTTTAGATTACCGTATTATACGCTCTTTTGCGGGGCAGATGGGGTAATGACGCCGTCAGGTCCTGTCATCAGCATTCCTGGTCAGCTTGACTCGAGTTATTCTTAGTAGAATTCGCCACTGACGCTGATCTCACCACCATGAAACGCCAACCCGGTCATGGATCGAAGGCTAGCCAAGCAGACAGTGTTGGGTGACAGGCTGACAGCGCGATAGACCTTCTAGACTCCGTTCGCTCTGCATGGATTCATACATCGATCTACACAATTTAGGGCAACAAGCCTGCCCAGCATACATGCATACACAGCCGGTAGTGCTGATTTGCCCAAGCCGCCATCACGACTGGATAACGAGGCGTACTAAAAAGATAGTCCGGATGCATATCAGGAATTAAATTCGGCCAAGTGGCTCCAGACAGCCACGATCAGAACCTTGTGTCGGGTCTACACAAATCAGGGCGCCCCCAGACGCCAGCGCGGACGATGGCGCCGTCCAGCCCTCCTGCAAGGGGAGGCTGCTTCGGTCGTGCCATGTGTTCTCGCCGATACACTTCCCCGTGTCGCTGCAGCTTATTTTGGTTCGGGTCTGGTAGTGCTCTATGCACGCGGCGGTCCATTCGCCAAAACACTGAGTCTCGGCCCCCGGAAGCCTTTGCGAGGCGGTCGATCTCTCTGTGTATTTAAAGACACGTCTGCTGGTCGGCCGGGTCGAGCCCCTGCCATTCTGCGTTCAGTGCAAGGTATGAATAATGGGTGTGCCGACCGATGCGCCCGCTACCATGGACTCCGGCCCACGGGCGATTGGGGACGGACAACACATCACCTGCATGGGTCCACCACCCTTTCCGTCGGAGACATCTATCAGATTTAGTTTACCTATTTCTGATCCACGATCTCCAGATTCACCAGGTCGTCTTCCAAGCTCAAAATCCCCTTGGCCCAATTCTGGTTATTGGCTGGCTCAAAGGCAACAAATCGCCTTTCCGGGTTTTTATTGGTCTGGGAAGCATATCCTCTCGGTTGTCCGGCCGTTCTAGAATGCGGTGCGTCGTAGGGAGGGCCGCGTCCGCTCTTTGCTGACATGCGCCAGAATCTCTCGCAACCCTGGGCCATCGCGTCGGACGACTGCCACCCGGTCAGGCGCGACACGTCCCGCAGCTTGGTAGCCACCCAGATGCGCTGGGTGATATCGGTGAATTGCACGGCGGCGAAGAAGATCGGCACCGTCACCTCGATCAGGCACGATCCAAGGGTGGGACTCAGGTTTCCAGTTTCCAGGTGAAAGGACTGCGGGTAGTAAATACCCCCGGCAATCTTCCCGATGGCCTGGGACAAATCGGCGGTGGTAGGTGCCGCGACGCCGGCAGCCATCATCATGGCAGGTGGCATGCACGGGTGTAGTCGATAAAGAAGAATGCGTCCCGTGTAGTAATAACCCCAGAGCACGGCGATCGTGTTGGTACGGTATTGCAGCGCGGGTCCGAATGGCGTCGATATAGGCGGCGCACTATCCGGCGGGAGGGGCGAGAAATCCGGACCAAGGGCTTGTCCAAACGTGTCAAGGGCAGCCCGAATTTCCTCCCATTCATGTTCAGCCTCACTATATGAAAGTTCACTGTCTTCGTGGTCCTGGTTGCCCGAACTGTCCCCAGGAGCCGACTCTGCAAATGAGGGGGGCAGTCGTTTTGGCAGACTGGAGGGAGCCATGCCATACATGGGAGGGACTTCCTTGGATCGACCGGAAGATGGGTCTTTTGATTGCAGTGAACCTGGCGCGTGCCTTGGAACAGACCCCGAATGTGGGTGTCCGGAATTCAGGCCAGATTGACCTCTTCCATGAGACGCGCCTGGAGCTGTGCCGGGGCCCGCAAACCGTGTCACGAAGTTGAAGAATCCGGCATCTGGTCTCCATTCAGACCCCGTAGATTTTACTGCGTTCAGTTTTCTTTTCCGGTCCCGGTAACCAAAATCAGCCAACCGCGCTAAAAGCAACCAGATATGGTCGGCGGAACCATATATGGCGTCGAGCCGACCGAGGCCCGCACGCGGGGGACACTGGCCCCATAACGAATATGACATACTATAAGACGGTAAGCTTATGATACGTGTCTAGTCCCGAAAGGGAGAGGGATGGCAACTGACAATAGCCTACCGCCACTGATGATGCTCTGAAATGCATCCTGCTTGCAATACCACCAGTACAGATCGCACTGGATCCTGAGGGTCTCAATGTCTTTCCGCGTGAAAGATTGCTGACGAGGCTTGTTCGAGTCATTGTCAACTTGCCCGAAGTCATCGTAATTGATTGCTCGACCTAAGAGTAACCCGACAATGTCATCATCAACGCTCATCTCTGTTTCGGCGAACGGGTCATCTTCCCAGGCTCCCCGCTTGAAAGGGTACGTGTGGCTGTAGAGTGGGGCGGATTTCCTTTGCATCAGTACTCGGCGTCGATGCGCACGGAGGTCGCGCGTGATTCTGGCAAGGTCGATTTCGCGTATCAAATGGGCCGAGCCAGCGACGTGACTATTCCACTTGTAGTGGTCCGCGGACATGACCTCGTAATATGCTAGTAGCAGGGTAGCTGCTAGAGTGCCAATCTGTTTGCGTCGCGTGGGGAGTCCCACGGCGACGCCAACCCGCTTGAGTGCGTAGTGGTAATGCTTAAGCGAAACCGCTGGCGACTCTTGTTGAAGGAACGATATATGAAGACTGCTAAGAGCCAGGATCGCTTGCAGCAATGCCTGATCCTCCAATGCCTTGAGAGGTAGGGTGTATGTCCATAAACCCTGTTGTGCTGCCGGAACTCGGGCTCCCAGCATGGTCGATGGATCTACCGGGCGTCGCTCGTAGATAGAAAGAGATGGACCGGTTGAGTGGATGAAATGGAGGAAGATTCGGGCGGTTTGGGGGTTGTTCAATGGAGAAGAGCCGAGGGAGGGCTGATAGGAGGCGAGGATGTTAGGCTCGTTCAAGTAGGTGGTAAAAGAGCGCAGCCGCCATTCATCTTGATTCGCCGAGGCGACGATAAGGCTCATGTGGTTAAAACTCTGGGCTGACGCCTGGTCTTCTGGCTCCTCGTCTGTCCCAGCGTCGTAGCAATCGTCATCTTCGTCGTCCGCATGTATCAACTGAGTTGGCGACCCGGATAAGACTAAGTGCCTTGAGAAGTGCGATCCTTGCTGTTCTTGTGACATTGGAGGCCCCACTCTCGGTGGCCAATTCTCATTTGTATACTAGGTTTTCATGATCAGTGTTAAGTAAGAACTATTACTTGTGGAAGGGAAGTACCTGAGACACATTTGCGGAAGCAGGATGCGACACGAAGTTTTTCTCAGCTGTTTGTAGTGAAGGTAGCTCGTTGTGTGGGGCATCCCAGTAGGATAGGCCTTGGTTGGTTGACGCGGAGACTTGGTGGGCACTACCAGCACTACTGACAAACTCTGGCCCCGGATTATTATGCGTGTAACGGCCGCTTGGATCATCCAAGCAATCTTGTGGATGCGTATAAGGCGGAAAGGTTGGTGTCACTGGGGTATCAGACGCGGAAAGTTGACCTGTATGCCGAGGTACAGGGTAAGGGATCGGCATAGAGCCCGCTTCGTGGATTGCCTCATTCGGCAAGTAAACATCGGTCGACGGAGGCTGATATGAAGCAGACACCATGGGCATTGGAGCCAAAATAGGCTGAGAACCAGAAGACCTCTGCTGAGCGAATGCAGGTCCGCCATATCCCACAGAAGACGGTCCCAGCGGAACGGATTGAGTCTGCACGTCAAAAAGGTGCTGAGAACCCGACGATTCCGGAGGTCCCAGAGGGTGTTTAAACACCAGGCGCTGGGCATAGCCTTTACACTCGCGCTTCGATTTGATGCAATTACTGCATACGGGCTTCTCTTCGCCGCATTTGATGCGACGTTGTCGACAGGCTACCAGCAAAGGCCCGGTCAGTATTAACATCGTCTCTCGCTGGGCTTCCGGGCTTACTCAAGCACCCAGTTTTGGTCCGTTTTTTGGTAGCTCTTTGCGTCTGGGTATTTGGTACTGTCTCTGGTGCAAGCTGTTGATCACCGTCCGCCAGGCTGTACTCCAGGTCCATGTGAACCTCCTCCGTTGGGCTGATATTCCCCATGACGAGCGACAGAAGACAGGGAACGACTGGGTTCCATAATCAGGGAATCGGGCAGCTAGAAGATCAAATACCGCAAGCACAAGCCGCGGTGGTATCAAAAGCCGCCTGGATAAGATTGAGTGAGATGAGGTGAGATGGGGACGGTGAAAGAGGGAGTGTGGGGAGGTCGAATCAGACAGAGCTGTCTCTGCGAACTCCGGGGACTCGGGAGCGCTAGGGCTTCACCCAGCGGTGGATTGCCCGGGGGAACAGGTTTTAGTTCCCGCGACAGAGCTAATCATGGCGTCCGCGGTGGTGAAACCGTGTAGTTGGATAGGTTTAACATAGTTTAGAGTTTGACACATCTCATCCTGTACATAATTGACTCCACTGATAATTGTATCGCGACCAGCATAGAGGTCGGCCACCTCGCTGGATCCTGCACCATTGACCAGGATTATCGCACGGCGGATGATATCCTTCGAGGTCGAGGTTCGTCGACATGGGTTAGAGATCCTAGTCCCCTCTTGTGGCGTAATTCTCGGGTCAATCAAAAACGATAAAAATAACAATCAAGAAGAGAACTAAGGGAAGAAAGGAAAAAGAAACGACGAAATAGTTCCGAACCAGCCGTGCATAATCAGGGACATGACCGATCATTATCTCCAAACCACCGCATACATAATACATACACAAGTCCACGCTAACCGCATTAGGAAGATGAACTAGATGGTCCGTGCACCTGAGTAACGCTTGACCGCCTGGATAGACCGGCAGAACAGAAAGGGGAGGTCTATAAGATACCGCCTTTTACTGCCAGAAATTTTTCCGATGCGCCGCTGCTGCTAAGAAAATCCTCTCGCGTCCGGTGCGGTTGTCCAATATTAAGGGTGGAATATTCTTTGTTTTTGGAGAATAATTTGCTTTCAGAGACTAAGTAATCATGTTTGCCGTCCCAGGATGGTCGGTTTCCAAGACTGCTCTCAAGCAGCAGAGCGAGCAGCAGACACAACAGAACAAGGCCGAGCAGGACGATGCTCCTCCGAAGCCCAACAAGCGAAAGCGAGATGATGACAAGGTCACCAGGAAAAATGTGGATGAGATGTTCAAACGACACATTGAAGGACAGGTAGTGCCGCCGTGGAAAAGGAAGCAGGCTGAAAGGGCTGAAAACAAGTCGAAACCCCAGCAGAAGCAGCAGGGCGAGCAACCCCAGAAAGCATCGAAGGAGCAGGAGAAAATTGGAGCAGACAAGGGACCGGCCCAGGAAGCTTCTCAGCAGAGTGTAGGGGGCATTGCGGAGGGCGGCGAGGAAAAGGTTTCGAATAAGAAGCAGAAGAGGAACAGAAAGAACAAAGAGGGCAAGCAGGATGCCACCTCCACCGCGTCTCCAGCGACTGCTGCGGCCCCTGCGGCACCACCGAAGACAGAGGCTATCCTCACGCCTCTGCAGCAGGCCATGCGACAGAAGTTGATCTCCTCCCGGTTCCGCCATCTGAACGAGACCCTCTACACGACTCCGTCCGCCAAGGCGCTCGAGCTGTTCAATGCGAACCCCGAGCTCTTCGACGAGTACCACGCCGGATTCTCACGGCAGGTAAAGGAGTCCTGGCCCTCGAACCCGGTGGACGGTTACATTGCCGCTATCCGCAGCAGAGCCAAGATCTCGCCCGCCCCGAGGAAGGGAAATAAGCCGGATAAGGGCCAGGCGCTGCCCAGACGCCCCGGTGGGGCTTGCACGATTGCCGATCTGGGGTGTGGCGATGCGCAACTCGCGCGAGCTCTGATCCCAGCCGCGAAGAAGCTGAACCTGAAGCTTCTCAGCTACGATCTGCACGCCCCTGAAGGCTCGCCCATCACGAAAGCGGATGCCTCCAACCTGCCGCTGGAAGACGGCTCCGTCGACGTGGCGATCTTCTGTCTCAGTCTGATGGGCACCAACTGGGTGTCCTTCGTCGAGGAGGCATGGCGCGTTCTGCGGGGCGACGGCAAGGGAGAGTGCTGGGTGAGTGAAGTCAAAAGCCGATTCGGCAAGGTGACGCGCAAGAAGGCGCAGATTGGCGCGCGGAAGCCGCTCAGCAAGGCCGAGAAGAAGAAGCTCAAAAAGAAGGATGCGGACGATGCCGACTCCGATGTGGAGGACGACGCCATTTACGCTGAGAATGGTCGCCCCGCCAACGACGATGACGAGACGGATGTGTCGGCTTTCGTGGAGGTGTTCCGCACCCGGGGCTTCGTTCTCAAGCCGGAGTCGCTGGACAAGTCGAACAAGATGTTCGTGAAGATGGTCTTTGTTAAACACCATAGTGCGACGCCTTCTAAAGGCAAGCACGTCTCAGCGGCAGCCCCGCGTCCGGGGAAGAAGAGATTCATTGAGAAGTCTGCGGATGGAGACAAGGGGATGACTGCGGAGGAAGAGGCCCAGGTTCTCAAGCCCTGTGTTTATAAGAATCGGTAGTCGTGGCCGTCCTGTGCGGGAATTATGTATATAGTATCCTCACTGTAACTTAGTTACCGGGTCTTTGGGTTTAGAGGATTGCTAGGGCAACTAAACAGGCAGAAGGGGCAAAAAGCATATCATTATAGACAGTCGTCCTTTTTCGTTCGATTCAAAGCATGCCGTCCCATATAGGACCACTACGTACTCGTAATATAGCGTATTGGCCCATCCACAAACTCGTGATTCATTCCTCGCTCATTGATTCCCGCCCAATTGCGCGACAGCCTGGCCCATCTCCTCGTCGTTGTAGATCCGGAATCCCTTCTCCTTGGTCACGCTAGCCAGCTGGACGTTCTTCGAGTCCAGTTTCTCCTCCATGACCTGCTTTAGCGTCTTCAGAACCAGCGTCTCCGCCTCAGGCAGCGTCAAAGAGCGGTGGTATTCGTTTTGCAGCTCCGCTTGCGCACCCTCGCTTCCGGACCCAATGGCCTTGGCGTCATATCGGTAGAACGTACCCGAAGGCTCGGCGTGGAATCTACAAGTAACAGCCAACATTAGCACGAATATCCTTCCCTGGACCACTTGAGTCACACGGGTCATTGCCAGAGACAACATACAGTTGGGGGCCATCCTCATCGTAACCGGCGACTAGCAAAGCAACACCGAAGGGCCGACTCATCACGCTCTCTTCGTCATCGCCGGTCTCTCCGAATCGCAGGGCAAGATCACAGATAGCCTGAGTGCAGCTCTCCACCCTCAGCGGCTCAGCATAGTGGAAGGCGTGGTTCTGGCATTCGACACGGGCATGTTCAACGAGGTTCCGGGCATCTGCCTGCAGACCGGACATGGCACAGCCGATATGCTGATCGATTTCGACAATCTTCTCAACGGAGGACGCCTCGAGGAGGGTCGACGTGACACGCTTCTCCACACCCAAGATGACACCTTCGGAGGTCGCTACCTGTCATGGAGTTAGAAGGCGGTCCAAGATCCAACGCCATGTCCTAAAGTGTATATAATTCTGTGCACAAAAACGGGACCCTTGCAGAGGCCGTTATTTCAGGAAGGGTTTGGCGAGATGGGTCACATACACCAATCGCTGTGGAGCCCAGTTTGATCGCTTCGAGAGAGTATTCCACCTGGAATAACCGGCCTTCCGGGGAGAAGGTGCTGTGTGAGGTCCGTTGTTAGACGCTGTCGATATTGAAAATGTCTATTCGAGAAGAACGGGGCATATAGCATACTTGATTCCACGGTCTGTTTAAGAAGCTGTTAGATCGGCCGCATAGCGGAGGGGAGAACAGAAGATAGCATACCATATTCCGATCGCGCGATAAACATCTTGAATTATGTAGCGAGTATAAGTGTAGTCTAAAATCGAAAGAGAGATCGAAACAAATTGAAGCGAGAGACCGCGGAGATGGAGGGGACAAGGTGAGAGGGGGAGGGATGCGGTGATGGAAGCAGCTCTTTGGGGTGTTGGAGGTGAAGCTCGGGCGAAGCTCAGCGGGCTACGCAAGTCCACTGCCTGACTGCTGCCTCAGGCTGCACTAAATCAGGCACCCGCATCAGGCATCACTCGCGCTGCCTTACTTTACCGTAAACCTTGTCAGGCGTAACACCAAAGGTCCCTTCTTCGCGATTGCTACCAAACACTCGGGGTCATTGATTTGCCATTGTTGCTACTCTCCATTTGTTTCATCCCACAATCAGTTCTGCATGATTGACGCCCGATTTTCCATCTCGTGGGACAATGTCCGTCAATGACCGTCGTGCCAGTTACATGAATGCTCCGCGGCCCCGCGTTGCGTCAAATCGCGTCCCCGACTCTGACAGGTCTGGTTTGCGCACCGGCGCGTCCCCATTACAATCGGAAAATATGGATCACCGCAGAAGCATGTCGGGACAGAAGAGCAAGGTTCCACGAGACCAACCAGTTATTTCGAACGAAAAGCGTACAGAGCGAATGATGGTGCAAACGAAAGAGAAGGCCCAGGTGAGGTCAAGGAACCCCGTCAAAGAATCCTCCAGTGCAGGAAACAGAGGAGAGTGGGAGAGGTCGCGCTCAAAGAGAGCAAGTCATCATGACGGATCTAGTCCGAATGTCAAGAAGAAGGAGAAAGAACCCGCGGAGAGTAAGTGATATGGAACGAAGAGACCCCCATCTACGCTACGGTACATGCTGACGACCACACTTTGTTTTACAGCTCCATGGAACCCCCAAGCCTCTTTACTACCTCGCTCGACTGCGCCGCTAGCTAGTCGCGTCTCCGTCCCGCCCTTGGCTTCGGCGCTGCCCCAGACACTGCATCCGCCATCGATTCGAGAGCTCTCTGCCGACGCGCAAGAGAGGCTTTTGCTCGAGGACCTACTATTCGTTTTCATGGGGTTTGAGGGCCAGTACATTCATTACCACAGCTCATATGATCCATCCGCGGAGAAGGATCGTCTCACGGGACCGGTATATCAGCTTCCCTCGGGACTTGACCCGACTTTAAGGGACCTTACGCTCTCGATGCTCAAAATGGCCACCCACTACAGTGCCATGGAGTCATTCGTGGAAGTCCAGAGCCGCGCAGAGTTTGGCGCCGTCAGTCATGCTTTGTGCGCCGCCATCAGAAAGCTACTCAAAGACTACCTGATCCTCATCGCTCAGCTAGAAAGTCAGCTTGTCAACAACCCAAGTTTCACGCTACATATCCTCCATTTACATACCATGCCAACCAGTCAGTGTCTGTCGCAGCTATATGCGCTGGGGCAAGAATTACTCCGGCGAAATGGCCTATTGGACCAGGACATCGATGACACGATCGACGATTTCGACGATGTGGACAATATCATTGAACAACTCAAGGAGGGCGGGGAACTGGTTCCTGGTGGTATGTCTAGCAAGAGAATCTGCAAGGGAGGAAACGTGCTCCGGCTTCTGACGGAGCGACTGGCAACCTTTTCGGGCGACCCGACCACCAAAGCTCTCCTGGAAACCCTGCTACGGGAAGCCAGCCGGCCGTACATGACGATGCTTAACGAGTGGCTGCACCACGGAGGAATCAAGGATCCCCACGCCGAGTTTCTCGTCAAAGAGCAGAAATGGATCAAGCGAGAGAAGCTCGAGGAAGACTACACGGACGAGTACTGGGAGAAGCGATACACCATCCGCGAGAACGAAGTTCCGCCACAGCTCGACAGCGTGCGAGACCGTGTTCTTCTAGCCGGAAAGTATCTCAACGTGGTGCGAGAATGCGGCGGTGTCGACGTGAGCAAAGCGGTCAAAGACGTGCCCAAGAGTTTTGATGATCCTCGATTCTTGGACAACGTCAACGCTGCCTACACCTACGCCAACGCGTCACTTTTGAACCTGCTTTTGACCAAGAACTCCCTCACGACGCGCTTCCGTTCTTTGAAACATTACTTCTTCCTGGACCGTTCCGATTTCTTCTCATACTTCATTGAGCTGGGAACATCGGAGCTCCGCAAGCCGGCAAAGAGCGTAAACGAAAGCAAGCTCCAGTCGCTCCTTGATCTCGTTCTCCGCCAGCCCGGCAGCATCGCCGCACAAGATCCATTCAAGGAGGATGTCAAGGTGCGGATGAATAAGGTCGGACTCACCAAGTGGCTGATGCAGGTGGTCAGCGTGTCGGGGATCGACCAGGACAACCCCGATGCGGCGATCGAACGGTACCAGGCTCCCCCGACGAGCGGAGAAGATGACAAGGACATCACTGGGTTTGACGCACTTGAGCTCGATTACTCGGTTCCCTTCCCTCTGTCTTTGGTCATTAGCCGAAAGACGGTTCTCCGATATCAGCTGATTTTCCGACACCTTCTGTCGCTTCGACATTTAGAGGGCCTCCTGCTTACTTCCTGGCTGGACCAGAACAAAGTCATGGCTTGGCGGCATAGGTCTTCCGACCGGCGGCTAGAGATGTGGAAAAAGCGGGCGTGGAGCCTCCGCTCGAAGATGCTTGTGTTTGTGCAGCAGCTCCTCTACTTCTACACGGCGGAGGTTGTCGAGCCCAACTGGCAGAACCTGATGGATCGCGTCAACGGGACGGATGCGGATGGTTCTGAAGTAACTGTCAATGGGACCAAGCAAGTTAACCGAACTGTGGATGAGCTGATGCAGGACCACGTGGATTTCCTGGATACCTGTCTCAAGGAGTGCATGTTGACTCAAGCCAAGTTACTCAAGGTTGGTTAAAGCTCCTTTGCGCCATTCGGTCGTCTTGTGCTAACGGGTTCGTAGATTCATTCCAAATTGATGACGTGCTGTACGATGTTCGCCTCCTGGACTGCATCATCACTTGCCAGGGCCCTAGCTTCAGCAGACCCCGACTTGACAGGCAATAAACAAACCAACCCTGACGGGAGAAGCTATGACCCGACACGGATCGGCAAGCTAGAAGACACGCTGAAAAGATACGAAGACCATTTCAACCGACATTTGCGTATCTTGATGGACAGGTAGGCATTGCCCTGATCTCAGCCCCGCTAGCATTGTTTGATAATCGCTTACTTACATTCAAACCACAGTCTGAACTACTTTGCGGCCACGGAAAGCGTTGTTCTTCTCAAGCTGGCGCACGCCTTGAGTTCCATCAGCAAAGAGGACTGATGCAGTTCTGCTCATTTCGGGCTAAGATAATTTGTTGTAACACCAAGAGGTATCAAGACCTATCTAGCTCACCGCCTCTGACACGAGTCAAATAGTCGCCTCGCAAGTGAGGTTCTACGCTTGTCAACAGCCGCACCGATAACGCTCGGTCTCTAAAGAAGGCAGCGGTTCGTCGGCAATGGTGCAAATCAATGAACGAGTGGCGTGTTCAGTATTGATCGCTAATAGTTGGCAACTAACCTAAACCCTGCTTCGAGCCAGGGTGGGAAAGGCTTCAGGAGGGACCCGACACAGCATCCGACCCAACATGTTCGCCCAAACAAAAGCTTATCTGAGAAAGTGGTGGCTTAGCAGTTCGATCCAAACATTGCTCTGACGCAGCCGATGGACCGATTCAGTATCGTCCTTATCAGCAATCACCATGATCAGCGTCAGGAACGATGAACCATAATGGCTATGGAAATGTGTGGCGCATCAATATCTACAACAACCCGATGTACCGTATCTCCTCTGGTAATATCTCATGAGGCTGCGCTTGGAGGTTCTCTACAGTATAACGCAACGTTATACTGGATCTTACACTGAAGACGGCCTGGCTGCAAGGATCTCCCGTGATGACAATGGAACATGTACTTTGAGCCGTCCAGCTTACTCTGGGCCAACCGGGATTATTTAGCCCTTACTTAGCTACCAGTAGTATCTATTACATCTATCTCACCTACCTAAACCATGTCATCCAATTCATAGCCTCTCCCTTTCTCTCCCCTCACCACGCCCTCACCCCCAAAAACCACCACCCAACAACAACAACAACAACAACAACAATAGCACAAAAACCGACCCCATCATCACCAACCATGCCCTCCCCCTCAATAACAGACCACCTCCCCCCCTCCTCAAAACCATCCTCCCAACAACCAACACCACCTCCCACACCCATCTCGCCCTCACCGCAACAGCAGCAACAGCCATAACAGCCATCACCGCCCTCCTCCTCCCCCGAATCCACAACGACTACCTTACCTACCTCTCCTACGGCCCCGGCGGAACCCCCCACAATGTCCTCGGTTGGCTCATAGCGACCCTCGCCCGGCCCTTCGGGAGCGAAATGCTCTCCACGGAGCCTTACGATCGACGGATCCTCGCCGACGGGGAAACGAAAAGCTACCTCGCAGGCAAAGATTTGATCAGACGGCAGGAGAGGCCTGCGATGGGGTGGCATGTTGTGCCGCAGCGGCAGTTGAGTGATTTTGCTTCGGGGAATATCCGTGAGGTGCATACATCATTACTCATTACTATACCCCTTGATGGCCGGCAAGCAATTGGCAGATTAAGAAAGTGGTGGTGCGAACACATACTTGCACGGACCAAACACCCTTCCTCCCAACCATAAAAAAAAAGTAAAACAAAACAAAAGAAGATAAACTAAGGACAGCTACTAAAAGAAACTAATCAACGGATTCACCGCGCTGGCCGCTCAAAACCCCCACCTAACCAAACTAGCCCCCTCCAACCTCGAAGCCCACGCCGACGGCCTCTTCGTCGCGGACGGAGTAGTACTACCAAGCGCAAGAAAACAGCTCCTAAAGGGCGAGATCGCGCATATACACCGCATGAAGGACGCTTCCGTGCATGTTTTGCTGGCGCCTGCTGATTGTATGTCCTGCGTGGCCCCCCGCTTTCTGTTTGTTTGTACTGCGCATTCTGGGGCGCTGACTGTTTGTCTACCTAGGTAAGAAGGTTTTTGAGGCTGGTTGGGGCCAGCGTCATCCGCTTTCCGGTGTTGGTTTACCTCAGGCTTTGGGGGGAGGAGTGTTTGTTCTCCCCGCTGAGTACGTCTTTGTGTATGCACCACGGACGGGGGAGGGATTGGTGCTTGTCATGGATATCGTCAGGGCTGGTGTGGCGTATATGACGAACTCGAATGAAGTCCACTAAACCTGTAGAGGGTAATGAATGAACAGGGGCAAGGAGGGAAAGGGGGGTGGGGAATCCCTCCTACGGAGCACTACGGGTTCGATAGCCCGCATGTCTATCCGCAGAGGCCCGTAATGCGATGGTTTTGACATGCTTTAAACCCCACTGTGTACACTATTATGACGTCTTAGGACCCATCTTCTCTCTACCGATGAATCTTTTCGGTATATCGAGTTCCAATGAACCTGGTAATACACGGCGTAATGGAAAGCTAAGCAGCAAAGTGCATATCCACATCATGGAGCTTTCCTAGGAGATTCATCATGTCCTCCAACCATGCCACAATAGCCAAAGTGTTGGTCAAATGGCCTGCAGATATCCCCCCAGGAGAACATGCGTCTATAACATTTAGTTCGGGAACCATGCACACTAGCGGACCTAGCCGGCATAATCTCCGGTTTGCACTGCACCCAGGCTTCCCGAAGTGAACCATGGCCCTGGGTTCGCGGTCAACCGCTTTGCGTCCTTCTACCAGTCCTTAATGCAAAACCCGACAACCATGACACGAACAACGGGGGCCTGTTAGGTCATTCTGGCCTGCATGAGCTCCTAGATCTGCACGTCAAGACAGTGGAGAAAATAGTAGGAAGGGTTTGCTCCTTTCCGTCTTTTTCGTTGGGAATGACTCTTGCAGATCGAACAAGGTCGAGGCCTCCTCGTATTAATAAAGCGTCTCCAGTCCGCGGAGATGATCACTCCAGCTTCTACCCTTCTGAGGTTAATATATGATTGCCTGTTATTCTTCCATGCACTCAATCCTTTGCACGTTCACTGACCAGTGACAAGAACGATCCGTCGAGTCTAAAATGCCACGAGGGATATTTAGTCCTCAACTGTTGTAGTGGGTCTCGTAACAGTGAGTCCAAATTTGTTCAGGCCCCCGGGACTGTCACTTGCGATCGTGATGGAGCCAAATGTCCAAGAAAGCAGAAAATATTATTGGCTTACCCCCACGGCAAGTTCCATGCCAAACCCCTACTATTCTTCATCCGGCTGCGACCCCTCTATGGGCCTTTCTTAGTGTCATTTGTTTCAGGTCCCTTAAGCAATAGGCATGGGTCAAAGAAGCGGTGAGGGCGAATGATATGCGAGATGCCATGAATGGAAGAGAATATGATTGATTTTCCATTTCATCTGAGAGAGAGGGGAAGTTTCTGCATGTCCAAACCAGTCAATCAGATTGGCTAGAGAAGATCGATATACCATTTGACCAGTTGATCTCCTGTCGCCTACCTTCGCTGTCAGTCGTTAAGCAAACTCAGATCAAACTATTCAATTGTTTGTAGTCTCCCGTATCCTGGAATCTCCTTCCAATCGGAATAGATGTGCAGTAATGACCAGGGGCTCCATTCAATTAGAGGTCATGAGGGGTCGGATCTGATAGACATTCGCTGCAATGTCAAACGGTCATGGCGACAAGACTGACACTAAGTTTTGTCAATTCCTTCTTTAGTCTTTGACTTCTGCCGTGATGTGAATCTTGATTTTGGTGCTGTCGTATATTATACCTCTTATTATCACCAGCTTCGTTTTATAATTTTAAAGTGTATTTCGCTGTATGTTATTACATCGCCGTGTCTTATGTACCAATGAGCACGGTCATGTCTTAGACCGCTTTGCATGGCCTTGCCTTCCTCAAAGGCTCGGCTACTTCGGTTTGCTAGTCTGGCTGTAAACAATCGGGATTGCAAAACCTGGGTTCTAGCAACCTGTGAGCGCGGTAAAACGACGGAAAGTGATAGTAGGATCTTAGATCGTCATCTTAATGTTTTAATAAGTCCGTTTGCTGCGCTTACGACACAAGCAGAGAAGCCTGGGACTTTGTTTGACGAGGCGCTGCCATTGGAACCCACCACCGGCCGAAAGCCAGAGCCCGAGCACAAGGTACCCTCTAGGCTACCCATATGCTTAGATTCGTCGGCATCGGTGGCAGCCCCTCCGGGAGTACCATTGACCCCTCATCGGTGCACATTTGGTAGGCTGTGGGGGTGGAGTCAAGGGACAAATGCGTATTCTGATTAGAAGATGAGGACGACATTGGCCCATCGGAAACGGGCATGACTGATGCGCTGCGATTGTTGCTACCCTATTTTGTGTTTCTTGGGGGGGTGTTTCAGAGCCTCTGCCAATGGTTTGTTCGGTTCTTCCAAAATCAAGACAGAGACGCCTGGTACTGGACTGGGCGGAATTTCCTACCATCCGCGAAATTTAGTACGCATATTGAATCCCGCGCAGTACTCCTGAGGCCATGAGTACCAATATACTCACGTCTTTCGCCCATATTTGCCGGTACTTGATCGCCAGCAATTTCTGCCTGCTGTATTGATTGATTTTCTTGTTAGAGATTTACCGGGCCACTTATTCCCCACCATTAGTCCACACAATAGACACAGAGGCAAACTTCGAATCTCGCCGACCCTCAACCCATGAATCAGAGAATCCAAAGGCAGAGAGAGCAAGACAAGTCTGAATGAGACACGATGACGTACTTGACCAGCACACACCCTAACAGATGATAAGGACGAGAGCTGACTGTGTCGTATCATTAAGGAGCCCCGATTCACAAACAGAAGCACTGGACGAGAGATTCCTCGAGATCATCAGCATCAATGGTCGCGATTACCAAAAATATGCGGTTGATCGTCAAATATCCTTCGAACCGGTCGACGACGTAAGAGTGAATAGTCGCCGAATGCTGCACCACGTTGACAAGGGTTTATTACCAGGACGAAGCGGAGCGCCTCGAACTCCAGCACCGAGTGTTCCACAAGGTTTTCGATAACCGGTTGATATTCCCACCTATCCCCCAACTTCGACGGGTGCTCGACTGCGGATACGGTTCTGGGTCCTGGGCCATCGAGATTGCAGACCAACATCCAGGGTGCAAGGTAACAACGCTGGCGGGGGTCGTATACAGAAAGATAGGGCTGATCATCGGGGATCTTCGAAGGTTTTCGGTATTGATATATGTCCCCACATGAGCCCTGACGATGTCCCTCAAAATGTGAAGCTAGAGGTGAGTTTGGTGTGTTCCTGTCCAACTGCCCCTTTCAGACAACACCTACATCTTGAGGTCTTTAGGCTTGTTTTCCCCCAGCGCCGTGCCATGCAGGCAGATGTTAGTTTGTGGATGCAAATTAAATTTCAAGCAGTGACTGATACATCATTGGACAGGTGGACGATCTCAACCGACCATTTACCTTCCCGACAAAGTATTTTGACCTTGTCCATTCGAGGCTCGTTGCGACAGGTGTTCACCGAGAGCGATGGCCGTCATATATCCGTGATATCAAAAGGTCCGGCAATCGTGGCTATGCCATTCCATACTACCTAACCCCCTTTGTATTTCCCACTAATCTCCAGTGACAGAGTCCTGAACCCCGGGGGTTGGGTACAACTCGTCGAAATATATTTCAACGTCCAATCTGATAACGGTTCGATCACGGAGAAGCATGCACTGAGAGAATGGAGCACGCGATATATGGGTTCCTTTGAGACATCGAAAGACCTGCGTGTGGGCACGCGGTTAAGGAACCTCCTGCTGGCGGAAGGCCTGACGGAAGTCGATGCCAGAATGATTCCTCTTCCACTTTCCGCATGGTCCACTGGTGAGTTGCCTATCTTTGCGGGACATAGGATTTCCCCTGATGTATCACAGATCCCAGAATGCGGGAAATAGGCGCTGCCAATAGCGAAAATACCCGAAGACTACTCCACTCATTGGCTCTCTATCCTTTGACTCAACGTCGGCGGGTGCCGTTGGATCAGTATCAGGCGTTGATAGCAAGAGCACAAGAAGAGGCAAGAACTCCCAGTCTGAAAGCATATTTCCCACTGTAGGTTGAGCCCCTTGCATGTATCCATTGCCTTAATCTAACAATGAAGGTATGTGTGTATTGGACGAAAGCCACTATAGCCGCTTCAGGAAGCCACATCTCGCCTCTCCCGTGTTTCTCGAGGAGGGAAAAACTGAAAGGGTAAAGCCGGGGGGTACTCGACCTACTTTACTAGCGGTTTCACTAGAAAATGGCGGTTGTTCTTGTTGTTCTTGTTGTTCTGGGTTCTGACGCGCTGTCGCATCGAATGTGAGCTTGGGAATCAGCTAAGTGAGAGACGATTGATCAGAATACGTCCTGCGTTGCTCATATTCTGGGGTCTTGTGTTTATCAAACCTTATTTGATTCGGTGTCATAACCGTTAATCCAAGCCGGTAGCATCTGATCATTTTCAACTTGAAGTTCACTTCTCATTTTCATCTTCTTTTTCTCCTTCAAGTATCCGCATTCCGCCACCCAGTAGGAGAAATGGTTTGTTCAGGATTCCGCGTTTTCGTCCCGTCTTTGCAGTTCAGAGCGTCAAGCATCGCTTCCCACTTGGGGTTGTTAGACCTGGGCAATTTCGTTTCATCATTCGACTGAGGGTGTGAAATATGACGACCACTTTGATGGGGTGTGTGCAGAGTCTGAGAAAGAAACGGTATGGGGTCTGATCCCCTCACGGCCATTGCTTGCCGGAAACAAGGGAGAGAGTATAGGACGACGACGCGGGGATCTATGCTCAGCGACCACAACCTGAGAGGGATTCATACTCAGGTGGGAGTACAGGTTCTGCACATGAGGTTCTGGTTCGCTGGTTATTGGAAGAAGACTCGAGACGCAAACTTCTCTTAACTGATCCGCGGGAGTGACCTTAATTTGTCGCTTTTTTGTCACTTCAATCGGGACAAAGAGCGAGAAAGACGACCACAACAGAAGGAATGGAGAGAGGGGAAAGGGAGAAATGAAGGAGAGAGAAAGACAGGGAAGAAAGGATGACGGTCTCGGGAACGGACCCAGACTGTCGGGTCGCTCTCTGTCTCTCTTACGTTAGCTCTGGGGGAATCGCCGTTTCCCTCTCTATCTCTACCGACAGAACAACGTCAAAACCTCTTGGATTCGAAAAGGCAGGAGCCTCTGTCTACTATTTTTCCATTTGTGGATGTTACTCGTAAAGAACTTGGGGTTACCTGCCTCCCCATGGGCTTGGCTACGAGATATCAAAGCTCATTATCAAATTCTATTTCTAGGTACATCTACTGACCGAACTACAGGAGGAGCTGTCCCAAACGGATCAAGTTCAACTTCATCTGGTCTTGTTCAGTAATAGGCCAGGCTATATATGGGGTCGATTGTCCCAAACTCCTTGACCATCCACACCTCAATCGGTTACGGCCCAATAATTTACAGTGGGTCTCGACTGGAGGCTATAGATTAAACCCCGGCGTCATCGCCCGGGTTTACTCCAGGCCAGGCGAAATCAGACTACAATGATTGAGACTTCCTGGGTGTTCTGCTGGGTTTTCTCGCCTTCAATTGTTCAGTATACCATGTGTGCTACAACTCAAGTGACTTCTTTCCGAAGAGACACGGAACAAGGGATGGACAGGCTCAACTCCTCCCTCATATCCGACAATGTGATCGATCAATTTGAAAGAATGGAAGGCTTGGCGGTCATGCGAATACCGTGGGGGATCATGCACCAGGTTTCTTCTCCTACGTTTTATTCCGTATGTTCTTGCCTGTACAACAAGATCAGAAAGACGAGATCACACTGGCCCATTGTCTCGAGCTGATCATAGATCTTTCTTGTCTGTGCGTTGAGCCACCGGATTAACGTCCTATAAGCGCTCTGGCCATCGATATTCGACTGCAGGCTTACCTGGACCCTGCTATGTTTCTATCATGGATATGTTCAAATGTACTCCGTACATACGCATCATTAGAAGCTCAATGCCAGACCGATACCCACAGTACTTCTCTGTCGTTGTCGTATTATACGTTTTTCGCTTTGAGTCGAATCAAGACGACTTCTACACTGAAGTCTCACCGATATAGAACTTTAAAGGAGTAAACAAACAAAAGGATTTCATTTCCACCCTATCAAACATCCAAATTGTTGGTTCGTAAATATTGCCATATAGGTCGCCCTTGTACCATGGTCGGTTGGATGCCCGTTATCTCAGGCAAACAGCATTACCCAAAAGCGTAAGGCCGCGGGGACGGGACCAGGCTCGGACAAAAAAAAAAGACGGCCGTGCAAATACCTCAATCCACCACCAACTACAGGAGAGATTTCAACCACCACTCTTCGCACATAATGCCTTCTACATATAAGAGAGAAAAGCCGTGGGACACGGACGATATCGACAAATGGAAGGTATGTACACATAGTTGCGACCTGGTTTACTTGACTTTGTCGTCTTTTGCCTTTGCCAGCTTTTGCTAACTTGAGGCGACCCGATCAGATCGATCCTTTCAAGGCGGAGGACAATGTCGCCGGTAGTTTCGCAGAGGAGTCGTCGTTCGCTACGCTATTCCCCAAGTACAGAGAAGTCTATCTGAAGGAGGCGTGGCCGGTCGTGACGAGAGCGCTGGAGAAGCACGGCATCGCCTGCACTCTCGATTTGGTGGAAGGCAGCATGACGGTGAAGACGACGCGGAAAACTTATGATCCGGCGACTATTCTCAAGGCTCGGGACTTGATCAAGTTGCTGTCGAGAAGTGTGCCTGTGCAGCAGGTCAGTTCCCCTCTTTCTATCTCTCTTTTGCTTTTTTTTTCTCCGTCTTATTCGAGCATGCCTGTGACAAAATCTAACCAAATCATAATGACAGGCTTTGAAAATCCTCGAGGACGACATCGCATGCGACGTCATTAAGATCCGCAACCAGGTGCGCAACAAAGAACGCTTCGTCAAGCGGCGACAACGTATTCTCGGTCCCAACGGCTCGACGCTGAAGGCGCTCGAGCTCCTGACGAGCACGTACATCCTCGTGCAAGGCAACACCGTCGCGGCGATGGGACCGTTCAAGGGACTGAAGGAAGTGCGCAAGATCATCAACGACTGCATGGCGAACATCCATCCCATCTACCACATCAAGGAGCTCATGATCAAGCGCGAGCTGGCCAAGGACCCGACGCTGGCCCACGAGTCATGGGATCGCTTCCTGCCCAACTTCAAGAAGCGCACGCTGTCCAAGCGTCGCACTCCCTTCCAGGTCACCGACAAGGCCAAGAAGGTCCACACGCCGTTCCCGCCGGCCCCCGAGAAGAGCAAGGTCGACCTGCAGATCGAGTCTGGCGAGTACTTCCTGTCCAAGGACGCCAAGGAGCGCGCGCAGAAGGAAGAGGTTGTCGAGCGCCAGCGCGTGAAGCGCGAGGAGAAGATGAAGGAGCGCGAGAAGTCGTTCGTCGCCCCGGAGGACCTGGAGGATGCGGAGCGCAGGAAGAAGGAGAAGAAGGAGAGAAAGGAGAAGAAGGAGAAGAAGAAGCGCAAGCGCGAGGCCGAAGCCGAGGCCGACGCCGAGGGATCCGAGAAGAAGGAAAAGAAGAAGAAGAGAAAGAGCAAGTCGAACGAGTCCGACGAGGAGGCGTAAACCGTACGCCTCGTGCTGGTTGTTATTGCTATACTATTCCTTCGTTTGTATTTGCTTTTCTTACGTCCAGAGATCAGGCGCTTGGGCATAGCATGGGCTGGAGTTTCTTGTTCCCCATCCCCTTACGCTACGGATGGGGGAAACCAAAATTAGTATTGAGTTTGATATCTTTGTGTAAATCTATCATTTTTCAGTGTCCCAATTCGTGGAATGGCCATGACTTGAGTAATAAAATCTGCGCAGTAGTCATTAAGACGAGCGATATTGGAAGCTATTCCTACCCCTCCAGAGCAGTCAGATACCACACCAACTTCGCCAACATCGCACAGCATACTCAACCCTCAACTCCCAACAGAAGCAGTCTCCCGCGATTTCCCCTCCAAAAAGGCCCTCTGCTCCCCCCGACTCTTCTCCAAATCCAACCCCACCGCCAGCACCCCAAAACTAACCACACTCAACGCAAACAGAAAATAAAACGGCGTCGAACTATTCCCCTCAGGCGACGCATCTATAATCGCACTCGAAATCAGCGGCCCAATAAACGACGACGTCTTCCCAATAATGCTAAACAAGCTGAAGAACAAGAAGTCGTGCCCGCGGGGGGTCACCTCCGAGATCATGATCTGCGAGTAGCTGTACCAGGGGCAGACGAAGAGGCCGTAGAAGGCCTGGTAGAGCCAGAATTCCCACTCGTTGTGGAAGCCGAATTTGGGCGTCCAGATGCCGATCATGCCCCAGCCGTCGAGGAGGATGATTGCTACTGCGATGGTGTTGAACATTGTCTTTGTGGTTAGTTTGAAGCGCTGTTGGATGTACCAGAAGGTGTATATTCCTATGGCCTTTTGTTGTTGGTTAGTTATGGATACCAGGTTGGGGAGAGGGAGAGCTCATACCTGCGCGGCAATTCCCACTATCAGTAGATAGGTGAGATGCAGCGTGCTGTAGGAGACGACGCTGTTTTGGAGGGTAGAAACCACTGTCACGGTCGTGTTCAACGAGTCACCCAGAAGGAAGTATCCTGCAGCGTGTCAATCAAATGACAATATAGTTCATCTTCAGTTCAGCACCTACCAACAAGGTAAAGCAAGCTCTGTTTCAATTGCCAAATCTGCCTCGCAGCATGATAAATCTGCCACAAGCCAGCAACAACAATCCCTCGAGGGCCAGGATCCTGCCCCGCCCTCCGCTTCTCCAAGAAGAACCAAGGCAGCGAGACCAGCACCCAAACACCAGTAGCGAACGCAATCAAGACACTCAGTCCCCAATTATTGTTCGCCTCGCTAGCATCCACCCGCAAGCCAAACATAATCCCAACAATGATCGCCAGAATAACGATCTCAGCAACCGACTGCACGTAGAACGCCGTATTGGCCAGCCGGCTGCGCTCCATAGTATCAGCATACTCGTACTCCTCACGCGATATCTCCCCGGCGCGGTACTGGTCCGATCTCTCCTTCATCGTCTGCGTATTTCGCGCCAGCCCCGGAAAAGCCGCAGTCCAGAATGTCAGCGTCGTCTGGTAGGCGATCAGTCCTACGATGTACAAGCCAACACCGACGCGCCATTTGTCTTCCGTGTGCACGCCGAGCCAGCCGAAGCCGATCCCATACGCTACTGCAGAAAGCGTGATGAGGATCGTTGGTCGCCAGGTGCCGAAGTCGGCGAAGCTACCGACGACAAGGAAGATGACTACCTGGATGGCGAATGATATGCCGTTGCTGAGGAGGACGATGCTGTTAATTGAACGCTCTCTCCCCGCGAATTCGAGAACGCCTTTGTCTCCTGCGGCTTGGGAAAGCAGGTTTTGGAAGGCCGTGGGGCCAAAATCTGCTGGTGTTAGCTGGGGCTTGAGTCTGGGGAGTGTGAGGGCCGGCTTACTGAATAAGGAGAGTCCATTATTGCCGATGTAGTAACTGATACTGGGTTTAGCAGATAGTTCATTAGTACTGGTAAACGACGCACGAATAGTAAGCCCATATCTCCCATTTCGAAGTTCGATGGCTGTCGTCCGATGGGTCGAGCTCGATGCGAGGCTCCGAGTCGACCTTTAGGGTAGCGTTATTGGGAGATTCCCTGTTTTCCACTGACGCACCCTTCGAAGAATCCATTCTAGATATTGCTTCGAACAGTATCCTGCGATGAAAATACCAACCGCGTTCAAACCCCAATTTATCAATGGTGGGGACGAGAATAAAGCCAATCAAGGGGCTATTAACCCCGCGGAATGGACGAGCTAACTATATCCAACTAAGACTAATTCCATAGTCCCTTGCGGCACACGAGAGAATAGACAGGAAAATGACAAGCCTATGCTGGTTGGCTCCCCACGCTATGATCCTTAGCAGGTCATTGGAAGTGGCCCACGAGCGAGACTAAGGCGCCTCTAAGCCTTTTGCGCGCCTTGGCGGGCTAACTGACTGCAGAAGAGCTTAGGGTGGCTGGATCGTAGGGTTTCAGGAATGCTGCTCTCAATATTCGACACAACCCACTACTAACTACTGTGGCGAAGACTGGGACGAAACGCCCCCAACTGAGGAAACTGAAATCACACGGCGGTGCGGAGCATCTATTCGTATGATCTTCCTGTAGTTATATGTAGAACCTGAGTTCAATGTTGCTAGGTTTCAACGTTTCTATGTCTGGTGTGTATATCGTACCTATATATACAGAACATTCTATCCAGCATTGTTTCTTTCTATCCAAGCCGAACCAGCATCGACAACAGGACGATATCTATCGGTAAACTGCTCATAATTTGGCCTTCCCGTTTTCAATCGACGCCCAGCTCTGTGAGTCGAGCGGCTCATAGGATTTCCCATTTAGCCAGTATAGTTTGTCCCCATTCCAATCTCCTTGAGGATTCCAGCCTTTCTTGGCTAAGTCGCCCTTTGCTTGTTTGAAGGTTACACCGGTGGCCACTCTGCGATACCAATTAGTAGATAGCCCAATCATGGCTCTAAACATATCGGGGAGGACTTACTTCTCAGTGAGCCGGACAAGACGAGGAAAGGCATAGGATGGGACACCCTTCTTCTTTAATCTGAGGTAGAGGCTGGACATGAATCCATCTTCAGCAGAAGGGTTGTCAAGCGTGATTCCCGCAGCACCCGCTTGGCCGTCATACCTGGTAGTTCAGACATTAGCATAGGCGCTTCAAGCGTTAGAGTAGTGGAGTTGATTTAAACATACCCTCCCAATTTCACACCGTACACAACAGCATCGTGGACGGATTCAATCCGGCAAATATGATCCCGGACTTCTCCAGCGCTGACATTCTCTCCCTTCCAGCGAAACGTATCTCCAACCCGATCCTGGAACTTCAGCCAACCGGACTCGTCTCGGACCATCAGGTCGCCCGTACGCTGGAAGATATCGCCTTTCTGGAAGACATCGCGAAGCAACTTCTTCTCAGTCGAATTCTCATCGTGCAGATACTCAGTGAGGAGCGCACGGCTCCGGACCCGCCCAATGGCCTCCCCCTCCTCTCCCGGCTGGGCCTGAACGCAGAAGCCGGTGGCTGGGCTCCGATAAGGCATTTCTGTCTCGGTGTCGTACTTGACGATAAACATGTCGTCCTCAAAGTACCGCTTGATGGGGCCCGAGAACCCAATCTTCCCGGCGCCCCAGGCGCCAACTCCAAAGTTATCAAACTTCGTGATGCCTTCTGTGGATCGGTAAAACTCGCGGATCTCGGGAACCGCGAACCGCTGGCGGAAACGCTCCCAGATCTCCTCACGCAGCCCATTGCCGGCCGCTACGATGCAGGAGTGATCCTTGTCGTACGGCGAGGGTGGTGTGGCCAGGAGATATCTGCACAGCTCGCCGATATACAATATGCGCGTCGCTTGGGAGTCGTGCACGTCTTTCCAGAATTGGGAGGCTGAGAATTTGCGTCGCAGACATAGCGTGCCTCCGGTGCCGACGGAGTAGCACAGGCCCGTGAAGTAGGCGGTCCCGTGGAAAAGAGGAAGAGCCGAGTAGATGCGCACTGGGTAGTACTTTGCGGGGTCGCTCACGTCAGGGGTAAGTGGAGTAGATGTAACCAGGGACATAAAGTTGCGTATCGCACAGGCTTTGGGCTTTCCCGTCGTTCCAGAGGTGTAGATGAGAACGGTCAGATCAGCGGGAGATCCTGTCGCGGCAGTCACGTCGGTGGGCGCGTATCGCTGTAGGTCGGCAGCCGTGACGGTTTCTATCGTTCCGGCGGAGACGCCGTCGAAGGAGGACAGGTTGAGCGCAATGTGCGGCAGGTCGGATCGCACATCTTGAGACAGATCGGGGGTTGAGATCATGAACTTTGAGCGGGAGACATTCAGGCAGTGGATAAAGGTGTCGTCTATGTCACTCGCAGTCAGAATACATTCCTCTTCACAAATAGGGGCCATGTACAATATTACCCCGCAGATTTGTGTTGAGTAGCGACGCCACGGCACCAAGTTTAGCAAGCGCATAGATAGTCACCACCATCTCAGGCGAGTTGATGGTGAAGACCCCAACAAAGTCCCCCTTCTTGATGCCTTTTGAGTGAAGCAAAGCGGCAAACCGATCCACAACTGTACATGGTGGAAGCTGTCAGCAAAGATATACTACCACCCCAAAACATGGCATGATATGTACGTACGGTCCTTCAACTGGGAATAAGTCCATGTTTTGTTTTCGAACCAGATCGCTTGGGCCGCGCCATTGCCGTCCACCGCGATCGTCCGTTCAAGCATCCGGTAGATCGTAGGTGTGTCCCCAAGCTGCCCGATGCGCTGCTCCAGGCGACTCTTCCATGACCGATCATGATGTATGGAAGTGAGGTCTGTAGATATAGAATATTTGGCATTCAGATAAGCACCCGCAGCTGCAGTCAGGGCCGATGCCATCGCCACCGTGGGCGCGCTGAACTCGGAAAGGAAGTCCATTGTGATAGGTGCCAGTGAGTAGATCGGTATCGTCTATCAAGAGGGTAGTCCAGTGGCCTTTGTTGCAAAAATTCCAGTAACTCAAGGGTTGTGGTTTGATATCGAATCAGCAGCGATTGTATATAAACATGTCAAACGCGAAAACGCCCCACATTGACCGGACAATCAAGAGAAACGAATGTGTCTTCAGTCTTCATGAAGGAAAGGCAAATCCGGCGAAAGGCCCATATATGGACAACAGCAGCATATAAAGCAGGTCAGGCTCCGGCTAACGAGACGGGAGCTGAACAGGACAAATCTACCGTCCGTCACAGGTCTTCAAATACAGGGCCACTGGAGTCTCGTCCATGCTGACGGCAATTGACTTGACAAGTGGGAACCGACCAGGGCGCTAAGCAATGGGCCTTGCCTATCGGGGAATGTAATCTCTTTGAAGTCTGGAACTGATATCTATCCCACCGGGGGATCCTCGGTATCAGTCCCCACAATGTCAACGACCTGGGGTTTGCGGTGTTATCCTTCTGCCGTGTGAACTTCGATCCCTTCAGATAGTTATTACATAGTTGTTGCACGTTTATCCAGAGTCGTACCTCCGAATAGTAAGATTGAAGACCAAGTATATACCTCCGGGCTAGGGTGCCCGGACCTGTAACATTGAAATTATCCGATACGTGTAACGGTATTGTTTAAGTCACGGAACATCAATAATGCACCGATCCGGCCGGAAATGCAACCAATCTTCGGTGATTTTGCCATCGGTCGAGAGCCGAGGCAGCCTCCGATGCTCGTATTTTACCAACCGTTACCGATTGGGACAAGCCCCGAGTGGACATTCTACAACGTCCTACCCTGAATTCGGCGTTTCGTCGAACTGGTAGCGCTGAAGTCTCCCATGAAGAACGTGATACAAGTTCTTGTGGCGCTGCTCAAATTAGCATGCTCTGGTTTGTTTAAATGTGTGGTGGTAAGTACGACATGTCTCCGTATATCAAAATGGATGAACGTGAGAAAAAGGTTGTACTGCGGCAAACCGATCCGCAATATATATAGACATGAAATGTGCGGAGTGTTACTCCGTACTACCTGAGGACATAAAATCAATTCTATGAAATTGCATATGTGCTCAAACCTATACTTATCAAATTGACTTTCTCCATCTCGAGCTCTCCTTGTCACCCAAGCCGAGAATGCGGTTGTTTCTTCCGAGTGGTACGAAGCAACTATCCATTGTGGTGGGGAGGCATTGTTCCGTCCTACAGTGGGTCATACCCCACGATAGCATTCAACGGAAGAGTATACTCTTCTTGTCCATAGGAACGAGATAGTTCAAGACTGGAGTCGTGGTCAGAACACTCTTTCATAGCGACCCTAGCGAGCTATGTTTCTCAAAGACTATAAATGGATTGCCCTGTTACCAGAGACGGAACGAGCCTTATCGGGTGACCGCATGTTGAATGGATGGCTGGTCCGTATCACGTGCACCCAGGCGTTCGTCATCGGTGCTGCCGCTAAAGCAGGCACGAGTCCCATGACACCGCCTCGCCCTTCTCCGCCTCATTTACGTCGTGTAATCTCTCCAACTACATATTATCCCCCATCGAACGTCTTCTTATATCATTATCTAGAAGCTTGGTTGCTCGTTATCTGATTCTTCTTGCATCCTCGCCGTACCGCGCGGCCAATAGACAATATCAAAGAGATTGAGAGGGTGTCGAGACAATGAAGTTCTTATCAGCCGCCGCTCTCCTCGTTTGCGCCGCTCCTCTCTCTGTTGCCGCGCAGTCTCTACCCTTCTTTGGCGGCTCCCAAAGCCCTATACAAACAAAGGAAATCAAGTATGTAGAGGGCAACAACCCTCTCCAGTACTGTCAGGAGGACACGGCCGGCGATATCCTGCAAATTGGATCGGTGGACCTGACGCCTAACCCGCCTCTTCCGTATGTCTCGCCAGCTCACTCACTCACGCGAACTAATTCTCCCCTCGCTCCCTCTTCTGATACTGACTGGTTGATAATAGTGGCAAGACGCTCACGATCGAGGCAAAGGGCATTCTGCGTGAACGGATTGAGAAGGGGGCGAAGGTGCTCCTAGAGGTCAAATATGGGTTAATCACTCTGATCAGACAAACCGCCGATCTCTGTGACCAGCTGGTCAACGTCGATATGAAATGTCCCTTGGAAAAGGGCGACATGATTCTGACGAAGAAGGTCGATCTGCCCAAGCAGATCCCTCCGGTATGTTGCAACCGCCTTCGTATCCGACTATTGAGATCAAGACTAATATGCCCGCGCCTACAGGGTAGATACTCCGTGCATGCCGATGTTTTGACCGAGGATGGCAAGAAGATCACCTGTCTGGAGGGCAAGAACATCGAGTTCAAAACCGGTTTCTAGACAACCTCGTAGCCATGTTTCCTACCCGCATAATTGGGCCATCCTTCGGTGCTGTATCCGTTGTTACGGGTTGGAAACGCTTTTGATCAACTCCTGCATCACGAATCCCGACGTTATGTTTGCATAGTTCATTTATTTCTTTCCAGCGGACTGTTGATTATGCTTGCCCGTAATCTGCCATTTCCACGAGAATCCGGTTGCACCTCCTACGACGCTCTTCTGTGCGACCTGTCTTCATGTTCTATCCTGGCCCGGCGTTTTGGATGATTGTTCGACAGTATCGCAGCTACTATCTATGGATCTAGACGACTTTGCCCGCGCTCTTATTTGTATCAGCAACGAGGACTTTGTGCTGCAACGTTTGCTTCTCGTAGTGTTTTGGAACCTTGAGTATATTATGAATAGTTGAGATATGAAATTCGGTTTATCATTTCCCATTATGGGGCAAGCAACATGTGCCATAAACCACGTCTTAAGAAACTCCGTATCAATCGGTAGGTATAGCTGAATTGTATGCACATGGCTCGGGTGTAACCTGGGTATCTTCCCTCTGTACTTAACCACCCACTGGACCAATGTACCCGGGAAAGAGGCACTGCGGCGCTCCGTATACAAGGCGCAGCCTAGATAACGCCACCTTAGAAGACGGCAAGCATCTCGATATATTCCGGACGAACAAGGAATAGATAGGAACACAACGCCTTCCCAACTTATTCGCCAAACAGCCGGCGCACCCGCTTCAATACACTGTCCTTCTCTGGGTCGTAGGGGTGGTCTTTGCTGGGGATCTCGAGAACGGCGGGGAAAGGGTCGGCGAAAGAATCGACGCTGTGCCGGATGCGCTCCGCGACCTGCGATACATGTTCGGTCAGCAAGACATACAGACAAAGTGGAAGACATAGTCGCGCCCATTCTCCCTACGTGAACTCCCGGGGGAAAAGGACAACGGACATGCTGGTTTATCAGGAGCACGGCGATATCGTTCCTCTCCTGTGTGAAATTCACGAACGCTTTCTCGATCGCGGACGTTTCGGTCTTGGCATCAACGACGAGGAAATTCCGCTGGGCGTCTGGTCCATCTGTGACATGCTTTTTTGTTATACTGTTGTCAGTACGGCGGTTGCATGCTGTGTGGGGTGCTTGTTTTGTCCACTTACCCCGATGCCCGCCAGTAGGAGTCCCGTCACGGAGCTGAAAACACGGTGTTAGTCTGACGCTTCGCATATCTCTTGACCCAGTATAGCATATTACTCTTCATCTCCGATAACGGCAAGGAACTGTCGGTCCTACACGGTGATCATGGTTAATTCGATACCGCATGCCTCCTGCCACGTCCCCGCGATGGAAGAGAGTCTGGCAAACGTACCTTGTATGTGGTGGCTGAAGCTGCCATGTTGCAAGCGACAGACGTAGAATGGGCTCTTCGTGTCCCTGGAAAAGAGAAAACAGAACACTGTTCGCTGTTCAATAGTTCCGCAAGTTGACTGTTGACTTCGCGAGGCCGATGATAATCGGTGGTCGTCATACGTCGGAGACCCTGCTTACCTAAGCCGCCTAGTGTATACTGATTTTCGGCCCGCCTTATTATGATTGTCGATTGTTTACAGACTGACCGACAAGAAAACCCGCTTTCACTTGACTTTGCTCATCAAGGTTAGTTTTGATTCCCGCTAAACTTTACTTGCAACTATTCAGCCCTTTGATTTGAGTCTAATACCTTTTGCGATCACAGTCTTCCGGCACTCTCTGCCCTTACCTCCCTGACATCATGCCGCGGCTGGTACGCCGCCGCCCTTTGGGCGAGCGCATCAAGTCTTATCTGAACCCGTTGGACTTCCTGCTATGGCTGTCGGAGGAGATCGACGCGAATGATTGGGATCAGTTTGAGAAGGACTGGGCTCTTCCGTTGGGGATTTCGTTGAACATCATCTTTATAACCGCGCGGGCAAACAGTCGGACAAATAGCAGCAACGCAGTCGATGATGTTTTTGGCGATGAAGGAAGTGCGCCTTGGTCAAGCTGGCTGGTATGTTCTCGCCAGTACCCTGCTTAATACTCACTCGATACAAAAGTGCTGACGGTTCCCGTGTTAGGCTTCTTTCATTGTCCACCTACTTATCTGCTTTACGGCGTTCAATGCTTTCTACACGTTCCACCGGAAACGGCATTATCGCATGTTCGAGTCTTCGATTGATCAGACCCCGGCAACCCCGTCCGCGCATCGTGTACGAGTCGATTCGACCCCGATGAGCGCTTCGCCAATCCGATACTTTGCGAATAAGTTTTCGGGATCTGCGCAGTCGCGAGCCCACCCTAATGCCCAGCGTGACGTGTGGGAGCTCGCAGTCTGGGACCCGCTACCAATCTGTATCCGTCTGTTTTGTCTATTCAGCCCCGGACATGCTCTTGTGTACTGGCTTTTCCTCCCAACGCAACTGTCCGACCCCCGGCCAAGTGTTACCATCGTGACAACGATCTTCGTCTCGACATTGCTGTCGGCGCAGATGTCATTCCTTTCCACATACTTTGCTCAACAGGCTAAGGACTCAACCCTTGTCCACAAAGAAGTTCTGAAGGAGTACGACACGAAATACGTCCACCCTCGAA